ATAATATGTATCATATGATTTACAAAGTTAAAAAAGTGACTGCAAAATATTGTTTCTTTTTTATTGAAGTAAACTAAAGTTTTTACCGAAATGAGTATAATTTTTATCATTAGATTATCTTTGTTTAACAAAACAAGTAAGAAACTTTTCTTCCATGAACAGACTCTTTCCACATTCATGGCAGGACAAAGAGAACCATTAGGATCAACTATTAGAACTATGTGGCCCAGCGATTTAGTTGCAGCAACGCAATTTATCCAGGAGGAAAACAACATCAGTTACCTCCAAAGAGGTTCCTCCATTCCACAACTTGGTGGCTCAAAAACAAACCAACATAGTCAGAAGCAGAAAGTGATGCAACCTAGCCAGACTTTCTCGCTACAATTCAGACCTCAAAATTCTATCCAACAACAACTGCCCTCTTCTCCATCACAGCAGCAAACATAGTAATTCAGATCTCCATTCAACCAGACTAGACAGCCTATTGTACAGCCTGCACGATTCCAGACTCCTAATGTCACGCTTCCGCAACCAACACCAATGAGCACTACATCAAGAGCCACCGTAAAACTTCCACAATAATCTGCTCCAAAATTCACTGTGGAAGAATTATTTAATATCGAGCAACACGAAGACACTCAGAATAACTATCACTATGGATACACCAAATCAGAAATGGACAATGATTACTATGATGTAGAACAACGACAAAATGACTACCAGCAGCAAGCATACGAGCAACACCAATACACTGGAGGAGGAAATTTTCCAGAAGCGGACGATCTAGGAACAGGAACATGGAGCTAGCTACCATACATATCTATCGCCAATCCACCTTTAAGGCTCCTTATAGATACCGGCGCACCGAAATCATTTATCAATCCAGACATTGCCTTAAATACTTCAAAGATTGCATCCACCATGACCACCGACACCCTTACTTCAATTTTTCAAAATCATTCTCAGGTCTATTGTGTTCACATTCCCATGTTCCCAGAATTCAACTCGAATGAGAACGTAAAATTTTACCTTTTCAAGTTCCATCAGACATTTGATGGCCTCATCGGACTCAATAACTTCAAGCCAAGCCAAATTGGACCTACTAGAGTCATTACTTATCACAAAAAACGCTATTCTCCCAATTGAATATTACGAAACGATCATAATCCAATTCCTTTTCCAGCCAATTGGCGCCTAACACCGTTTCCCGAGTATGTACAGTTTCCACTAAAAAAAACCCAGGGACAATCCTTCTACCAAAACAAGAACTTCAGGGCGCACAAATTAACGAAACACTCACATCTGCTTGTAATCAACTCGCTTGGACTGAAATTGTCTACTCAACCGATGAAGAACTTCAGATAGCTCTGACAAGTCCAGTTATTAGCACGCAGTTAGACCATTGATCAGTTTCATACATCACGTATCGAATTTCTCAAGAATCTCTGTCACCGCATGGCAAAATTCCTGAAATCAGAACGAATCACCTAAATTCAGAGGAAGAAAAGGCAATACAAAATTTATCTAAGAAGTATGCAGACATGTCCCTGACTTTCACAAACCAGATCAATCACCATATTAAAACAAAAGATGAGATTCCAGTGTACACCAAGTCATATATATCCTATTCATAATCTGTAGTCTAAAGGTACAGGTAAATTTATCACTTCTCCCTATCAAATAGCATTGAAAGGTGATAAATTTTACCTGTACCTTTGGACTACAGATTGTGAATAAACAATAGATATTCACATATCCATAAAGAGGAAGTGAAAAACCAAATATTTTCCATGTTGGATCAAGGAATTATAAGACCAAGCCAGTCACCTTGGTCTCCCGATATGGATAGTCCCAAAAGAACCAGACGCCGCCGGAAAAATAAAATGGCGGATAGTAGCGGACTATAGAAAAGTAAACGATAAAACTATCGACAATAAATACCCAATTCCACACATAACAGACATCTTGGACAAACTTGGTAGATGCCAGTACTTCACGACGTTGGATCTGGCAAGTGGTTTCCACCAAATCGAAATGGCTAAGAAAGCCATATGTAAAAATGCTTTCAATGTCGAAAATTACCATTACGAGTGTGTCCGGATGCCATTTGGACTAAAAAACGCTCCAGCTACGTTCCAGAGGGTAATCGATAATGTTTTGAAAGGCCTCCAAGGAGAAAATTGCTTAGTAGACATCGACGATATTCTTGTGTTCAGCATATCACTTCAAAAGCATCTGGTTTATCTTTCAAAAATCTTTCAACGTCTCAAAGAAACTGGATTCAATATTCAAATGGACAAATGCGAGTTCATAAAAAAGGAAGTTGCCTTTCTTGGACACATTTTTACACCAGAAGAAATAAGACCAAATCCGGCTAAGATCAAAGCCATACTTGACTATCCAATACCGCGAACCACGAAGAAAATCCGAGGGTTTTTAGGCCTCCTTGGAAGTTTATCAAGGACTTCACTAAAATTACTAAACCTTTAACTTCCTGCCTCAAAAAGGACGCTAAAATGGAACTAACACCAGAATTTTTGAACTGCATTAGAACTTGCAAACATTTACTGACAAATCAACCTCTTCTGCAATATCCAGACTTCAGCAAGTATTTTAATCTAACTACTGATGCTAGCAACTATGCAATTGAAGCTATACTATCTCAAGGACCAATCGGCAGCGATAAGCCCATTGCATATTTCTCCAGGACAGTCAACGAAACCGAGTTAAAATATTCCACCATTGAAAAGGAAATGTTACCCATAATCTGGGCCACCAAGTACTTTCAGACCCTACTTGTTCGGGAGAAAGTTCAAGATGCTTTCAGATCACCGTCCTCTCCAATGGGTTTTTTTCATGAAACACAATAGTTCCAAAATAGTTAGATGGAGCTTAAAGCTGGAAGAGTTTGATTATGAGATAATCTATGAGAAAGGAAAATCAAACACCAATGCAGATGCTCTGTCCAGAGTCGAAATCCACACCAAAAGAAATAGCCCAACCACCACAAGACGAAGATAACGCATCTTTGTACAACAATGCAGAATCAATCCTCGACATAAACGACAAGTCTGTTAATTATAATCCAGCAAAGCCAATAATAGAAGTAGCCTTCTCTAACAAATCCAGGCTACATGTCCAAGCAGTAAGCAAGAATAACTTAGAAAGAAGCTTTATAAAGCTTCTTAACGAAAAAAATAGACTCCAAAAATAAGTTTGCAATATTCTTTAAGGAGGAAGATCTTTATGTTCCTCTATGCAACGTCCTCAAAGAAACTTTAAAAATTCTGCATTCGACCTTATCAAATGCAACTTTCTCTTAGAAGACGTCAATAACAAAGACAGACAAAGTGGAATATTCCAGGCCTACCACCAAGGAAAAACAAATGATCGAGGAATTAACGAAACCGAAGCGCAAATCCGAAGGCAATATTACTGGCCTAACCTCAAACGAGATATTGAAAATATCATAAATGTTTGCAACACCTGTCAGTCAAACAAATACGATAGGAATCCAGCCAAACCTAAATTCATGATTACTCCAACACCGACTGGACATTTGGAAATTATTCATCTACGGAGGGCAAAAGTTTTTTAACAATTACTGATTCCTTCTCAAAATATGGACAAGCTTACCCCATAGAGGGATCAAATTCAGTGAATGTTCTTAGTGCCCTCCTAATCTCCATAACTCATCATGGAATACCACACATAATAGTCACCGATAGTGGAACAGAATTTAAGAATGGACTTATACAGGAATTTGTAGATACACATAAGATATCTATCCATTATACTACCCCTGATAACCCACAATCCAACGGGATGATAGAAAGATTCCACTCCACCATTATCGAACAACTGAGGATACTTCGAGAAAATAAGAAATCCTTAAGCGTTAAAGAACAAATGCCATATGCACTTCTCGGATACAATAATTCTATCCATTCAATGACAAACATGCGATCTTTTTAATTTTCTTCGGCGCTAATTTTTCAGTTTCTTTATTAGATTTGCTGCTCCTTAACCAGTTCTTTTTGAATGGTACCTTCAATATGTGATAATGTAAAAGGGCCAATATCTCGAATGTTTTTCTCAACATCTGCTGAAGAATTATAGTGAATTGTAATCGTCCTTCTACAAGCATCCATCAAGAAACTGACATAGAAGAAATCTCTTAAGAAAATGTGCAGGTTTTTAAATTTTCATTGGTGGTGCACGCTCCCTTCTGGTAGTCCTAGTAAATTAGAATCCACCTGTACCTTTTGCTACGTTCCCATTGCATCGCTCACTCCGAAATAGTATGTCATTCATTTTACCACGAAACAGAATCCGGACATTGAAATATTTTGCTCAACACGCACACACCAGAGTGTGGATAAAAAGCATCAGGCTCCCGGTCGTTCCCTTCTAAATGATGATGTCTGTCTGAAATGTCAGACACACGTACCTACCCTCGTATCATAATATTTTGTCAATTTTAACGATGGCGGCTCTGCTCGACTGCCAGATTAATATATTATCTGACTAAAGCGAAGAGAATTCCGACAGAGAGTTTCCTTGTAATAGTTACGATGGAAAATGATTAATTTAGGATCTGGTTTTGGGTTTCAGATGAGTAACCACTGATGTTTCAAGTCAAGAGTTTAATCAAAAGTTTTAAAATAGCAGGAAACTTAAGAAAACCATATAATTCAAATATAGATATCAATAAAATATTGAAAGTTCTGAGGTTTATGCTAAGCCTCTTTCAAAACTTCTGGAAAACAGCAACCTTGGTCTTCAGCATTTTTTTTTAAACCAGAACATCAATAGCATTTCTTGATTGAAAATTGATTAAAAATATCAACAAACATAATTTTTCTACTGTGTGACATCCAGTATAGTAAATCAACTTTACCGTACATATTCGTTGGCAAATAAACCATCTTTTATCGTGAAGTAATTTAGGATTTTACTAAACAAAACCTTTTTCTACAAATAACAATTATTATACCTACATTAACAATTGAAAAAATCCACACAAATAACTTCCAATAACCAAACACTTTTCATCCGAACTTTCAAATTTACGCGACTTCGCGCTATTTTCCTCTGGACCGTTTTTCGGGATAAATCCGGAAGAGACCGTCAGCATCCGACTGTCAGTGTGCCAGAGGTCCGCGTTCACACAAGACACGAAAGATTTTCCAGGAATGGTGGGGGCAGCATAGGATGATGAGGGAAAATCTGGATGCTGTGATGCCAGCGTCCTTTTCGCAATTCGCACACCGGGATACCAGCGCCGAAATCGTCCCCTCTATGCTATGCAATATTATAAAACAAACCCCCCTTTTTCGCAAAATTGTTCGGATTGAAATTCGCTCTCTGTGTGTTTATGGTTGAAGCGATTTTCATTGTTTTTGATGAACAGAGGGCATAGTGTTTACCGATTGGAATTCAGTGCGATTGCTGCGGGGAATGTTCGAAATTTATTATTGCTTTTATTCAAAAATTCCTATAACGAAAAGCTTAAACATTAATCATCAACTTTTCAGAGAAATTGCTTGATTTTCATATTTTAATATGTACTTAATATGCTTGTTAAAAGGGCTCGATAAATCTCCTACGGAGCGATTTGGGATGCGAGTTTTCGAATTATTTTGAGAAACGATTTATTTAAATTGAAATGTTGTACAAATTTTGTAGTCGCATATGAGGAGAAATACGACCTTTAAGGTTTTTACGAATCGTTTTTAAAAAGATTCAGATGCAGGAACAGGATTAAATGCGGGCTGCAGTTTTCAAGGAAATTCAATTTTTCCTTGCCTCTGCTCCTTATTGCCTTTTGCTTTATCATTCCATTCATTCTCTATTGTCTATACGATGGTTTGAAAAGGTATAATTACCTTTTTAATAGATAAGTACTCTAAAAGATTCTTCCATGGAAATTGAGAAAGTCTTAAAAATTGGGAACGATTTTAAGAAATTATGACGGTCTGTTTTTTGAATTGCTGACGTTCCACATTCTTATAATTGCTTTTTCAGATACTTCAAAGAATGGCAAGAAAATGAAACGGTTTTAATACTCAGAAAACACACAAAAACTCAGAGACGTCTTTTTCGCCTGTAGACCAAAAAAAGACGTCTAGAAAAAGTCTATAACATGTAGTAAATTAAAATCTTAAAGACAACTAAGCCACACTATTTGGTACAACCGACCCTAAAAGTGAATAATGGTAATTCCAAAGACGTCTTTGAGACATCTTGTCGAAGACGTCTATAGAATGTCATAGAAAAATGTCATAAAGACGTTTTTAGGCAGACGTTTGAAACACGTTGGGCCTTGTAACATACATTAAGATGCCTTGAACACGTAAGCAGACGTCTAATGACGTCTTGAATGTCGTTTGTGGACATCTAAGGAACGTTTTCAAGATGTCTACAAAAACTTCCCTCAGAATTCGTCTCTCATTCAATTTAGAAGTTACTGGGAACGATTTAAAATGCTACAGAACATTTTAAAACTTTAATAAATTTTTGTAAAGTTCAAAAGAGTCAAAATTTAACTCAGAATTTCCAAAAGCATTCTATAACGCTTCAGAACAATTTGGAAGATTTAGAACCATTTTAGAATGCTCCAAACGATTCAAAACCCGCTTTCTAAAAGCTTTTTAGAACAATTCAGAAGTTTGAAACCCATTTTAGGACGCTCCAGAACACTTAAACACTCTAGAATCTCCAGAAACATTTTGAAAAGCGTCTTAGCATTCAAGTTAAAAGTTAAAAAACGCCTTTCAGAAGGCGTTCAAGAGTGAATTTAAAATGCTATAGAACTTTAATCCTTTAATTAGTATCCAAAACAGTTCAGATCCAAATCAGAATTTTCAGGAGCATTCTGGACAATTTAGAAACTTCAGTTATTTTAGAACAATTCGGATTCAATTTAGAACTCCTTTGAACCAATTTAGATCACTTTGGGCCGGTTTCTCAAAGCAAGTCATCCCCGGGTGAAGCATACATAACTCCAGGGTAAACATTGCAACTGAACACGCTAACCCTGGAGTTCAAACCAACCCGGAAGTGACTCGCTATAGCGAGTCACCCGGCCGGGTTAAACATAACTCCAGGGTGAACAATGCAACTTGTACATTGTAAACGCTTACCCTGGAGCTATTGAGAAACCGGCCCTTAGAACGTTATATTTATTGTTCCGGGAAAGCTTGTTAGTAGGTAGGTATTGAATCCGGAGAAAAAAAGAGCTGAAAACGGATTTTCTTCAATTTCCGGACTCACTAGGTACCTACTATCAAAGTACTATAATAAGCTTTTACCATGACATACAAATGCAAACTATTCTTGATTTTAAGTTTTAAGTATTTTTAACCCAGTACATAGTACTCCGAGAATCAGCCGATATCGATATCATTACTATTGAAAATAAGATTTTATTCCTGAGAATTTGAATCTAAAATTTGTGCCGAACCCTTCGGGCACGCCACAGGTCTTACAGTAAGTTTTTATACTTATTAGTCCTTCGAAAGGGAACTGTAGTGTGCCCAAAGGACTAAAAATACTCGAAATTCAAATTAGAAATAGTTTTATCCGACTTAGGGCCGGTTTCTCAATAGCGAGTCACCTCCGGCTTAGTTTTAACTCCAGGATACACGTGTCCAGTTGCTATGTTTACCGTGGAGTTATGCTTAACCAGAGGGTCACTTGCTATTGAGAAACCGGCCTTTATTTGAATCAGGGTCGGTTTCTCAATAGCGATGAGTCACCTCCGGGTTGGTTTTAACTCTAGGGTAAACGTGTACAGTTGCTATGTTTACCTTGGAGTTATGCTTAGCCCGGGGGTGACTCGCTGTTGAAAAACCGGTCCTCAAAATTTGGATCCTTAATTGGTGCCGAGTACTTTGAGAAAAATCAATACACCATTCTAGGCTCGCAAAGAAACTGACGTGTGTCCAGAGGATACAAAGTTTAAAATCTACAGATTCTAGAATCAGAGATTTTTCAAAGCCTTTTAAATTATTCCCTAGTGTAACGTTAGCTTCAACTTGAATATTTAGAGCCCTTTTGGAGCTTTGAGAAGCTTTTAATTAGTATATGAGCTGGCTGTTCTAGAGCCAATTTGAGAATATAATTAGGGGAGGGTGGGCCACCATGAGACGCGTTTACAATGAGACAGTTGCCATTATTTCTTAATGACGCGGGCTATTTGTCACCATTTCTTAATAGCGAGTCACCCCCGGGTTAAGCATAACTCCAGAGAGTGAACATTGCAACTTGTACATTATACAGGGTGTCCCAAATTCGAGGGTGACCATTGAGATATCGGAAACTATAAGAGATACGAGGTCGGTTAAATTATGGCAAAGTTGCGCAATTTTATGACCAATAAAATGCCGTTTTGAATTTTGAAAAATTCCGAATACTTCCGAAGATATTCGGGAAAAACCGAAATTTTGCAAAATAATTTTTGTCTATTTGAAGAGCAATTTTAAAATAAATTTCACTTCATCATTGTCACTTTTTCCCCTTTACAAGATGTTGCTACAAAATTTTAGATTCGACGTTTCGTCTTTGGACGACCATCATCAACTTTATTTTCTAAATACGACGCTTGATTTTTTATTCCAGATTTTAAGAGCTTCTGGGCTGGGACTCTGTAACGAATAGATTCATTTTCTCTATCTCTATTGACGTGTCCTCTCTATTGATTTCGACAAGACAGAAGAAGACAGCAAGTGCCATAGCGATAGGGATAACGATCTCTATCCATTACAGAGTTCCAGCCCTGGTGTCCCAAAACCTATGACGTATCGCATTTTTTCGAAAATTACTTTTTAGTAATTTCCTGCCAAAATTCTCTTCTCTTTCTCTCTCTAACACATTTAGTTCTTATGGAAAGTGCCAATAAAATAGATTTTTCGAATAAATACGATACGTCATAGGTTTTGAACATCAAAAGCTCTTAAAATCTGAAGTAAAAAATAAAGGGTCCGTATTTAGAAAAACAAAGTTGATGATGGCCACCCAAAGACGAAACGTCGAATCTGAAATTTGGCAACAACATCTTGTAAAGGGAAAAAAGTGACAATGATGAAGTGACATTTATTTTAAAATTGCTCTTCAAATAGATTTAGGAAAAAATAAAAATGATTTTGCAAAATTTCGGTTTTTTCCAAATATCTTCGGGCGTATTCGGAATTTTTCAAATTTCAAAACGGCATTTTATTAGTCAAAAAGTTGCGCAACTTTGCCATCCATAATTTAACCAACCTCGTATATCTCTAATAGTTTTCGATATCTCAATGGTCACCCTCGAATTTGGGACACCCTGTACAGGGTCATTTTTTATGTTTTTCCACTCCCCTTAACTTTTTTGAGCCACTGTGTATAAAAAAAAAATTAAATAGGAAAGTTGTAGTGCTTGAAAAATAGTTCTCAGAAAACATAGTTTTGTTCATACAGGGTGTTGCAAAAAGTTTAAAAAACAAAAAATATATTTTTTTTACCCTGTATATTATGACATTTCTGGATTCTGCGGAAAATTCTAGACATATTTCATGAATAATGTCATATACCTAACTCCAATTGTTTCGGAAATAAGGCCTGTTCGCACAGAAATCACCAACCAGTCAGAGCGAATTTCATTGGTTGAAACTAGTTTTCTGACTGTTTCTGACTGTTTCCAACCAATGAAATTCGCTCTGACTGGTTTGTGATTGCTGTGCGAACAGGCCTTGACAGTAGAAAATTAACTTTTTTGCATCTTTGACAGACTGTAAAACCTAAACGGTGGATTTTACAGCAAAACCGATCATACATTCTTATGTTAGCTTTCCATCTATCATTTGACACCATCTTTGAAGTTAATCCATGATTAAAAATTCCGGTTAAATTTAATCTCCGGTTAAATTCAAAGTTGGTGTCAAATACTAGCTTATGACAAGCTGTCGACAAGTAATAAGAATGTAAACTCAGTTTTGCTGTAAAATTAACAGTTTTGGTTTAACAGCCTATCAAAGTTGCAAAAAAGTCAATTTTCTACTGTCATTATTTCCGAAACAGTTCAAGATAGGTACCTATATGACATTATACATGAAATATGTCTAGAATTTTCCGCAGACTCCAGAAATGTTATAATATACAGGGTGTTCCATTTAAAAAAAAATATTTTTTTGTTTTTTAAACTTTTTGCAACATCCTGTATGAACAAAACTATGTTTTCTGAAAACTATTTTTCAAGCACTTCAACTTTCCTATTTAAATTTTTTTTATACACAGTGGCACAAAAAAGTTAAGGGGGTGGGAAAATATAAAAAATGACCCTGTACACGCTTACCTTGGCTTACCGGGCCCTTAGAACATTATTTTTATTGTTCCGGGAAAGCTTTGTTAGTACTGATTCCGGAGAAAAAAGAGCTGAAATCGGATTTTTTTCAATTTCCGGACACACTGCTATAGGTACCTACTATCAAAGTACTATGATGAACTTATAGCATGACAGACTGAACTAATTTGAGAATATAATTAAGTATTATTGGATTTTTTCTTGAGAATTTAAACTTAAATATGTGCGGAGCACTTTTGGGCACGCCACAGACCCTAGAGACAGTTTTAACACTTATTGGTCCTCCCTAGGAGCTGTAGTTTGCTCCCAAGGCTCAAAATACTCAAAATTCAAATTAGAAATAGACGAAAAAAAGCTGACGTGTGTTCAGGAAACACAAAGTTTGATCTACAGATTCTAAAAACAGAGATCTTTCAAAGTCTCTTAAACTATTCCTAATGTTAGTTTCAACCCTTAAATAGGTACCTATTTTGAGCCTTTTAGGCGCACCTCGGAGCTTTGAGAAGCTTTAATTAGTCTATGAACTATTCTGGAACCAATTTGAGAATATAATTTAGTGAAAAAATGCATTGAACATTGTATTTTTTTCTTGAGAATTCAAATCTTAAATTTGTGCCCGCACTTCGGGTACACCAGAGGAATTAGATCGATTCATAAACTGAAAAGGCTCCTAAAGGAGCTGCAGTGTTTTCAAAGGACACGCGTTTAGGATCCAAACTCTCAAAAAAGTATTGAAATGTTACTTCTCTCATTACACTATTCCTAATTTCAACTTAAAGTAATTCGAGACCTGTGGACAAAATGCAGTTCCTTGAGAAGCTTAATAAATGTATAAACTGACTGTTTTAGCACCAGGGCTGAGCAGTGAGCACAAATTCAGCATCAAAATTTTCCAAAAAAAAAAAGAATAATTTTCGACACACCTTTCTAAGAGTTATTGCACAAATAATAAGGGATTTTTCCATTTCAAATTTGTAACCTACCCTAGACAAACTTCATTAAAAAGAGTTTTATCGATAATAATATCCAACAAAGACCGTTGTTCGTGATCATGGATCTAAAAACAGCAACAATGATCTTTAGGAGAAAAAAATTTCCCAACAATGTGTGGACCTCAGTATGGAGACAAACATTCTGGGAAAAAAACCTTCCTTATTCAAACATAGCAGAGAGTGCTTAGGCTTACAAAATCAACATAAAGTGAAATCCACTTCAGTGGCGAACTTATCCACTTGAAAACAAATAATTTAATTTAAAAAAAAAAAATACAGTAAACTAGTGATTGCTTCTTTAATTGTAATTCAGAAAATCAAAGAAACAGGTGCAAATTTGTGATTCAGATATTGTCAATTATAATTTAGAAAGAAGAAATTTCTTCATCAAATTTCAGGTGTAAATTTAATGGAATATGTAATTCAGAATAGTATACCTAATATGCAGCTCATGAATTACAACTGATAAATGTATGCTGTATTAGGAAACTTTCTTGCACCCCTGTCAAAAGTGGTAATATTAAAAATTGTTCAAAATCAAAACACAAAATAATTATTATTACAAAATAACCAGATTTTATTAGAATTATTCTCAATGAACTTCTTTAATAATATGTTTCTCTCTCTCCGGCTGGTAAGGCACTTCACCTTTCTTGGAGTGCGCCCTCTTGTTGCTCTCCTTCTTCTTCTGCTTATCTTTAATCGTCCTCAACTCCCTTTGAGCATTGTAAATATGCCTTGGCACATGCCTGTGCCTGCTGATCCGTTTAATTTGAGGATGACTAGCGAATTTTTCTTTCAATGCTTCAGCGTATCTCAAAGCAGTTCTTTCTCTTGGTCTCAACTAAAAAAAACAGTTAATTGAAGCAAAAACAATATTAAAGTTCTTACAGGTCCTAATTTTTCTGAAGCCCTAGCCTTCCAAATCCTAATATTCATCTCATCTGAACCGCTAATGATAAACTTGTTATCCAGAGTCCAATTTACACAAGTCAACCTTTGCATTCTCTTAGTATGATAAACTTCTCTTGAATGTCCATGTCCGCCATCAAAAATTCTTATTGTTTTATCATAACTGCCTGACACAAATTCCTTTCCTGTTGGTGAGTAGTCAACAAAAGTTACAGCTTCCACATGATCCATGTGAATGTTAACAGGTTTTTTCAGGTTTCTTGTATCAAATGTATAAAGATTGTAGTCCTCGCTTGCAACAGTGAAGGTAAATGCTTCCATAGGATTCCATGCTAACTTATTGGGCCTTAATTTCATAACGACTTTCCTCAAAGGCCCATGATCTCTCATGTCGTATAAAATAATGCTTCTATCACTAGCACAAGCCCCAAAAACATTCTGTTCAACCATATTAAAGGCTACATCGTGAAGACTGTCAACGCCCCATTGATAGGTGCGCAACGGCTCATTTCTGGACTCTTCCCATAATTGAACTATTTCTCCTGTAGTAGCAAAAATTGGACTCTTTCTGTGATGGCTTATTGAAGTGATAACACTTTTACTTAAAACTGTATTTATTGGTGCATCATCTTCGCCAAACTGCGGCGTCAAAGCTTTCCAAGTCTTAATAGTTTTATCATCACCAACAGTAATAAAATGTTCACCTTTTGGAGTATAAACAATACCTCTAACTATACCATTATGGGCCACAAACTCCCTCTCACAAGTTCTTTGAGGAATGTCCCATACTCTTACTTCACCGTCGAACGCTCCACTAACAATGGTTGAGAGGCGTTTCGGGTGTTTCGCTATACACGAGACACTGTCTCTGTGACCATCTAAATTGCCCAAGAATGGTTTCGCAAAGACTTTTTCGAGTTTAACTGCATTTAGGGCACGGGTGTATTCTCTCGCTGCTTCGAACGGGTGCAATGCAGGGTCGTAGTTTCTGAAAACTAACAAAATAGATTAGTTATTTGGATATAAATAAGATTGTGTTACCTTTATGTATATCGGTTTTTTTCTCACGTAAATAGTCGTCAGCGGAACGGCTAATTACTTTAACTTTCATTGTTTTTGTTTAGGTTTACCGTTTACCACATTTATCGTAAAATATCAACGAAAAACCAAGAAAAACTTTTTTTTACTTTGAAAACTTGTGAAACTTTGAGGTTAAGAAAAATATCTTAGGTTAAGGTGTATTTTGGCAGCTGGGCGTTACGTCAGCTGAATGTAGAGTAGGGTTTATCGACATTCATAGGTATCGATACTATATTCTTTCAAAGTCTCGGCTGTTTGCATCCAAGGATAATACATAATACTACAACAGAGACGTTTCCTGACGCACTTTAATCACTGCTAGACGGTGCTATGGGCCCAATGGCTAATTGTCAATTCAGGCAAACCCATAAAATCGCACTCGCACCCTGTGCGTTATTTCTGAACTCGGCCCAGGTGTTTGGAGCACCAGAGTGTGAAGCTACGGGTGTGGAGAACCTTAACATTAGCTGTATTCCTTTCAAGAATTTGAATCACTAGAGCTACTCGCTCCGGTGTTAGTAGCCCCGATTTGAAAGGAACAGATGCGCTGGCTTTCATGCATTTAAATGGTTTACTTCGGGCTTGAGTACTCAGGTGCAACAAACACTTTTCGAAAGGAAAAAGCGCGTAACGCCCCGGAGCTGTTCCGGAGCTCCTCATAGGTTTGGAAGGAATACAACTAATAACCACTGGAAAGCGGCTCAGGATAGCTTATCCTCATAAGGCCTTTGTAGTTCAAATCACAAGCCCACCAAAATACCAAAGCACCAGTGATGACGTAGCAGCGTGTCGTTTGTCGCCTTGGCGTAGGGTGTTTGCACCACAATTTATGAATCCGCCGGCTTTTGCCTATGCATACTTGAGCCGCTTTCCAGTTACGAATTTTCAGGTGCTCCACACCCGTAGCTTCACACTCTGGTGCTTCAAACAACTAAAACAAGTTTCATAGTATTTCATTGATAGAGCAAATACACCACTGGTGCAATATTCGTGATCCGTTGGCAGAATCCGCGCTGCACTTTTGTATTTCATTGGGAAGCAATGCACTGAGTGCTGATGGTGCGCCACCGGCTAAAAAGCTCGTGTCGCACTCAGTGCAGTTGTTTATTGTTAATTTTGAAATTGAGGTTATTGGTGGTTGATGGTTTCTCATAAAAAAAAAAACAATACCAAATTTTATTTTTTTATTGTATTTTTTTATTTATCTGCGAATCTACTACCGAAAATGTCAAAAAATTGCTTGTTGATGGCAATTACCTTGATGAAAAGTAGCAGCAGTAGTGAAACCAGGAATATGAAGAATATTTGGGGCTTCTAGCAAAGAGAGAAGATTTTTTTTTTTAATTAATGAAATTCCATATTTGAGCTCCGGGGCATTACGCCAATAGTTGTATTCTTTCCAAGAGCTACTCGCTACGGTGTTAGTCGACCCCGATTTGAAAGGAACAGATGCGCTGGCTTTTATGCATTTAAATGGTTTCAGTCGAGCTTGAGGACTCAGGTGCACCAAACACTTTTCGAAAAGAATAGGGAACTTGCACATTTTTTTTTCATTTCAAAAATGTGTTCTACTACACTAAAGACAGTCATGCCAAATATAAAGCATTAAGAATCAGCCGTTAATTTTTTATAAATATTTAAAGTTACGCTCGAAACATCGCCATTTGAAACGACCGATTAGAGTGACGTCACTCGGCAACAAAATTTCGTTGACATGATAGTGACGAGCACTTCGAATTTCGAGCAGGTAGATTTGGATAATGGTTATAGGCGATTTCGCCTCAGTTTGGTACCCCAGTTTGGTCTGTCACACAGGTACCATTCATCAATCTGGTAGCGAAGTGACACTTTGGCACGCGTGCTGGAAAATGTATACCCATCCTCAATGCTGTCAATTTTCAGTCTGCTGTGCGTGTAGTACGGTCACATACCGTGCATTCGGTATTTTGATCTGAGTTCTCTGAGCATGAATTAACCGTTCGTTTATTCAAAAAGTGCAGTCGGTGCAGGCTCATTCACGTTCGTTTAATAAAATTTCGAGCCCTCTGATACAGCGTTTAACTGCTCCTGTGCGCTCGCTGGTCACGTGATTATGGCTCCGCTCTGCTCTTTGAGCAAAATACCGAACGCAAGGATAACCTAAATCATTTTTTACTGTACTGCGCATGACATAAGTCGGCACGCATCGGAAAAGTTGGCAGCTTGCAACCTTCACTTCGGAGTCGACTTGCATGCCAGCACGGAATTGAATTGAGGATGCCAACGTTAAACAACATTTTCCTAGCTTGCGTGCCGAAGTGCCACTTCGCTAGTAAATTGATTGAGGATGAGCCTTTATGTTATGTATGCCGTTTACGATAGATTTGACTTGACATTGACGACACCAGCACCAGCAGCACATGCCGTGGCAGCGGCGGGACCCGATTATTACTGCCTTATGACGTCATGACCCATAGAAACACGTTTTTGATCGCGTCATGAATTTTTAATTATTTGGTATATTCAATTGAAGATTTTGGACACCAGAGATAAGATATTATATTTTTTTCCTATAATTGCATCATTTAGTAGGATGATTGTTATTGTGTTTTATTATTTATTCCAAATTTAATTTAATGTGCAACTTCCCTATTAGCGCGTAGCGCCCCGGAGCTGTTCCGGAGCTCCTCCTATGTCTGAAAGGAATACAACTAATTCCTTTCGAAAAGTGTGTGTTGCAGATGTCATGGGTTGCACCACGCATCTATTCCTTTCAAATCGGGGGTGACGAAAGCCTGGTGCTCATAACTGCGAAATTCGCACTTTTTTGACATTGCTTCGACAATTTGCCGTTTGATTCACGCATAAAACGTCAAATTGTCGAAGCAATGTCAAAAAAATGCGAATTTCGCAGTTTTGAGTACAAGGCTTAACACCGGAGAAACTGGTGGTTCAGTTGCGCGAAACTCTAATGTACTGGAACGCCCTAGAGCAGCTCAGGAGTACTTGAAGTGCGTCACTGGAAAGCGACTTAGGTTTGTGTCGCACTACTGTTCCTGCAGAAATCACAAACCAGTCAGAGTGAATTTCAGTGGTTGAAACTAGTTTTCTGACTGTTTCTGACTGTTTTCAACCAATGTAATTCGCTCTGACTGGTTTGTGATTTCTGCAAAAACAGACTTAAAAATAGTTTTATAATACCCGCCCTTAGTCGGCACTGTCTGGAGTTCATTGGTCTGGTCAGTGCAGATAGTTTTCAGTAACCACTGTCTGGACAGTGCAGTAGTCACTCCCTTTTTCTAGACTGTTCATTTGTACTTGCTCTACCTGCTCGAAAATTAGATCTGCGAGGAGCTGCTATGAGCTTATAATTGGTCTGTTTCTGCAGAAATCACAAACCAGTCAGAGCGAATTTCATTGGTTGAAAACAGTCAGGAAACTAGTTTCAACCAATGAAATTCACTCTGGATTGGTTTGTAATTTCTGCAGAAACAGACTTATTATATAGGACAAGTAAACGCCAATCTGGCTGAGATCTGCTTGAAGTAAAAAAAAGCAGTAAAAATGAACACCCTATTAGTTGTATTCAACACCTTTCACACCTAGGAGGAGCTCCGGAACAGCTCCGGGGCTTCACGCGCTTATTCCTTTCGAAAAGTGTTTGTTGCACTACGCATCCGTTCCCTGCAAATCGGGGGCGACTAAACACCAGAACGAGTAGCTCGCCTGTTTCAAACTCTTGAAAGGAATACAACTAATAGGTTTTAATTTTGCATTGCAAGATCCTTATCGATGTGACAAATTTGTATCGATATGCACCTTCATCGAGAGCGTATCGATCGAAGTGTATATCGTATCGATAAGCCAGCCCTCCTCTAGCTGCATGCCGTCCGGAAAGTGTCAATGCCATTTTTCAAAAATAAATACTCTCCCCAAAATAATGATTTTAAAATGAATTTCATTCTACAAAACGCTTTTAAATTAACTTCAGTTGCTCAAATTAGGAAATCAGCCTTACAGGAGCTCCAATTATCAAAGGTAATTCCAAGAAATTACCAACTAACATTTGATAGTATTTTTTAGATGAGTAATGAAGTTGAAAAAGCCTCCAAAGCAAAATACGAGAAAAATACTGAAACTATATTCGATAAAATCATTGCCAAAAAAATTCCAGCAGATATTATTTACGAAGACGAGCAATGTTTGGCTTTTAACGATGTTAATCCACAGGCTCCTGTACATTTTCTTGTAATTCCTAAACACCGAATTCCTATGTTGGATGAGGCAAAAGACAGTGATAGTGAAGTAAAGATTTTGTTATTTCACTTATATCACAAAGTTAAAACTTATATCTTTAGATTTTAGGTCACTTAATGTTGGTAGCAAGCAAATTGGGCAAACAAAAATTACCAAAAGGATATCGTTTAGTGATAAATAATGGCAAAGATGGATGTCAGTCAGTTTATCATTTACACTTGCATGTTTTAGGTGGAAGGCAAATGAAATGGCCTCCAGGATAAATAAAATTAATCTATTTATTCACAATTTACTTTTCACAGCCTTATCATATTCTTTCTCCCACTCGAAAGATTCCTTTTCCTTCAAATTGTAAGATTTTCCGTGTTTTCCAATGCCACTCAAAAATTTTTTTGCACCCTCTATTATGTCTTTTACTTTCAAACTTTTAGCTTTTTCTTTTTCATATTTCAACAGTTCATCATAGACTTGGTTGAAAGCAGCATTGTAGGTTGAATTTCTATCAGAATTGAGACAGTCTTGAGGAAATTTTGTTAGGCAAGTTGCTAATTGCAAGGCTTGACCAAAACCTAAAATTTGTCAATAGACACAATCATTTTAAGAAAATAGTAATAATATAAACCTGTTCCACAAGCAACTATCCTGTTAGCTAAACCCCATTCGAAGGCCTCTTTTGCAGTCAAAGTTCTACCAGTCAAAATTAAATCTAAAGCTCTAGATAAACCTATGACTGCTGGTAATCTAACTGTTGCGCCATCAACTAAAGGAACACCAAATCTTCGTCCATATAATCCAACAATAGCAGTTTCTTCCATGACCCTTAAATCACATAAAAGTGCTAGTTCTAAGCCACCAGCGACTGTATAGCCTGAAAGTGCAGCTATCATAGGTTTGTTAACAGTTTTTTTAGAGGGTAACTGCAAAGTTTAGATTTTAGTTGCGGAAATGTTTGGGTATTCAACTACCTACTAGTGAGCAATTCAATTTTTCATTCTCAGCTATTTCTGCTAAATCAAATCCAGAACAAAAGTTGCCCCCTGTTCCATATAAAACTGCCACAGAGGCACTAGGGTCTCGCTCGAAACTTGAAATAGCTGCTTCTAACATTTCGCTTGTTGATTTATCTATACAGTTCCGTTTGTCAGGCCTGTTTATACCTATTGTGGTGATCAAGCCCATTTTTTCTACTAAAATATCTGGAAAAAGAGTTAATTTTTCTGGATTTTTTGTTGATAATTTATATTCTTACTATTTTTGTCCTTGGCTTTTGTTGACATGCTCTTACACAACGAATTTATTATACGTCTACTAAGCATAGTTCAATGCTATGACATTATAATGGTATTTACTAATTAGTTTACTGGAAAAATAAGAAAATTGTGAAATAAATACATGTAAATAAAAATGAGTGCCCGTCTTGTTAGAGGAGGGCTTATCGATCGATATAGGTACATCGATACAGCCTCGAGGATGGTGCATATCGATATGAATTCGTCATATATTGATAAGGAGCTTGCAAAAAGTCAATGGGTACGTTCACCAGAGGACGCGGATTCTGTGCTCTGTTGCTTTTTTACATGTTGAATGAGTGACGTCACTACCAGCAGCTCATAATGATGACGTCACGCGCAGACCTCAATCTTGGCTTGGGATTCAGGCTGTGCTAGTGAGTTAATTTTTTCGTCGATTTTAAATGTAAAAATGGTGATTTTCGGTCTATTCTCACAGAAGAAATGTGTGTGTACAACTCCAAATAAATCAATATTTATTTTCAAAATCTTAATTTAACTTATCGCAAAACTACTACATAGTATAGATAACTAATTAGAAACTCAGTAATCCATTGGGTAATGGTAATTGAAAAATATTTAAATCAATAATTCTAATTTGAGTTAAAAGCCCTTAACATAATCTAGAGGTACGCTCAAGTTTGAACACAATATAAGAAAATACTTTGCACAAGCACCTTGAATTCAACTTAAAAATTACAAAATAGAGGAATTCAATAATTAATATATCGATGAATCAATAATTTGAATTGAATAGCATCAAAACATAATAGGTCTGTTTCTGTCCGCAGAAATAACGAACCAGTCCGAGTGAATTTTATTCGTTGAAATTAGTTTTCTGACTATTTTCAACCAGTGAAATTCGCTCTGACTGGTTTGTGATTTCTGCAGAAACAGACCTATAGTCATCAAATTCAGTCACAAAAAAAAAGGAGGTATTATTTCATTAAAAAAAGAAAATTTTCTCAAACCATAAGCACCCTTAAATTTACTCTAAATAAATTCCAAACTGGGCAAATAACATGTCCTCGTGGTCATGGCAGAGTCAATGTATTATCCAAAGAACATTACGGTTCATGTTCCTCTGTTTCAACACTGGGCGAGTTCCAAGATAGTCTTTCCTCATAGAATTTTATGACTACTTGTGGGCATTTAACGTTAGCTTGTTTGGCTGGCACCAGATCGGCCTCGTCAGTTCCCACCCATTTCATTAAAAACATTAGAGGTCCTGAACTGTTGGTTGCTCCAATTATCTTTTCGGGCTCAAGCCCCCTGTCAAAACCATGTAATTTTTTTTCATCCGGTTTGAATGGTTTTTTACCAGACTTCAATTCTGAGGTTGGGGTCCCTGTACTTTTTCTTTTTTTGCTTTTTTCAGCCTCTTTTGCTACCCGATCGGCTTCGAAGGCTTTTATAAGGCTTGGACAATCGAGATTACCTTAAAGAAATAAGTATAAATATTATAGTTTTCTCTTGTGATTCTTATGCCATTGAAAAAGGCCTTGGATATAGAGATCGTTCGAATTAAAATAGCAAAAATGCCAACATAACAATTCTCACCTTCAGGTTCCCATGTATTATCTTTGTCATCATAACCAATCCACTTTAACAAATACTCTTTTACGCCGTTTTTCATACGAAAATCGATTATTTTTTCGACAACGTATTCTTCGGGGGCTTCGGCCGCCCCTGGTTCCGGACTAGACTTCTTCGAAGACATTTCGACGGGTTAAAATTCCTGAGTAATTGTATAATTCCAAAATAAAAACCGGAGGAAAAATTAAAAGTGAGGGATGTTATTTTTATTTATGGATGAACCCATTTTTGACACTTGACGTTTCCTGCGACAGACATTTTAGCGGGAAAGCCACGGCGAAAACGGAAACTACAGTGTTGCCATACATTTCACTGTTTTAAGTTTGGTTATTGTTTCTAATGGCGTTTTGATTTAGATTGTAATATTTTCCATCTCTCTCTCTTTCAGCCCATTAAAGAAACAGATTGATATACATTTTTTTTGCACTTATTCTTTTCACACCTAGGAGGAGCTCCGGAACAGCTCCGGGGCGTTACGCGCCTATTCCTTTCGAAAAGTGTTTGTTGCACCTGAGTGCTCAAGCCCGACTCAAACTACAGTGCCTCTATACAAGACAGTGGCGACAATAGAGGGTCTCATTTTTGATTGGCTGCAGAATATCGGCTATGTTTTGTCGAAAGTTATTTGTGTTTACCGTTTGATTCTATAGAGATTTATGCAATTTTGTGTTAATATATTTTTGTTCTTGTTATTTGTGCCTGTTATTGACTATTTTGTGAGAAAAAATTAGAACAGAAAAAACAAATACATTATTGAATGAGTTCGACAAAACAGGGCGGGTGGGCGGAGCTTAGGCGCTAAACTTATTTGTGTAAAATCATTTGATTCTATGGAGATTTATGCAGTTTTGTGTTAATATAATTTTGTTTTTGTTATTTTTGCCTGTTATTGACTATTTTGTGATAAAAAGTTAGAACAAAAAGAAAAGAATAGTTATTTATGTATCAAGGGTACTAAGTAGATGATTATGCCCTGAGGGCGACAGCCTTACAAAGCCGAGGGCTTCTGGCCCGAGGGTTCGTAAGTCGCCCGAGGGTATATATCTATTTAGTACCCGTGGTGCATACAAACTTTTATGTCATACCAGGGGGACTTTATTTAAAATCGATGCAACTTTGCGTACACGCAAACGACTTCATTTGCGGCGTAATTGTCAACCTGATGTTTAGAATGCTACATTATGCCCGCGCGGGCCAGAATGTGTACTTTATGCCCGCACGGGCATAAAGTGATGAATTATGTAGATGGTATCTAAGGTATAAAAAGACAATAATGTATTGGTATGACATAAAAAAACAAATACACTTTTGACTGAGTTTGACAAAACATGGCGGGTGGGCGGGGCTTAGGCGCTATTGTCGCCACTGTCTTGTATAGAGGCACTGTAACTCAAACCATTTTAAATGCATGAAAGCCAGCGCATCTGTTCCTTTCAAATCGGGGTCGACTAACACCGGAGCGAGTAGCTCTAGTGTTTCAAGCTCTTGAAAGGAATACAACTATAGGCACACGAACCAAATACAAGTCATTAAACTATAGGGAAGAGATGGAATTTTAATTAACTTCAACCCTATTTAGCTACAACATTTACCTGTGGAGGTTTTAATCATAAAATCCTCATTATTACCTGTTATCTGGTCCAAAAATGGAAAGTTCAGTTTACCTTAGCCGCTTTCCAGCTGACGCTTTTGAGTACGCAATCGAGCTTTTGCGCACGCAAATGCTTCAAGCGCGTGTTCGTGTTCCAGCCGTACTGCGCTTCAAGAGCTGCTAACTTTTGCGTTTCAAACACAGAACACTGTGCTGCGCCGTGTTTGAAGCACACAGCTGGAAAGCGGCTCTTGTGTTCGGTATTTTGTTCAAAGAGCAGAGTGTGCTGAAGCGGAGACGGAATCATGAGCGTACAGAGCAGTTAAACGCCAGGTTTGTTTTTTGTGGTTCAGGGCAGCACTTCCTGCTTTGGGGCGTTCGTTTATGAGCATTTTATATGGATTATCTGCACATATTATCTGCCATAATCTGAAATATTACAGCTTAGTTCAAGTTAGTGCGACACAAAAAAACAAGCCTGCTGTATCAGAGCGCAAGAAATTTCAATAAACGAACGCGAATGAGCATGCACCGAGTACACTTTATAAATAAACGAACAGGTAATTCAAGAGCTCGGTCCAGCTCGGATAAAAATACCGAACGCACTGTTATGGTTACATTATTACGAAACAATAGGGAACAATCATATTTTTCAAATTATCTTTTTTCTTATTGCTTATGTTTCCAAATATAAAATACATATGTTTTCTTTCGTATTATGTCTTCATTAAAATAAAAAGAATCTATAAAATTTCAAATTATTTCCGTTGGCGCGAAAACGATTACCTTTAAGATGTCGGTACTTGTGACGTCATCTGTTTGTAAATTATGTAAATGCAACGTTAAGGTCTGTTTTCGCAAGAGTCTCTGACACTTTGCAAACTGTCAGAAAAAATTGCTCTTACTTTTGACTGCATTGAATGCGGTTTTTACGTGGTGTTTCTGTATTTGGCGTATTGTGACATTTTGTATTTTAGTTAGTTTGTCATGATTTATACAGGATTTACAGAAGCACAGTCTGACAATCTTCTATAGACCCATTATGGTGGTTCAATATCAGTCGTGGCGTGAAGTTAGCTGTTCGTGGACCAATCGTTCTTCAGGACCCAAGAATGAACCATGAAAGCGTGGACCACGTTCGTTATTCACGGTCAGTGTAAACTACCATTAACCTTGGTTTATGAACAGTTGACGTCACCGAAAGCGGCCATGTTGAACTTAGCTTTTCCGCGCGAAACTTTTCAATTTGAAACTAATAATTGCCGTATGAGAATAATATCGATAAATTAAACGCAAAACTGCTCATATTCAATATTTTACAGGAAAATGTGCTACATAAAAACAAAATGAACCATATTTATTTCTTATGAGAATTCCCTATTATCTCGGAAACGGCATGCACGATTTTTATGAATTTTGGTTTGAAAATATGTAGCTATTTATGATATAAGTGCTAAAAGTGACATTTTATTTTGTGGAAAGGGAAGTTTTGGACACGACGCCGACGTTCCATACTTAAAACTCACTCCGTATATTTGATATATGTTCCGTATATAGACTTTCAAGACATGGCGGTATAGGCAATTCAATGCTTTACCTGTTGGCCGGAGTCTCATGCATACGTTTTCCGACGAAAGATCTCTGAATAACCCTCTTAGGATAATCGTACGAAAATATGTCAAAATAGAAGTTTTTTCGGACATCTTTCGTCGGAAAACGGATGCATGAGTCTCCGACAATGAACTACCAAAGCTGAGTTCGGCTTGCACACTCCGTGCACTCCGAGTGACTCCGTTCGCACTCCAGCCGTTTGGGTATTGCCTTTTAACGAATCAGACAACGGCTGGAGTGCGAACGGAGTTACTCGGAGTGCACGGAATGTGCAAGCCGAACCCAGCTCAAGTATTTAAATTTTACGGAAACAGACCATTGAAAAATAATTATCGATACCTACCTGCTAGCTGAAACAACTTTAAACATAAACGATCTCAATCTAACAGTATATTTACCTTATTTTTTAGACCTTCAGGTAGATACTATACATCATCTGTGTGGGAGCGAATTAGAATATCTCCCAACGTATATATCGTCCGTGTCCTAGAAGGCGACTAAAAGAAACCGAAATCCTGCCGTTATAAGCAGTACCTTCTTGTCAACCGCAACTGCTTCGGCGGGTGGAGGAATTAACAAGTGTCAGGACACTCTCTTGTCCTATGGAAGAGAAATTGTCACGCGGATGCAAAAAGCAAATGGGAGACTACTGCATTGAAGATCTGTTTGGATATCCTAAGAGAAACTTGCAAAATGAGTACCTACAGGTAGCAAGTAGCAACAGGCCATGGAATGTCAGAGGACTTCACGCGACCGGTAAGCTCAATATTCTTGAAAAAGAGCTTACAAGAAGTAATATTGCTATCGCTGGCCTGTTTGAGACTCATTATAGGGACACAGGGTACCCTTATTCACTTCCAGCAGTGACAATTTGGGACTATTCTGGGCTATAAATGTTTGAGTGACAGGATAATCGCGCTAAGAATCAATGCGATCCTATACACCGATCAATATTGTGCAGGTCTACACCTACTTCCAACTCTGATGAAGACACTGTGGAATCATTTTATAACGACCTTGAGTCGACACTCGAATTTCTTGGAGATATTAACGTTAAAGTTGGTCAAACAGTAGAAAATGAACGTCTGGGGCCAACGTCGGCTCCAATTTTGTATTGACCACAGCTTGATTTTAATCTGATACTCCATAAGAATGTGAGCTGGTGGCACCGTACATTAGAACGCCAATGGTCACCTGACGTCACACCTGTTTTTGCCATATGCTTCACCCCCTCATCGCTCCTCATACGGAAAGTGTTAAATTAAAAACGACACTCAATACCTGAGTCTCACCCATTCGGCGGTCATCTATTAGCGTTTGGAAAACTAGGTTCCGATTGTGGCTCAGACCATCAACTCCTTCTTTGTGAGTTTCAGTTTAAGCTGAAGATATGCCCACATTCTAAGCGGAATCTTTCATCAGAAATAGTTGACCCTGCCTCCGGTCAAAATGTTCTTAGCTTGCTTCGATAGCGGATGAATCTCTTTCTAATAATATGTGGTTAACATTTAAAAATGTTTTTACACAAGCTGACACACATTGTCCGGGATTGAGGCACGTAGAGAGCTTAAGATCTCAGATCTCGATTCTGTTGTAAATCACGATGGGTATAGACAATCAACAAGTGAAATCCAACGACTCTGCCGTCAAGATAAGAACTCCTCTCTTCAGGAATTAATCATCAGGGAAATACAGACTTGATGAGATGAGAACGCCGATGGACATCTCATCACCAGCTTGGACGAGGTCATTGAGGTTTAGCGTACGCATATTGTGAGAACCTTTATTAGGATGTTAACATTCAAGCCCCTTTGTTTAATTACGAATGTGAACCAGAAATTCTTTTTTCGGAAGTGGAACATGCCGCCAGGAATCTAAAAGCCTGTAAAGCGACAAGAATGTATGCCCTTTCTGCCGAAACTGTGAAGTGCTTGAATGATAGGGGCATACATTTTTACATCGTAGGTATTTGTCAGAAAGTTTATTCCTCCGGTGTCTGATGGCCAGATGAATAGAACACTTCAATCTATATTCTACTTCATATAGAAAAGGATCTTCGGTCAACTCAGCAAAGTTATGCTGTATAATCTGCAGTCTGGTTTGGAGGATTTTGTGGACTGGCAAATATCTCCAGAGCAGGCAGGTTTCGTAAAGGTACGCGTGAACAGATCTTGAACTTGAGGCACATTGATGAAAAGGCCAGAGAGCATTACTTTCCAGTCTATATCTGTTTTAAGGAATACTCCTAGGTATTTGACAACGTAAAGTGGCCTAAACTATGTGAAATTTTTCTCTACATGGGAGGAAAGTTCCTCACCACCCGATATTTTTCATACTACAGCTATATGAGTCCAACACAGCTCGATTAAGAATTGACGGTAACATGTCTGATCACCCTACAACAAGAAAAGAATTTCTTCGGGAATGTGTGTTATCGCCGATGTTGTTTAACATCTATTCCGAATGTGGGATGAGACAGGTACTGGACGATTGGCACGGTGGTGCAACTCTTGGTGGAATCAAGATATTTAATTTTGGGTTTGCCGACGATACGTACTACTTTTATTGCAGGCTGAATTGTTAAGCCGGATCCAGAATATGTAACAAAACATGTTAAATAACAAAGTTTTATAAGTTATTACGGAATTTGAAATAAAAAGGTTTTAAAACACAGTGTTGTATAATATTTTGCTGGTTATATAGAATGTTTTATGTTATCCATCAGAGGTCGGTAACAAAGTGACTCAACAAGTGCAAAGTACATACCCCTTGCAATGTCATGACCCAACTCATTACGAACCGTCCCTAACGCATAACATGCCGGAACTAGTTTTTTTTGTAGGTTAATAATATGTTCACCAAATTTCATTTTAGAGTCTATAGCTAAGCTCAATAACTTGGAACACTCTTTATTAGCAAGTACCTAGCTCATCATTTAAACTCACATTTGCAACAGAATACTTAGGAAAGTAAATTTGTTTTTGATATGTTAAAAGTTAGTTTATTGGAGTCACACCACTGTTTTACCTTACGAAAATCTTGCCCAATCATCCAAGGTGACCTTATCAGATGCCAGTCATAAGATGGTAGTATCATCAGCGAATAATGTAAATGATGCATCAATGCTGATGCAAGCAAAATCAAAGCACTGATCCTTGGGACTCCCCATGCTCAATGCTCCGAATCCAACTCAAAGTGTTACCCCTGAATCCATAATGAAAGTGTTTCTGGAGTAATATCTTACGGCTTACACAATCGAAGGCCTTGAGAAGTCGCAAAAGACCGCAGCCGCGATCTCCCCCTGATTCAGGCCCAGGATACCAGCCTCTGAAGAAAGTTGAACACTGCATCACTAGTGCTTTTCTTGTCTTGAAATCCAAACTGGTTGATATTCAGCAACCCGTGAGCCCCAAGAAAAGAGACCATCCTAGACTTAACAAGTTTTTCTAATATCTTAGACTGTCTTAGAGAGTGTTGGCAGCAGAGATATAGTATAGTAGATCAGATCAGTAGATCAGTATCAACTATGATAAGACCAAGGATCGTTGATAGGGAACATGGCAATCATTCTGAAATATCGCCAGTAGGCCGTTTTCAGGTATTCTGAATATCTCCGGTTCTTTGATCGACAATTCAGGTGGCTGCGAGGTTGAATGTCTAGTCTGCTGCCTTTTCCATATTTTTGTATGGCTCTGGGGCCGGTTGCTCAGTAGCAAGTCACCTCCAGGTTGGTTTTAACTCCAGGGTAAACGTGTCCAGTTGCAATGTTTACTCTGGAGGTGGTTCGCTATTGAGAAACCGACCCTTAGAAAGGCATCAGATTGCCACCTCATAGACACATTTGAAATGTGAACTTGGAGGAGAATGCTTATATAGCTCACCGAACGACGTTTCCATATTAAGCGAACTCGGATATACAAAACGACTATCCTCCATTGTTTCAACGCATATCCTGACATTCTTCGGCCATAGATTGCGGAAAGCAGTTGACGACCTACGTGTCGGCAATCCTCCAGTTCTGATTTAGTACATTTGATGAGTTCACAACATGTCTGGCAAGACATCGTGACTATGATAATGATGATTAGGCACTACAGCAAGACATAATTTCAGATCCTATATCTATATGCAATACAGTTGAAGATAAGATTTCCTGCTATCTATGATACAATTTTGGAGATTTGATTTTTCAAAGTTTTTAGAAATTCTCCCATACAACCATAAAGAAATGTTGCAATCTCAAAGTTTTCGATGTCGAGATTTTGACTTGGCTCCATCCTGTGAATCAATGCAAGATTTACAGCCGAAACGTTTGAAAATAGGTGTTTGTGACGTCACACTGGATTATCAGTGACAGTATAAACACGTGTAAGAATTTTCCAAAACAAAAGACAATTATCCCCTAGAGCAAATTGCAACCACTCAAAGTATAGGGTACGGTTCACTGACTACTGAAGGAACAGAAGACTGCGATTTCATCGGCGATTGTGACATCACAAGTTCCTGCATAATTTTTCTTCACAAGACATTTTCTCGGAGACTGCGGTTTTCACGAGAGATCTTAAAAAAAAAATCTTGATTCAAGTAGCCTCAGTCGTTTTTTAGGGTCTCACCCCCTTTAACGGATTTTGTATATTTCATTACAAATGAGTTAAATTTTTCAGCACTTGTAGTCCTTCACTACAACAATATTCACAGGAAATTTCAGATTTTTGATGCAGTTCGAGATAATTTTAAACAGGGTGAAATTTAAACATTTTCCATGTCGAAATTTTGACTTTCAGGACCGGTTTATCAGTGGACGGTTATCTAGTTTAGCTGCAAGTTAACTAATGATAATTGTGATGATTTTTGCCCAAAAAAGTCCTACAGTACAGTTTTCAACATAAATAATGAATTTATGAGGTAGCTATGTTTCAAATAATCAATAATTAAAACTAATTTTAAAATAATTGCGATAGTAAAAAATAAATAAACGACATCGGATATTAAAATTGACATGCATAAATGTTGGCGATTTTTTTTATAGGTACAAATACCAAATTGTTTCTGTGCAAATTATAACTCTACGTAATTTTAAATCGCACATACCTAATAAAATCCAATACTTTGACCTCCTCTAAGACCAATATGGGAATACAAATTTTTGTATTATTCAAATTCAAAGCTCAAAGTTGAATAAATTAAATTGCAAGTAGTTTTTTAGTGCGGAATAGACAGAAACCAAGTACCTATCTACCTTTGGGAAAACAATAATTAATACAAATACGGAAATTAAGGTCAGCTAGCTTGGAATCTTCCGCATCTGTAAATTTTCCACGTTAATAGCGAATTGATAATTTTCCTAGGCAATAAATAGGTATCAAGGTTTTGTTCTTGGAATAGTTGATTCTGAACAAGTACCTACACCTGTGATATAATAATTTTGCAAAAGAATTAACAAATACAAAAAAGCAATTGGATACCAAAATAATAGGCTTATGCTCAAATGTACAAAATGTGTAGTTTCCAGCAAATATTTTGAATTATTGTTTTGTCAATTTTTTCTGCTATTTTTAAAGTAAACTTTTGAGACAACTGGGTTGAAACTCTCACTAAAATACGCCTAAAATTTGAAATCTAGTATGAGAGAACGACACTGTGGACGCCCAGTAAAAAAAGGTAGTCAAAATTTGTAAAATGGAATAAACTTTTATTTTGAGTCAACTGTATAGAGCAAAATGTAGTATTATTCAATGTTTTGTGTTAAAGTGAGCAATTGGATAATGATGACGCAATTAATTAGTAACTGATATTATGATAGGCCTCATTAGTTGAATTTTTTTCTCTATATAATTTATTATAGCATTTTTGCAAAAAACCACAAATCAAACGCACGTTTGGCTTATTTTCAATTAACAATAATATAACCGACGCAACAAAATTATAAATGCTGACGGCATTTTTTTATGTTTTATAGCAACTGGAGAACCATGGAATCCCCCACTCGTTTTGGGTTATAACTATAGAACAAATCATAAAAATAATAATACTTGCTTCCCTATACCCATATTATTATTATAATGGTTCTGCTGATGGTACACTTTTGATTCTTCAAAAAAAAAATAGTTTAATTGGTGTCAGATATGGTGCGGATATGTGGTTTTATTTTGCTTTGGTTGTTATCGGATTGTTGGGGGTTGAATAATCATAGTGAAAAAGTCAATAAGGATGGGGTAGCAATGATGGAAAGAATGCAGAATAATGGTTCTGCAAGAATTCCAAATTTGGGTACGCACAAATTTTTCTCAGTGAATAATTATTTTTTACATGATATTCTTTTTTCTAGATCGATATGAAAAACCATATACAAAACATGTTAATAATTTGAAAAAATACTCGCTCAACAGCAACATAGAAGAAAATTTACAATACATTGTCAATCAAATTCCCAATGAAAAATGCAAAACTGATATGAATCAAGTGTTGAAAGGTTTAAAGAACAAGGAAAAATGGGCACTAAAATGTACGTGAATTATTCACAAAAGAATATTTAATTAAAATAATTTATTTTGTAGTATTTGACGCTTTTCCTAAATTCCCACTTGGACTTTTATACGGTAATATGTACCAATTGGGAAACTTTGACGAATGTATAAGTGTCCAAAATGTTGAAATTACTGGACAATATTGTTTAGCGGACATTGCGTTTCAAGTTAAAGACAACTATACTGGATTGGTGCGACCATTGGATGACGAATCTGAACAAAGAGGTAAATTCAATAGTACCAGCATCCATTGGGCTATATGCTTACCCTCAACTTGCAATCCTAAAGATGGAGAGATTTTAGTTGAAGAAGTGTTCTCTTCTTTAATTGATTTGAAATCTTTGGAAGTTATTATTGAAGAAAAAAGTTGTTATTATAAGCAACCAAATACTACTTCTATAGGGGAGATTGTTTATGGGTAAAACATCTTAAATAGGCTTGTTTCATTATTAAAAAACTATTTTTCTAGATCTACTATAGCATTACTATTAGTTTTCATCCTATTAGCAACAGTATTACACTTATGGACAATAAAAAAACGTAAAAAATACGTCAGTTACAATGTAGATGCTGTAAGGGAGCACAACGTATCACTAACCAGCGAAGTTATTTTAAGTTTTTCCTTAATTCAAACCGTAAGCAAATTTTTACAAATTAAACCCACAGACTTAAATTTGGAATGTATTTCCGGCATAAAAGTATTGTCGATGATGTTTATTATTGCTGGACACTCTTTGATTTTTCTGTTTGGCAGTCCTGTGTCCAATGCCGAATTTGCATTCGAGGCAAGTGAGATTTTTGAGTCGCACAATAATTTATTTTAATGTTTAAATTGAATTTTAGATGTATAAACAGGTGAACAACAGCATATTTCTAAATAGTGCTTTATTAGTAGACACTTTCCTGGTAGTGAGCGGATTTCTAATGTGCAGGCTTTTGCTACTCGAATTGGACAAGCGGAAAGGAAAAATCAACTTTTTGGTTTTATACATTGCCAGATATATAAGGTACTCAGATTATTAGTGCAAATGCTTACTGAAATGACATTTTAGGTTGACCCCAGCTTATTTGGTAATCTTAGGTTATTACTTGACGTGGTTACCAAACGTGGGCGATGGGCCTTTATGGAAAAATGTTACTGAAACTGAAAACTCTAGATGTAAAAATTCGTGGTGGGCTAATTTGCTTTATGTTAATAATTACGTTCAGACTGATCAATTGGTAATTAATTTATTATTATTTTTTAAAATATAATTCAAGCCCACATAATAAGCAGACATATTTTGTTTCAGTGCATGTTTCAAGCTTGGTACCTGGCAGCCGACTACCATCTTTTCATCGTTGCACCCTTCCTGATTTACCCACTCTGGAAATGGCCGAAACCTGGCGTGAGTTTACTCGTTACCGTCACAATTGGGACAATTATTTTACCTGGTTATATCACTTACAAAAACGAATTAGATCCCACGATACTTGCGTTTTCTCCGTAAGGATTCAATTTTTTAAATGCTCATGTGATTTTCATGTTTTGTTTTAGAGAAATTCAAGATTTATCAACAAATTACTACTTTGTTACGGCTTATATTAAAACTCATATGCGAGCGAGTTCTTACTTTTTAGGGATGATTTTTGGGTATTTGGTACATGAAATGCAAACAAATTGGTAAGATATAGGTAGTTTTTCTATAATAGTTTTTCAGAAAAACTGGCTTGTCAGTGAAAAAGCCTTTGTTCCTTGGGTTCAGTTGGATGTCCCTTTTATAGAAAAGAGATCTTTCCACCCTACCTAAATCCTCTTACGCGACCCTTGTATGCCCAAGGTTCTTCTAATACTCTTTGTCGCAATAATTCCCCAATTCTCCGTATTCGAACATAAAGCTAAATACAAGCTAAACAATTTTTGGCCCTTATTGCTAATGTTTCTGTTTAATTTAAATATTTTAAACCATCCTTAGAGCAAACCCAGTGATTTTCAGTGTAGGTCTATCACAACAAAAGAATGGGCCAATAATTCTGACCCAAATATATAATAAATCCAAAAAAAGCGAAAGATTCTTAATCTAAGGGTCCCAAGAACCTGATTGAATCTGAATGTTCTAAGAATCAAAACAAGTTTTTCATGGACAAATGAAGAAGTTTCGCAAAGTATTGACTCGATCTCAAGAATCTTGGGGCAAGAATCAGAAAATTCACAGGGTTTCCTCAAAGAAAAACAGAATATTTGCAAAAGAAAGATTCTTAATCTAAGGGTCCTAAGACCCTGATTATAGGATTATAATCTTCTGAGGATCAAAAGAACTTTTTCATAGGTAAAATAAAGAAGTTTGCAAAGTATTGACTCGAGATCTCAAGAATCTTAAGGCAAGAATCAGAAAATTGACAGAGTTTTCTCAAACAAAAACAGAATATTTGCAAAAGAAAGATTCTTAATCTAAGGGTCCTAAAACCCTGCTAGGATCTGAATATTCTAAGGATCAAAAAAACTTTTTCATAGAAAAATAAAGAAGTTTGCAAAGTATTGACTCAAGATCTCAATAATCTTGAGGCAAGAATCAGAAAATTCAGAGTTTTCTCAAAGCAAAACAAAGTATTTGCAAAAGAAATATTCTTAATCTAATAGGGTCCTGAGAACCTGATAAGATCTGAATCTTCCAAGAATCAAAAGAACTTTTTCATAGGGAAGTTCGCAAAGTATTGACTCAAGATCTCAAGAAAAAAAAAGAATCCTAATCTTAGGGTCCTAAGAACCTGATAGGATCTGAATCTTCTAAGGATCAAAACAGCTTTTTCATAGAAAAATAAAGAAGTTTGCAAAATATTGACTCAAGATCTCAAAAATCTTGAGGCAAGAATCAGAAAATTCATAGAAATTTCTCAAAGAAACTAGTAGATTTATACGCCTTTAACTCTTTAATTATTTTTCTGTAGCTACAAGCTCTCGGCTGTGAACATATGGATAGGCTGGATCTTGGCAACTATTTTCAGTAGCTGTAGCATGTTTTCCATCGTTTTTTTCCTGGACCCTGACTATAGCTATGACGCTGTCATATCGTCGATTTATGCCCCTTTGCACAGGGTTGCCTGGGCCTTGGCTTTAGGATGGGTTATTGTTGCTTGTGTCACCGATAATGCCGGTAAATTTGCCAAAAATAAACTAATTTGTTATTTACCAAATTGATTTTCAGCTATTATCAACAAGTTTTTATCGTGGAAGATATTTATACCGCTCAGTAGGTTGACGTATTGTGCTTATTTAGTCAATGGATTGGTATTGATTTGGCATAAAGGGTCGGCAAGAGATGCAGTTTCATGGACCAGATTAGGATTGGTAAATATATGTTTTGATTTTTGAGAAATTTTTCGAAAAAATTTGAATCCTAAAGAGGTGTGCATGACTATAAAAAAAACCATAATATTTGGGCAAGAAAAAGTACAAAAATATAAACCTAAAAAAGAGGTAGGAGTTTCATGGGAAGGTTACAGCCAGAATTATGGGACTGAAATATTAAGCCCAATATAAATCTATAAAACTTATCCTGCTATAGCAAATTACAGTGGGTAGAATTGTTTTCTATTACCGGTTCTCGTCAAAAATTTTCTACATTGAGAGCCAGGGATAATAAAATATTGATCACCCCTGTATCTTTACACAGTGGTAGAATTGTTTCCGATTACCGGCTTTCGTGAAAGATTTCCTACAAGAGCCGGGAATATTAAAATGTTGATGACTCTGTATCTTTATACACGGGCATATTTTTGTTGAGTCAAATTATATTGGGTAGAATTTTTTTCTATTACCGGCTCTCGTAAAAGATTTTCTACATTGAAAGCCATAGGTATAATAAAATATTGACCACTCTGTATTTTTACACAGTGGTAGAATTGTTTCCGATTACCGGCTTTCGTGAAAGATATCCTACAAGTGCCGGGAATATTAAAATATTTATCACACTGTATCTTTATACAGTAGGTAGAATTGTTTTCTATTACCGGCTCTCGTCCAAGATTTTCTACAATAAGAGCTAGGGATGATAAAATATTGATCACCCTGTATCTTTAAGCAGTAGTGGAATTGTTCTCGATTACTGGCTTTCGTGAAAGATTTCCTATAGTTCTTGTATACAAGAACCAGGAATAATGAAATATCGATCACTCTGTATCTTTATACAGTGGCTCATTTTTGTTGAGTCAAATTACAGTGAGTAGAATGGTTTTTTATGACCGGTTCTCGTCAAAGATTGTTTGAATTAAAAGCTAGGAATGATAAAATATTGATCATCCTGTATCTTTCGTGAAAGATTTCCGACAAGCGCCGGGAATAATAAAATATTGATCACTCTGTATCTTTATACAGTGGCTTATTTCTGTTGAGTCAAATTACAGTGGGTGAAATTGTTTTCTATCATCGGCTCCCGTCAAACATTTTCTACATTAAGAGCCAGAGATAATAAAATATTGTCCACCCTGTATCTTCACACAGTGGTGGAGTTCTTTTCGATTACCGGCTTTCGTGAAATAAAAGATTCCTACAAGAGCTGGGAATAATAAAATATTGATCACTCTGTATCTTTATCTGAATACTGAATCTCGAAATTGATCATTTTAACTCCAAGACACACACTTTTCTTTTGGATTTAAATTTTCTCGATTAATCCTTTATTTATTGCTCTAAATTCTAAATAGATACTGTAGGTATTAATTTTTATTTCCGCCTTAATATTTTTTGTAATTTTCATTTCTAGGCCTATGTTTTATTTGGACATCTAGTAATGACTTGCATTTTGGCATTTGTCCTATGTATATGCTTCGAATCTCCAATTCATGGAATAGAAAAGATTTTACTCAGAAAAGGTAATCAATTAAAGAAATTATCAATTGAAACTGTTAATTTTTATTTTTAGGGTCCCGTTCATCAAGCAGTTCCAATCAATCAAGTGTGCCTACTTAAAAAAGTTCAAATAAAATGTAACCCTTAAACCTTTACTTTAAATTGTAGAATCAGTTGTTTTTAAACCTGCTTACATTACATATATTTGAATATATGTAATTACCTTTTGGTAAGAATTTCAAAACATTTTATAAAAGTAAACCTTCAAAATCCTCCAGTAACTTCAATAGAAGCACCATTTATGTAAGAACTTTTATCCGAAGCAAGAAACAGAATAACTTCAGCCACCTCTAAAAAAAAATAAGGTCAAAAACATATTAATAAACCATTCCTATTACCTTCTGGTTGTCCAAATCTCCCCAAAGGTATCATCGCCAAAAATTTGTCTTTAACCTTTTCAGGTACAGCTAAAGTCATAGGAGTTGAAATCATGCCGGGCAAAACTGTGTTAACTCTTATACCCATTTTAGCGTACTCTTTAGAAGCTACTTTAGTTAATAAATCGACGCCTGCTTTGCTGGCACAATAGTTTGCTTGGCCCATGTTACCATATTTAGCTACGATGCTGCCAATGTTGATTATCGAAGCTTTGCCAACTTGATGTTTGACTAGCGCATTGGCAAAATGTTGCACTATTAGAAATGTACCCTAAAAAACTGTCTTGATAGAGGAACTAAATTTTTTATGCGTTGAAATGATTACCTTCAAATTTACATCAATTACTTCCATAAAATCCTCTTCTGACAATTTCCCCAAAAAATTATCCCGTGTGATTCCGGCAGCATTAACAATTATACTGGGCGGTTTGGAGTAGATTTTGATAGCATTTTCCAATGCTTCTTTGACATTTTCCTTATTCTCGACCGATAGTTGCACTGATAAATGCTTCTGATCTTGAGGTAATAATTTTACAGTTTCTTCTGCGCTTGATAATATTTTATCTGCTGCTAAAACGGTGGCACCTTCTTTGGCTAGCAACTGGCAAGTGGCTCTACCAATGCCAGATCCTGCACCTAGAGAAATGCTCAAGTAAAAAATCAGTGATTGAGTGGTTTGTTAGAAATTTACTCTTACCAGTAACAAAAGCTAGTCGGCCTGTAAGACTCATTTTTATTGTATCTATTTTTTAAATGCTAACTACAAAGTAATAATAAACAATAAGCTTCAGGTGTATAATAAATGAGGAGCAAAGTCCCACCGCATGTTTGAAAATATGTTTTTGTTATCTTTTATTTAATTCGCTGAATAAAATCAAGTCCAAGGACAAGGACATATTGAAGTGTAGCGTTTTCATTTGGTTCTGACTGCGGTGAATAGTCAAGAATTTAGATAACCGATATGATAATGTTGGCTACACAAGGCTTTTCCACATTCATAGTGGTATTGTATCACCAACATGAATAACATGATATTGTAACGATCCAGAAAAATGGAGCATTAATTTACGCAGGGTTTGAAATGCCTAGAGATAGTTTTCTGGAAATAGAAGTAAAACTCAAATTATTTTTTTTTTTATAAAGCGGCTATATTAAAAGGTTTCTAGAAAGGCCGCAGAATATAATTTTGCAATCAGTAGTTTTATAAAAGGACGTACCTGCCTGCGTAATATACTGATTTCAATGAGAAATAGTTCAAGTGTTATTTTAATCAAGATTAATTTCGAGGAAGATTCTTATAAACTTCCCTAAATTACCGCATGCCAACAAAAAGGCCGGAAGCTATAAAAAGTCCCAAAAATAGATTCCCTACTCTCAAATTAATAATAAGCACATTTGTAACATCACGAGGTTTCTGAACCTGAAGATGTTTGGGCATTGAATGCAAAGCTAAAGTACCTAATTAAATTGTGGGTACCAAGTGACATATTCATCTGAAAATCATTATTTATGGCCAACACGAGTTTTGGAATCCTTTGCTAGATACGGCTTCACATTTTCACGAGATCCGTTGTCCCCAATAATCAAGGAAATTGCGACATCTTCAAATGAACAAATAATTATATTTCTTAGAAATAGTGGGAGAGGAATTTGGACCAACGTATCGAAATCACGGGGACTCATTAGGGTCGAATGGAGAAAAACTCTCTACAGTCATCAGAGATCTGGTCAGTTAGTATACTGATAATTTTTGCCTTGAGCCAGCAAAAATTACTTGAGAAATGCCATATAGTTCAGTATAAACTGCATGATCTTTCTATTTTGCCTATCAGACATAGCTCAGCATCCAATATGGATATTCAATATTTAGTTGATCCTAAAAAAATATCCAATGGATAAAGGAGCCATAGATAATCAAAATTTTTGAACTATTACCGGCTCTTGATTCTCTGGGGAACTTTCCTGGAGCTAATTAAGAGCCGGTGATAGTCAAAATTTGAGCTTTTATCAACTCTGGATTCGCTAGAGACTTTTCCTAACGGCATTCAAAGCTCAAGAGCCGATAATAATCAAAATTTCGAATGATCATTAGCAGCTCTTACGTTGATGTGAATCAAAATTTCTTCCGCACCTTCTAATTAGCTCAAGAAAAATTATCCAATCCATCAAGAGCAACAGATAATCAAAATTTGAACTATTACCGGCTCTTGATTCTCTGGGAAACTTTCCTGGAGCCAATTAAGAGCCGGTGATAGTCAAAATTTGAACTTTTATCAACTCTGGATTCGCTAGAGACTTTTCTTAACGGCATTCAAAGCTCAAGAGCCGATAATAATCAAAATTTCGAAGGATCATTAGCAGCTCTTACGTTGATGTGAATCAAAATTTCTTCCTCACCTTCTAATTGGCTCAAGAAAAATTATCCAATGCATCAAGAGCAACAGATAATCAAAATTTGAACTATTACCGGCTCTTGATTCTCTGGGAAACTTTCCTGGAGCCAATCAAGAGCCGGCAATAGTCAAAATTTGAACTTTTATCAACTCTGGACTCGCTAGAGACTTTTCCTAAGGGCATTCAAAACTCAAGAGCCGATATTTATTAAAATTTCGAATGATCATTAGCAGCTCTAAGTTGACATGAATCAAAATGTCTTCTTTCGCAACTTCTAATTGGCTCAAGAAAAATTATCCAATAGATCAAGAGCCACAGATATTCAATATTTAGTTGATACAAAAAATTTATCCAATGGATAAAGGAGCCATAGATAATCAAAATTTTTGAACTATTACCGGCTCTTGATTCTCTGGAAAACTTTCCTGGAGCCAATCAAGAACCGGTGATAGTCAAAATTTGAACTTTTATCAACTCTGGATTCCCTAAAGAATTGTTTTAAAGGCAGTCAAGGCTCGAGAGCCGATAATAATCAAAATTCTGAATGATCATTAGCAACTCTAAATTGATATGATTCAAAATTTCTTATTTCGCAACTTCTAATTGGCTCAAGAAAAATTATCCAATGGATCAAGAGACAGATAATCAAAATTTAAACTATAACCGGCTCTTGATTTTTTGGAAAACTTTCTTGGAGCCGATCAAGAGCTGGTAATAGTCAAAATTTGAACTTTTATCAACTCTGGATTTCCTAGAGACTTTTCCCAAAGGCATTCAAAGCTCAAGAGCCGATGTAATAATTAAAATTTCGAATGATCATTAGCAGCTCAAATATCTATGTTTGTTTGACTTTAGAGAGAAGTTTATCCATGGATATCGATTTTCCACACACCAAGCTCCAATAAAAAAAAAAATACCAAATTTATTTCAGAAAAAAAAACTCCTATGAACTAAAAAAATTAAAATTCGCAATCTTTGAAGGGATATTCGTTGCTCTCCATCAATTCTTCCGCATGCACACACCTGAAATCCTTGTTGAAGCCGTCTAAAACCTTCATATCTTCCTTGCTAAGTTCAAAATCGAAAATATCAATGTTCTCCTGAATTCTAGCCGGATTGGCCGATTTTGGTATCGGAAATGTACCAAGTTGAATCAAATATCTGAAAACCAAAATTTCAATCATAATTTTAAACTCTTTAAATGTTTACCTCAAGACTACTTGTGCACCATTTTTGTTGTATTGTTTACCGATTCCCACTAATCTCGGATCTTGTAAATTCAACACAGGTTCCCCATCTTTCCTCCATGGACGCGCAGGTGAACCGAAAGGACTATAAGCCGTAACATAAATATCTTTTTCCTTACAAAAAGCGATTAATTTCTTTTGATTTAAAAGCGGCGTCACTTCAATTTGATTGATAGTTGGCTTAACTCTAGCTATATCTATAATCCTTTGGAGTTGTTTGCTAGTAAAATTGGACACGCCAAGACTTTTTACCAGCCCCAAATCGACGCACTCTTCCATGGCCTTCCACGTTTCACAAAAATCGTGATCGTAGTAAACTGCATCTTTGAACGGTAGCTGAATGTCGAAAGTTCCAGTATTTTTACAGGCGACAGGCCAATGCATTAGAAACAAGTCGACGTAACTGAGGCCGAAATTTTCCAAAGATTTTTTCAGCGCTGGAAGGACGTCGTCTTTTTCGTGGAAAGTGTTCCATAGTTTGGTGGTGATAAATAAGTCTTCGCGTTTCACTATGCCTTCTTCGATGGCTTTTCGTACACCTTCCCCCACTTCCATTTCGTTGCCGTATAACCAAGCGGCATCGATATGACGATAGCCTACTTCAATTGCGTATTTCACGGTTTGAGCACATTTTCCAGGAGGAGACTGTAATAAATAATTAAATGAGTATTCAAGTATAAGACTTATTATTATCTACAAGAAAAATGAAGCAAATCAAGACATGGAAAGGTAAAAATTTTGAAAGTTTGTTGGATGAGGCTGGACATTATTCATTAACCAAGTAAGAAGACATCTCTACTGAAAAAGATATTGAAGATTTTTCAAGTTAATTCATTGATTTATGTTTATTTCTCAATTTTTGTTTTGTTTTAGTAGGTAGGTACGACCCTCTTATTTCCGACAAAACTCAAAAAATCCCAAAAAGTGTACCCGAGATTAATTGTTCCATCGTTTTTGATATTTTATTGTAGGTAGTTCAAAATTACGAGGCAACTTGTTTAATAATTGGATATCAAATGTGTAATTTATACTAAAAAACAACAAACAAGAATTCCAATGAAAAACCAGTGAAAAATTTGTACTTACCAGCCAAGTTCCTAATCCTAGCATAGGGATTTTTTGCCCATTAGGTAATAGAAATGTTTCTGCTGCCATATTTCCGCTGGCTTGCTTATAAACAACTACTTAAAAATGTTTAGAAAATTCACTTGATAAAAAATTATATCTCGATTGCATGCGGTTGACTACTCATCAAGTAGTACAAGTGACCTTCAATGAGCGCAAAATTATTTATTGTGTTGACAAGATTTTTTTATTAGACATGGATATTGTTGAATATTTATAGTTCAATACAGGAAAAGTGTTAATCAGCAAAGCATTTACATCTCATTTAAAATCAGACAACGCTTATACTCTATGCAAGTTTTCAAATTTGCTGGCTATGACTGAAAAAGTATCTGTTTCAAAGCAGAATATTTTTTCCGTGACAAAAATTGATCATAAATAAATTGGGCCTGAAATTCAATGTAAGTAAACAGAAAACTTCTACTTAATATCTCTCTCAAAACTGTTTTTAAAACACTATGTAACACCCTTGATTCTGGTCTTTATGGAGGAAGGCCCTTGCTTGTCAAACGCTACTTCGACTACAGCCAAGTTTCTTGAAACTCAGAGCAGTTTCCGGCAACTATTTGTTCCCATAATCTCTAAAATTACAATTAAATGAGAGCAAAAACAATAAAACAAATAAAAACCATGTATTTTTGTTTTGCAACGCGTTTAATACGTCATCCATTACTCGTTGGAATGTTGCGGGGGAATTTTTTAATCCAAAGGGCAATCGATATATTGAATTCGTAATGCCCGTTTTCTACATCTGAGCTGTTTTGGGTATAGAATCTGGATGCATTTCTAGTTGATGGGAGTGAAGTAGCTGCTACGATCTAATTTATCAAGTAATAACGAAATAAACAGCCAACATAATTATACGTCCTGCTCTGAGAAAAATCAGTTTTTTAAAAGTTTCTTTCAGTGTTAAGTGAATATTCCAAACGATTGATATTTTCAGTGGTATTTCCAAATATCTGGAGAAAAAGCTGCACAAAAGTATGAATATGGCTGAGAACTTAAATAATGCATTCCTGAAGGAAATTATTTTCGAAATTTCAAAAAATAAATCCGAAGAAGAGAGGAGGTAGACTCAGGCATCATTTGGAAAACTCCTTCACATCCCATAGAATAAAAAAAACCACAAGCTCGATGATAGACACAATATCTGAGAGCAAGAGCATATAGATAAGTACTTTAATTCAGATGTGAAGAGCTTTTTTCCTTTCAGTAGCTCTATAAAATGTTGTTGAAAGAATCAGGCTGAATTTAAAATGGATAGAGATTGCCTACGATAGAGAATCATGGAGGAATGAAGGGTAATAAGTCGTATGGCCAGAGGTGAAAGATCGGGGTTGACTAGATGGTATATACAAATATAAGGCGTTAGGCGAAAAACAAAAATAACATTAAAAGCAACAAATAATTTAATTAAGAATAAATTAAACTAATCCAGTAGTGTGTTTCACTTCTTACACTCACAATACATCTTTCCGTTTATATACATAACGCTATTAGGTAAACTAGTCATAACAGCCATATTCGAGGCTTGCGGTCTAGTTTCCTCGCCCCAAATTTCAATGTGGAAATCTGTGGGCTGGGACAGCTTGGAACGCATTTCGACGCGGACTTGTCCTTGTCCAACACCTCCGTCGCTTATTCTAGTTTCAGCTGCGTTACTGTCCCTGGTCATATGGTTCAGGACACGGACACACGTTATGTGGAACATGCCACGACCTGTCCAAGTGAACTAGAAAGAAAAAGGGAATTTGAGAATTTTGTTTACTACGAATATTTTTGCTGTACTATTCCCGCTACTTCTTTCACTATTGTGTAAAGCATCAGGGACGATACCACATAATGGAACTAACGGAATATAAGAATTTATTTGGGATTTAGAGTTGGAAAACCCAAAAATGTTTGTATTACTAAATGTCTATAGAAACTTCACACCAATCTAGTAACACAAAAAAAAGAGTTCATGTACTCACTGATGTTTTTTTGTATGCATATTGGTCAGCTTCCTTCCTCACATCTTCATCTACCAATTTTTGTCCGGCACACTTTCCATCGTCAATATTGTAACTATATCCACTCCATTCCAAGTCAGTTTGAGGATTGTAGGAGGTCTGCACTCTCTGACTTCTATAGTAATTGTCACAGTTGATCAAATGAACGCAGAAAAGGAAAAAAATTATTGATTTCATTTTAATTTCTAGATTGAAAATTATGTCAGTGGAACGCGAGATAGTTAATAAAAGAATAATTGTGAAAATGTTTTGCGCGTTATGTTTGCCATATTAATCTCGAATTGTTTTAAACTTTGGCCTTTTATCGATTTAAATATTGAATCCGAAAAATAAGATGTTTTGATCAATCTATCTATGTCTTCTTGGATTTGAGGATCAAAGTAATGTCAAGGCATTCATTGATAATGCATGTTTGTTGTTTTTAATTTGGTAGGTACTACTTGTGTCCCAGCTGAAATAATGGCCTGAAGAAGTAATTTTAAAATGTGACAAATGAATTTGTTGGTAGAAAAATTGGTACCAAACATAATCTCCTGGATTTTCAGGGGACTCTGATGAGCTCAGAGCTTTGGGGGTGAATAGCTAATTGAAGGACCACAAATCGGGCATTATATCACTGCAGCATTATTCGTGGTTGGTATATGACCCAAGGTATTGTTGGAAACTATAAAGTTGTGGTACTAGTGACAATAACGTTATTGCTACGATCCCATTACGTGCCTACGACCAAAATGGGGAATATTTCGAAGGTGATAGTTCCATACGTTAAAATTACTACCCCGTAACTTTATATCGCTATGTCCCACTTCAGTTCCAACTAGGGTACGTGGCGGGGAGGTAGTAATCACCGCTACTTTTTAAGATTTGTTCCAGCCTACTTTACTTGAGCGTATCCGCCTTTTCTTTGTCTACAAATTTTGTTGGAAAAAGTTTAATAGTACAACATATTTCCCATATAATTCAGTTTCCTGAACCATCATAATGGAATAGTATATTATATACCGACGTGGGAAGTGTTTCATTGCTGTCGAGATGAGATTAGTTAGCGCGAAGCGTCGAAGTTAATTATAATCTCAGGACAGGAATGAAACTTCCTACCGAGGTTTGTATACTATTTTATTTACAACCATCCTAATTTTTGACTAAATACTAAATAAAAATTAAAAAATTTTGTTCTGACTTATCTAACAAGTTCTGACTTATCTATCAAAAAGTTAGACATGCAGGACTTGTCTTTATCATTTTAGGAAATGAGGGCTTACTTTCCACCCAGATGGAAAGTGAGCACTTTCCATTCGGGACCACTTTCCACCCGGAAGGAAAGTGAAATTCAAAAAAGTGTCACTTTCAAACTTGGAACTATTTTGATCAAAAAGCAAGCAGTCAAAAATGTAAATTTAATCGCTTTCCTGAAGGAAAAGATCTTGTATCCAAAACTATTCAAAACGATTGGATAGTTTTTTGTAAAAGAAAGGACAAACTCAATGCAGATACATTTTTTGCATTTTATCATCAAAATATAAGCGAAACGCGGTTGCAATATAGTGTGTTTTATTTTTTACTGTCTCTACCTACTTCTCAATTATGATTCAATAGTTTGATAAGTACCTACTAGAACCATTTAATATGGACATTCAAAGTAAGCTTATCTCACAAAGCCAAATCGTGATACGATACCTAATTTAGATTTTCATAATCAGAATCCAGAAAAACACTGCAAGTTTCGCATATTTTCCATGCGTTTACATAGTAAACGCGCCAGTAAAGGAATTCATTTACATATTTATTCATTTATTTACTCTTCACAAACATTAATTTCTAGTAATTACATGCGAAGGAAACATTACAACTAAGTAGTTATGTGAATTATTTGATTTACAAAAAAAAAAAACAATACAAATACTTGACTAGGAAATACTAACAGTAGAAAACTAAGCAATACACACGAATAAAAGAAAGCTATGTCCTGATACAACAAATCCAGTATTATAAATCCAGTAAAACCAGAAAATGATTGGGGTTTCCGCGATTATTTTCAGCCATGAGTCTTTTATGCTTACTCACATTAAATGAACGTTTAAATTACACTTATAACACTTGATAAACTTCGAATTTACAATAAAATAATTGTCAGCACAAACTCAACTATCATCTGTATCGGCGGCCATCTTGAAAGCCAGCAGGAATGCACGTGACGTCACAACACTAGCACTTGTGAACAAATTTAGCCGATTGAGCAATCAAGGTGGTGCGTACGATTTGTCTGAACCGGTTAGTGTATAGTGCGGTGCAGTTATGTTTTGGAACGCAGCCATCTAAACTACACCGGAAAATCGAATGCTGAATGGTAAGAATGGTGTAAAAAGTGCGACATTAATGACGGGTCAGGGTAGAGATTACGATACTTGAGGCACTCCAACCTTCTGTCAAAAAAATCGAAAATGGCCGGCCATTGGCACACAAATATAGGTATTTTAAACATGACGTTAAATGTGTTCAATTTGTATTTGAGAACAAGATTTTTCTGAATTTTCATTATTTGTGTTTCAGGATTAGTGCTATGAAATTTTGTTTTCTCCATATACCGGCTGCAGCTTCTTTGCAAGTTTCTTCAAGTTCAACTAAATATCTACTTTTAGTGTAGGTATGTTCCGTTTATGTAATATTTCTACCAACTTCTTGGTCTGGTGTCAGTCCCAAATATAAAGGCCCCCACAGACTGCGTTTTTATTTGACGGTTTTGTTCGACGAGCAAATTTGGTCGAGCAAAAACGACAGGTCAAAGTTGCCCACAGACCTCGGTTTAGTTTGGCGAACATCAGTCATGATTGAAAGTTTTTAATGTTTTTTTAATTTCAATAATGTAAAATTACGTAGCTATACGCCTATACGCACCATACACCACACAAAACCGTCGTTTTTAAAATTCGTAGCCCACACACTTCAGATTTGTTGACATATCGAACATATCCGACGGACAAAATCAGGCAAAGCCAGATATTTGCATCGGTTTTGTATGCCAGCAAAAACGACAATTTTTCGCACATATACACTCGACCAGATTTGCTCGTCGAACAAATCCGTCCAACAAAAACGCAGTCTGTGGGGCCCTTAACAGTTCCTGAAAAAGTGTCAACGGGACATGGTTTTCCTGGAAGCTGATCATTGAAAGCTGATAATTTATCCACAGCTTATCCTGTCACCAGAGATAATCTGTCACCAAAATAACAAAACTCGCAACCGCTTGTTTCCTTAACCTGAGCAGGTGAAGCGCTGTCCTACGGACATAAGGAGTAGGAACGCGCTATTCTGCTTATGAAATCAATGAAATATAAAAGTGCAGCGCGGACTCTGCCAATGGATCACGAATATTGCACCTATTGCACCAGTTTTGCACTTGCTCTTTGCTCTACCAAATACGATGTTCTTAATAGCGTTTTCTGTTGGTAAAACTCGTGCTGCCCGAGTTCTGCACTCAACACTGAATCAGTTCACGTTTAGTGCAATCCAAAAGAACATGAATTTGGCGGGTTTTGTGATTCTTTCCAAATTTATTATTTAACGATAACAGCCCCCGGATTCTATTTTACGAGTTGAGTCGAATTGTCTCGATGCCGAATACGACAGGTCCGGACTTACCGTGTAAAATCGGAAAATATAGAATCGCTATTTTGACAATTCGATACGAATTTCGACTAGACTCGTAAAATGGAATCCGACAGCAGATATTTTTAATAAAATAAAAACGTTTGTGTGCATGAAAAAATTGAAAATGGAAGTTTTTCCTGTGTGTAAAGTACATAATTATGCTGTCTCCCGAGATGTGCAGCAATAATTCGAATGATACCTACTTTCTTTGAAAAAGATACTTATACTTCATGATCCTTAAATTTATAAACAACTTCTTCAATAAAATTTTGAATTTTTGGTATCTCATTATCCCTGGCAAACATTCCGCGTGTTGCTAAATTCACCAAAATGGTGCACTGAATTTAGCCCAATGAACTATAACCAAAAACTGGAATGCGAACACATATTGACGAACGTGAAGCCTATAGTGCCGCTGCTGCGGAGGGGATACCTGTTTTTGTCGCACTCATTATGTTAAATGGCGGAAATTGCTTCCAACACGTATTCCAATTGATGAAACTTAAGAAGATATGACAAAACTTTCCAAAACGTCATATGTCAGCGAGCAACAGAGAAAAACAACATTCCCCTTTGTGGCATCTGTCTTTCATGGCTACATTTTTTTGGCAGATATGGCAATAGTTGTATTCCTTTCAAGAGCTTGAAACACTCGAGCTACTCGCTTCGGTGCTTAGTCGCCCCCCAATTTGCAGGGAACATATGCGTGGTGCAACAAACACTTTTCGAAAGGAATAAGCGCGTGAAGCCCCGGAGCTGTTCCGGAGCTCCTCCTAGGTGTGAAAGGAATACAACTAATGTGTGCGCATTCCAGTTTTTGACTATAGTTCATTGATTTAATTCCAGAAGTTAACCTTAAGTTAACTCTCAAAGTAGTTTTATTTAGGGTGGGTTTGTCAAAGTTATTTTCAAAAATGATACAACGAACAAACACAGCTAATAATTTTGACTATATTAACCTTCCCTGCGTTTTTATTCTCATCAAATTTTACCGATGGATCCACCATTCTGTGGCCGTCATTGTCATTTTTCATTCACTAAACAAAGATAGGTTACGCATCGGTGAAGTCACCGATGAGAATAAAAACGCTCACCTTTTTCCAACTCGAAAAAAAGCAAATTGTATAGGAAACGGGTACCCAATTCGAGTTCAGAATGTAAGTAACCGTGCGTTCGTTATTTTGGTCTGAGTTCTCCGAGCATGACTTTACCGTTCGTATATTCAAAAAGTGTACTCGGTGCAGCCTCATTCGCGTTCGTTTATTAAATTTTCTGGCACTTTTATATAGCGTTCAATTGCTCTGTTCCCTCGCTGGTCACGTGATTACGGCTCCGCTCAGCACGCTCTGCTCTTCGAGCAAAATACCGAACGCAAGGTAAGGGGCAGCAGAAGCGACAAAAGTGAGTCTCGCAACAATTGCAAGTATTAAAATTCCCATCTGATTGGTCAATACTACTTCAGAATCGCGTTTGTGAAATGCTAGTGGGAACATATATTAAAATTCAATAGTAATTAACCACCAGTAGCTTTTTGTAGGTGATATGAACGACATAATCAATGAACATACGTTTTTTGCCACCAATAGGTCTGTTTGTTATCCTCCACTAGTGTACAATAATTTACACTTTTCTGCACTGAGGCGTTTGTTATGCGGTTAGTGCAAATAGTGTAAGGCGTTTGTTATCTCAGTGTAGGGTGCCCAATCATGCACTACCTACACCTGCTCAAGAGGAGGAGTAACAAGTGCAGAATGGGGAGGGGGCAATGTTGTTGTTTTGTTTTGTTTGTTGCTCCTAACCTGAAACCTTAAAATAAGATTTATTATATGGCGATTTCGACTGGATTGCACTTTCGCACCCAGTGCGAACTTTTTTTAAAAATTGGCAGATAAACAATACTTTATTTATACGTCTATAATTTCCGACAATAAAACCTTGTAAATATGTTATCTTTTCCGTTAATATTGGACATTTTTTTCTGGGTTAATTTCCATTTTCCACTTTAATTTACCCTAATAATAATTTTTTTGAGGTTAGATATCCGCTTCTATCGCTTCACGAACTGCACTCTCTGCACTAACGCGTTTGGTAGTTTTCCTTTACCCTGGTGGCCATGAGCTACACCAGCAGCCTGCACTGACCTACGTACCCTACACGGATATAACAAACACACCTAATATCACGTGACTTATTTAAAATGGTATTTGTCGGACTTTATCTAACGAAGTTTTTCAGGACTCAGCAATGATTCGTCCCGAAAAACTTCACTTTAGGTACTTGTGACAAAAATAACTATTTTTTAAATAAAATTCCATATTTGAGGTTTGACATATATGGGATGGTGCAGTACGATGATGTTTCATTGGGACTGCACGCGTGCAGTTTTTTTAAAGTATCAGTGCAAAACCAGTGTTGCACTTGCTCTACCAATGAAATACGTTATAATTTCCAATCTATGAGGTCACATAAGTTTTCTATAGGCACTTCAAACGATGACGTAATTTCAATCAAATCTATAGAAAGAAGCGCCAACCATTTTTGGCTCGACTAGAGAACGATATTCACGCTGAATCGTAAAGTTTTAAGTCGCATTCACCAGCACTCATCATGCTGAGTCATTATTAAGCGGCTTTGTTTCAACAAGTGGAATACGCAAGACAAGGTAGAACAGTTTTGATTGGCCTAGAGCTGATTTTCATCTGTTTTCAACAAAGCCGCTGACTAATCACTCAATATAAGCTGGGTTCGGCTATTCAGCGCGGAGTTGGAGTGGAGTGAACAGAGCTAATGGAGTCACCCCTAATACGGTAAAAAGCAATACCCGAACCTTAACCCGAACGGCTGGAGTGCGAATGGAGTCACTCCGAGTGCATGGAGTGAGCAAGCTGAACCCACCTTTATACCGTTTTAGGGGCGACTCCATTAACTCTGTTCACTCCACTCCAACTCCGCGCTGAATAGCCGAACCCAGCTCAAGTTAAGTGCTTGTGAACGCAACCATTGGTATTTTCCCAAGACGTATTTTCTAGATTACTTATTGCCAGTATATAGTATTTCTCAGTGGCCCTACTAGAAACGGAGAGTGCTATAATTTTATACTGCAATTTTTAGGATCAGGGCCGGTATTCTCGATCTCGAAAATGCTCAAAGCTTTTTAGTCGCTCGGCACTTTTAACACAGCATATACAAAAACAATCAGCAGGCTAAGGGAGGATTTTCATGCATCCGTTTTTCGGTCGAAATATGTCCGTTTAACATTCTATTCTGACATAATTGTATATAAATATGTCAGAATAGAATGTTAAACGGACATATTTTGACGGAAAAACGGATGCATGAAAATCCTCCCTAACTTGAACGACAGCCCGTGTAATAAAGGAATTCCTGGAGTGCGTTCAAAGACGGCAATGCTAATGCCAAAACCTACTTTTCCCATTCTACCGGCAATACCAAATCTGATGTGAATTTGCTGGAACGCCAAATACCGTTTCTCAATAGTTGTAATCCTTTCACACCTAGTAGGAGCTCCGGAACAGCTCCGGGGCAGCTCCGGGGCTTCACGCGCTTATTCCTTTCGAAAAGTGTTTGTTGCACCACGCATATGTTCCCTGCAAATCGGGGGCGACTAAGCACCGAAGCGAGTAGCTCGAGTGTTTCAAGCTCTTGAAAGGAATACAACTAATTAGACAATCCAAACCACGTGACATTCAAGATGGCGTGGCGTCCACACATGGACGAAAAAACACAAAAAAATATCTGGTTTCTGCCCAACTCAATAGTTTACGTACCTACAAATATCTTATTGAATAATCAAAATCAAAGCTGCAAGCAAAACTCGAAGCAAAATAATTGAATATGCATGAAAACACATATTCAAAACTAACTTGCTGGCCGCTACGCCATATTGAATTTGGTCTCATCCAATCATAATTCGTATAACCGTTTCTAGACTCAGTTAAAAGCACCTCCAAAAGTTACTTTACCGCGGCCGATTCTGAACGTGTAAAGCCAACCGTTTTTGGCACGCTGGAGCCGAACTTGAACGCAATATGCCAATTTTGGCTTGGCTTTAGCCGTTTTTGAACGCAGCCCTGGTCGGGATGTCACTAGCGTCCATTTTGGGATACGAGACAGGACCTGATCAACAATAATTGCACTTATTCTCCAAATGGAAATCGCTATCAGTTATTTTCTTCAAGTTAAATCAGAAAGGCTGAGTTCGGCTTTACAGTCGGTAAACTCCGAGCGCGCTCGAAACGATTTGAACCTATTCGTTTTAGCTCTCAGAGTGTTTTCTTTTGCGTTTGGCTTATGACCGCGTATGACGTCACGATATCCATGCTCATACCGTTCCGCTCCCTGGAGTGCAAAACCGAACTCAGCCAAAGATGTTTGATCTAAAGCCTAGTACTCATAACTGCGAAATTCGCATTTTTTTGACATTGCGTTGACAATTTGACGTTTTATGCGTGTATCAAACGTCAAATTGTCAACGCAATGTCAAAAAAATGCGAATTTCGCAGTTATGAGTACTAGGCTTTAGGGCGGGTATTATAAAACTACTTTGAGAGTTAACTTAAAGTTAACTTCTGGAATTACATGTAATTCAAAAAGTTAACTTCAAGTTAACTGTCAAAGCAGTTTTATAATACCCGCCCTTAAGTAAGAATCTAAGCAGCTATACCGTGCGTTCGGTATTTTGATCTGAGTTCTATGAGTTACCGTTCGTTTATTTAAAAAGTGTACTCGGTGCAGGTTCATTCGCGTTCATTTAATAAAATATCTAGCGGCTCTGTACTGTACGCTCGCTGGTTACGTTGGTTACGCTTTAGAACGCTAGTGTATTATTCGAGTTTTATCAATAAAATTGGTATACCGAAAATCACGTCGGTTGAATGCATCCAGGTGAAAGTCAGTTGGCGTGTTGATTGCACGTGTCTGTCAAAAAATTGACATTTTTTTAATTTTTTTTGTGGTTGGTTATCGGATTTGGCGAATGGTCGACGTCCCCAAATTTACCGAATTTAAAAAGTACTTGCCTCTCGAAATCGGTCCGCGAAGCTCGAATTCGTATTATACCGCGGCCCAGTTAACATATTCACAATGAAGACGCCTTTCTCAATATAATTTGTCCCTGTTTATGTCAGCAAACCGATACAAATACACAAATTGTTGCTTCAAAAACAAAAAATATGTTATTTAAATCAACTGCAACCTTTTTCTACATTCTGAGCCTGCTATACTCTGCAGAATCCACACTACTTGAAGGTATTTACTGCGGCAAAGAAAACTGTTACGATGTGCTGCAAGTCACACGAGAAGCCACCAAAAGTGAAGTTGCCAGAAGTTATAGACGGTTAGCTAGACAATACCATCCAGATTTACATCGGGAAAAGGAAGCCAAAGAACTAGCAGAAGAGCGATTCAAAGCATTAGCTAACGCTTATGAAATAATCAAAGATGAAGAGAGCAGGACTGATTATGATTACATGCTGGACAATCCTGATCAGTATTACGCTCACTACTATAGATATTACCGGCGACGAGTGGCCCCAAAAGTCGACGTAAGAATCGTTATTGTAGTAACTATATCCATTATTTCAATTATACAGTATTACTCTGGATGGCAGAGATACGACACTGCAATTACTTACTTCAGTACAATACCAAAGTATAGAAATCGAGCTCAGGATATTGCCAAACAAGAAGGCTTATTGCCGGATAATTCGAGAAAAGGTGGCAAAAAGCAAAAGGTTTCCAAAGAAGATATAGAACAAATAATCAAAAAAGTTATTGAAGATAAAATGGATATTAAAGGCGCTTATGCCAAACCCAAAATAACTGATTTAGTTTGGATTCAGTTACTTATTTTACCTTATACCATTGCAATATATATTTATTGGTACTGTTCTTGGATTTGGAGGCATACAGTTCTCAAACAGCCCTTCAATGAAGAGGAGAAACTATACATAATAAGGAAATTTTTAAAAATGGGCCAGCACCAATTCGACTCGCAAGAAGATGAAAAGAAACAAGAATTTTTGGATAAGGGGTTGTGGATTAAAGAAAATTTTGACGAATGGTTTGAGGAGCAAGAGGAAATTACTAAAAAACAATTAGCTGAAAGTAATAGGTATAAACAATATAGGCGGTATATGAAAAACCATGGAGCTGGAAGAATGACTTTTGATGACTCTTAACTTGTGTATGTTTATAAGTATTTTTTTGTTACCAACAAATGAGATATATAGGTTTATATTTATTTATTATTATTTTTTGAATTTGTTATAATAAATTGTGAACAAATAATTATTTTTTGTTTTATTTCTATATAAACAGTTTTGTACCTGAGAAATCACTTGCAAAGATAGGTACTTGAAATACAAAAATACATATTATATTCTAACTTAAATTATGTAACATCAAATTATATTATTAAACAGATCATTGATTAAACAGAACTTAAATGTACATATTTTATAAACAAATAATTTTTGGTTAAACAAAATTGTTTGCTGGAATGTTAGCAGAAAAATAATTTCCTTAAAATTATCGTTGACTCATAGATTGCTTTTTGCGTTGCAACAGTCCAGTTTTTTTGTATTTCTGAAATAACAATATCATTAATACAGTTTAAACCACAAACCAGTGAAAGGCAAATATCAAATTAGCTTCACTTTCATTATTTTTGCTGCTTCAATTATTTTATCGATTTGGATTTAAAGTGAATTGTTGAGAAAAAAAAAAAAATCTCACAACAAATCAACCAACTTACCTCCCAAGTGCCCATAGAAATATTGGAAACAATTTGAGCATTGATACCATTCTTGTCCCTGAAATTTTTCAACTCTCTTTTATGTATAGGCCTTATGACAGGCACATTATTTTTATCTGCACAAAAAAAAATCGTTTAATTTTTATTCTAATTTTAATCCATTATGACTTACCCAAATCAATACTGGCTTTACCATCCCTGACCAAAAAAGCAAAGTAAAACATATTCTCAATAGTTGTAACATAACTGTCAGTGTCGATAATGTAGCTATAATAGTTCACTGGTTCTTCGCCATTTTGTTGATACGCTTCCTCGAGCACATTAGAAAGCTGCTTTACCACAAGCTCAATTCCTTCTTCCTCTTTTTCCAAATTGACAACTTTCTCAGGTTCTTTTTTCTGTATTTGTTCTTTAACTGCCTTAACGCGTTCCTTTTTCTGCTTGGGCACTGGCAAGGCATTCAAATCGTAGGATCCGTAAACATTATTATAATCTGGTACTTTTGGTATCAATGCCCTTGCATGATCCAATAGTTTTGTATGGTCAACGGTAATTTCCTCTTCATCTTCATTATTGGTTGCCATGAAAGAATTGATTTTGTCTGCGAACTCATTAGCGTCATAGGTAACAGTGAAAACATCGACTGCTTCAATGCATTTTTTCAATAAATCACTGGACGACGAAATTACCATGCTGTCCAAGAGTGTTTCGTCTGCATTTTCAACTTTTTTTTCAATTGAGACTTCGCCGTTCAGCTCGTTTGCTTCTAGGAGGATTTCGTGGATTTCGTTTACTGTCTGGAGTCCGATATTATTGGATTCACCTAAAATAAAGTTGACATAATAAAAACAAACTCCTAGTAATTATTATTATTTATTAGCAATAGTTACAATATAGTTATAATTCTATGATATACAAATCGTAGACATATTATGTACTTGAGATAAAAATATTCAAATTTAATTTACTTAAAAATTCAATGCAATAGGTATCTATTACATAGTTATATCAATCTTAATACAATTTCCTAATACTGCTAACATTATTAGATGCACAATGGTATTTATAATACTGTGTGTGCACCCCATTAAACTTAATTCATTTAAAATATTTTGAGGTTTGTACTTTCATTTATTATTTTAGGTTTTAATACAATTTAGCAAATAACAATTTCAACATTTCAGATGTAATTTCTTTATACAATAAATTTCTTCCTATCTTCAAATATACCAATAATTGTTTGTTTGTACTTATTATATCACATAATTAATCCTATATCCACTATCAACAATCCATTTTGTTAAGGGTTTTTTAATTTTGTAATATTTTTTTTGTTTAAAGCTATCAGGTAAGTCATTGTAAATCTTCGGACCCACACAGTAAATGTGATTTTGACAGGCTGTGTGCTTGGGGTTCTGCAGTTCAACCTTTCCTTGAGCGGCACTTCTTGTATTTTGTCCGTGTTTTAAATTTTCTTTGTGGTAGTTGTTCTTTATCATGAATCTCAGGACTGATTTTAAATAAAGCTGTTCTATGGTTAGAACATTACTATCTTTTTGAGTAAGAGCTGTAGGATATCTTTTTTTCTTAAACAGCATAGTCTTTATAATCCATCTTTGGGATACCTGTAATTTTGATAGAGTTGTTGTGCCTGCATTGTAAGTCAACTTTCAAATACAAGTTAAAGTTAATAATTAATATTAGAATTATCTGAATATCTATGATAAATTTGGCTTGTGGTCATAAACATCCTACCACATGTTTAAAATGCAAAATTGTATCTACAACCGAGACGTTCTTTAATAACTTGTAAATCCTTCAAACTAAAATTCTGGAAATTTCATTCAAGTTTGGTATACTTACAAATACTGATAGATTTTATGAAGAATTAAAGTTAATAATGTCGCCCAAAATTTTAAAATTAGAACAATGCAATTCAGTTTATGGAATTTTAAATGATTTACAAAAATCCAACAGTCTGCCCCTCTTTTCTTAAAAAATTAAATTCAGAAATAGTTCAAAGAAAATATATTAGGTCTGTTTCTGCAGAAATTACAAACCAGTCAGAGTGAATTTCATTGGTTGAAACTAGTTTTCTGACTGTTTTCAACCAATGAAATTTGCTCTGACTGGTTTGTGATTTCTGCAGAAACAGACCTGTAATATCTACTTCTGTATGCAAGTCTGTTTTGGAATTTGTGCTAGACTTTGAATTGAGTAGTTTTAAGAATAAAGATTATTTAAGGTTTATTAAACTGTTGTTCCAATGCACTACAGCATTATTATATCTCGAAACCAGAGCTTCATCAAGCACTGTTTAGAGGTCTGTTATAATCTTTAGGATGAAAGTTTATTTCATTATTATGTTTCAGTTTTTGTGTTTACAATGTTTCAGGCACTATTCAATGTTTTCGATACTATTTTCTGTACATTTCACGAGAATAGGATTTAAATTAAATATTCCTTCTGAAAAGAAAATTTGTTGAACGGCAGTAGAAGTTATGTGCTTTTTATTTATAATTTATTAGTATTATTACATCACATTCAATTATTATACAATCACTGTAAAAATTCGGATGTTGCCCGTTGAAATTGAAAATTAATAAATGAATGAAAGACATAGCGGTATTGAAATTATTAAGGATAGATCTGTGAAAGGATTAATTGGCCTTAATTTGAGCCAAATTACGTTATGATAGGATTAAAACTCAGATTGAAATTAACAAAGTTGTGAAGCAAAATTTGTGTTGATGTCATTTTGATGGATTGAAAGACAAATTTTCCACTGATTTAGGTGACAATTACTCTGTAGTTATTCCTCGAGTCATTCACACTCTTAAGAAACCAAAGCTCAAAAATATTCAATATCGATAGTTATGCTTATGATGTTGACCCCGAAGATAATGATGAAGTAATCATCATTGATAAAGAGGTCAGAGGTAATAATTTAGATCAAGGTACCACTAACTCTGAAAGTATTAAAAGTCTCTGCAAATAGATTCAAAAATGTAGATGTTATAATAGAAGTTGACCTTCTAACTCACAAACTCTTCTAAGTCAAGGGAAAATTAAGGTTGAATGGTCTAGATGTATGGGTTTCAATCACTTTAATGTACTGCAGTGTTACAAGTGTCTTGAGTCTTGGTTTTAACCATGAAGCAAGGCACTGTAAATTATCTCAGATATGTTAATTCTGCTCTGAGCAGCACCATTATAAAGAATGTCAAAGTGATGTAGAAAAATGTACTAATTGTAGAAACTAATTCAAATTGCAGTGCCCTGAACAAAAAATGCCCAATCTACATGAAATTATTAAATAACCACAACAAAGGGATAAATTACTCCATTGATATAATATAGCAACCAGTAGTTAAGAACTGTATTAAACCCGTAACCAACAGAGGCAAAATAGCTTGCAATTTAAAAATGGTGCACATTAACTTGAGGTCAATAGGTAATAAGTTTCTCGACCAAGGATTTTCTGCTAAATGAAAAATGCAATGTATGTGCCATAAGTGAGATATGGTTGAAACCTGAAACCAAAAGTAAATCCTTAAAGATAGACAGCTTCAATACGAGCTAAAATATGTTTAGATTGGACAGGCAGCAAGTCAGAGGTGGTGGTGTATTGATCTACATGAAAAAAAGTCTTAAGTGTAAACAAATTAATCATCTTAGCAGCAATGAGGGCGGTCTTGAGCAACTATGAGTAAGTGCACATGTTGAACGTAAAAAATTTGCTATTGATGTAGTATACCGTCCCTACAGAAATGTATCCTTAGACAAGTTGAAAGATAGCTTGGGAGAACTTATATAGTTGCTTATGATTACTTAGCCCTGCTGGGAGACATCAACGAGGATCTGCTTCAGGCAAACAAGTACTCTGAAGAAGTAATTGTCATGCTAGAGAGGTAAAACTTGAAACAAGTCATCGAAAACCCTACAAGAATAACAAATAACTCCGAGTCCTTGATTGACATTCTTTGTTTAGGTGCTGACGTCGTTGTCCTCGAGTCTGGCACGATTGATGCTGCACTGTCTGATCACCAAATTTCAGTAAAATTTCAGTAACTGTATCATGGCACTTTTTGATTGTTATGCTCCATCAAGACCCATTAATCTGATACAACACGCGCCGTGGATGACCTACAATCTAAAACAAATAATAAAAACACGAAATAAAGCAGTTGTATTGTGAACTACATAATTATGTCAATAAAGCTGTGAAAAGGGAAAAGGAAGTGTACTACTGACAAACATTATCAGCTACTTTGAACAACCCTACTGGATTTTGGAAAATCATGAAATCTTGGGGGCTTACTAGCAGAAGTGGAAAGGTATTGACTGTAGATGAGTTGGGCCCTGATGAGTTGAACAAATATTTCAGCGAATATGCAAGTGATAAGTATAAGTACAGATAATGAGCTGCCCGACATATTTAATGCCCTCTCAGAAACGGCTCAAGTAAAATTCAGCCTAACCTGTACTAGCTTGGATCAACTACATTGTCAACTCATTTCTAATTAGCGGTCACGTCTCAGGCGCATTCTGCCGCCTGCTTCGAAGATACTTGAAAAACTTGTGCATCAGCAACTTTCGTAATTTTTTGGAGAAAAAAACATATTGCTTAATGAACAATCAGGATTTAGAAAATCGTACAGTACCAGTAACGGCATTGTTAAAGATAAATAACGAATTACTGACCTCTTTGGACAGGAACCGAATAACCATTCTTATCTTTTTAGACATGTCCAAAGCATTTGACAGTATCAATCACGACCTTCTGCTCTTGATGCTTGCGTGTTATGGTGTTCAGGATATACCTTTGGAATGGTTCAGAAGAATAACTTGTTTAACAGACACCAAACTGTGGAACTAAGGAGCAAAACTAGCCCAGCACTGTCCCAGGAATTGGTTGTGCAGAAGAGAGTGCCACAAGGGTCACATTAAAAGGACTATAAAATTTTAAAACTATCTTCGCCAAAGTGCGAAGTTAAAACTGTGGGATTCTTTAGTACCTACTCTCCAAATTAGACTACTATACCTCTGTTTATGGTCCGTGTTTACGTGCTGAAGATGCAAGCGAGGATGCAAGAAGGCTACAAAAAATTCAGAATGATTGCGTTCGTTTCGCATTACAAATCCCACGAAGAAACCATATTTCTCCATACTTAAAAGACATTCAGTGGCTGAGCATGACTGAAAGATGGGTGCATCTCTGCATTCTCAGGCACAAGGTGATTTTGGCTAAACAACCCAGATATCTGTATGAAAAGATGGAATTCCAAAATATGGCCCATGCCAGGGAACTTAGACATGCACCAGCTTCTTCAACAATCCCCTTCCATAGTTCCGAATTTTTAAAAAACAGTTTTTCCTACAAAGCAGCAAACATTTACAATGAGTTACCAGCAGTGTCACAACTGCCCGCTTTACGGAGGTGACATGGGGGGTTTGTAGCTTTGGGGGTCGATGGAGACAAACTCGCTCAAGTTATATAAAAGTGTAAATATATATTTTCCCAAATATGCCCTTACATGTACACTAGTTCTAAGATGCATGACCCTTCGATCACTGGGGCCTTTATAGGGAGCCACACGTCAACGCTGCTTGGGGGTTTGTTGATTATCGTCACCCTTATTATGCCTTGTCCAGAGGGGCTTCCCCAACGAGAGGTAATTGCGCTGGACAACGATAAGGCTGAAGATACCCAGAGGGGCTTTCCCAACGAGAGGTAGTTGCACTGGTTTAAGTCTGCCTGTTGCTTGGCTTGGCCAACTATTTATATCAATTTATTGCTGAATTGCAATAAACCTCCGATCGAATCGGCAATTAAATTTTAGAAACCATATAGTAACCGAAACTCTTAATGGCAATTTTGCTGTACTTCAAGATTTTTCTATTCTTTTCTTTCTTTCTTTTTTGTTTCTTTGTCTCTCATTACCGCCATATTTGCTTCCAAGTTTTTAGTGATGTATATTTTTGTATGCTTTCAAATTGACATTGTGATCAACCAATTTCTTAGAAATTGTGAAAAACTAATTTTTTGTAAACATTTGCAAAATAAACGATTTATTATTATTATTATTTGAAAAATTGAAAAATAGATTGAGACGAGGATTGAGATTAGGCAAATGCAGGGTTGGCAAACAATTTTCTCTGAGTACTTTGATTTTTGGATAGATTTTTTAAGAGTATTTCCAAAGACACCACCTTGGACTTATAGTGTAGAAGCATGTGGAATTCCAGTGGAATTCTGTGGAATTCCAGTGGGATTTCAATGGGATTTCTTAGTTTGCTTGGAAGAGTCGATGTTTTTATTTTCTCTCACGAAGATTGGATTGATATTTTTCAAATATGTAGAAATTGTTAAAAAAATATTGGAGATTGGATTAAGATTAGACAAATGCCAGGGTTGGCAAACAATTTTCTCTACTTGGATTTTTGGAAAGGTTTTTGATAGGTTTTTCCTAGGAGTGAACCACCTTGGAATTATAGTGTACAAGCATGTGGGATTTTATTGGAATTCCGTGGAATTCCATTGGGATTCCAATGGGATTTCTTAGTTTGCTTGAAGACTCGATGTTTTTATTTTGCATGGAATTCTTTGAGGAATCCAGTAGGATATCGTGGGATTCCATTAGGATCTTGTGGGATTCCATTAGGATTTGGTGGGATTCTGTTAAAAGTTCAAATCCTATCAAAATGCGTATTTGAAAAGGGAAAAACTCGGGGAAAAAATAAAAAAAAATTATTGCCACGTACAAACTCTTCAAGAAAAAAACATAAATTCCCAATAAATGTTTAAAAGGGTCAAATAAAAAATCGTTTCTAAAAAATACTCCATTTAGAGAGAAAAAATTAAAATAAAATTTTCAAACTCATAACTAATGCCCTCTGAACTCGCCTCTGAATGTTCTATTATAGAAGTTAAGAAGTTTTCCAAATATTCTCAAGCTCTCTCTGATATTTCTAATTGAAATTCTATAGTCTGAAATCTGAACGTGTTTTAGAGTGTTCTAATTTGTTCATGGAAGTTTCAAGTTAGTTCTAAAGTGTCATGTGACTATTTTTAAGATATTCTAAAAGTTTCCAAATCTAGATTGTTTCCAAAAGTTCCATAGGATTCGTAAACTGATCTAGAGTATTCCAAAAGCTTTCTAAAATGTTGCTGAAAGTTCAGAAGTGTTCCGAGTCTGCTCTAAATTGTCTCTAAAATTTTAAATTGGTTCTAAAGTGTTCTGTAATGTTTTATAAGGTTCTTAAAGATTCCAATTTTTCTCAAACAAATGCAGGAGGATTGAAAATTGAATTGAAAGTCTTCTGAAGCTTATCAAATTTCTAAAATGCTCCAGTTGTTATAACTTGACGCTAGCACATTTTAAAGCTTTTCAAAATGCTTTCCAAAGTTTTTAATTAGTTCCTTAATGATTCTGGAACGCTGGGATGTTCTAGAAGTTATCAGAAACTTTCCAAATGTTCTTAAGCGCTCTTTGAACCCTCTTTAGTTATCTCATTTGTTCGAAAACGATAGGTTTGAACACATAAAAATATCTCAAAAACTCAAATTATATCCACCAAAAACATCAGAAATTCAATTCTCTATCCACTTTCATACAATTAGCCAGACTTTTGCCAACCCTGGGCAGGTGGATAATGAGGGGATTGAAATTAAGAAAAAGGGGATAGAAAAAGCCTGGAAAAAAATTTGGAATATGAAAAAATCTCAGAAAAAATGAAAACTTTTTGCTGGCTGTTGGTTCTCTTTGATTTTTTGACTTTGAGCACTGCAGCTGCAAAAATTTTAATGAAGAAGATTCTAGAGTCTGTAATAAACAAAAAATTAAATATGAAAAAAATGAGAAATTGAATCCAAAAAAAAAGACATAAAGAAAAAAGTGCAATGAAAAAAAATAATGAAAAAATTGGGGGGGGGGGGGGGGGGGAATGTTTTATTATTTAGGTACCTATTATCTAATTTGTACAGGCTACTTGCTACTTTGTTAAACTTTTTATTCATACAAGTGACACCATTTAATGTACAAATATTATACCGAGTATTATACCTATAACTCGACCTATAAATACCTACATGGTGCCTGGAATAACTTGAAGTAGGTACATGGGGATTTTGGAAACCATTAAAGGTACAGGGTGGACCAAGGATGGGGAAAAAATTGCGCAATTAAGTCCCCACAAATTATCTGTTATCAACTTCTTTGAACTCGGAATAACAACGGGCAAAAAAGAAAAAAGTGCATTTTATAAAATTATTTTTTTTTGCCCTGTATATGCGTTGCTATTCTGATTTTAAAGAAGTTGATGACATATTATTTGTAGGCACTTGATTGCGCAGCTTTTTCCCCATTTGGTCCACCCTGTATCTTCAATGGTTTCCTTATTTACTTCAAGTTATTCCGGACTCCCTGTATAAAGAAGAATCACTGTAGGGGTGGGTTGTGGGTTTGTGATTGTTCTAGAAGCAGAAGCAGACATAATTATTGTTCTATTTCTTACAATCAAACAAAACTACATTTGTAACTTACCAATAGCTTCGGCTTTGCTTAGTAACTCTCTATAAAATGATTTTCTCTCTTGAGTACTTCTTATAGCAGTTCCATTTAATGCTCTAGTGCTTCTAGCCCTATGATTTTCTCGATTATCTTCTACTTCCATTTCCATCATATTGAAAAACTTTAATTTCAAGTAAGAAACAAGAAACAACACAATTTCACAGAAAAGTAAATGTAAATAAACAAACTTCACAGTTCAAACTGAAATTACATAACCCTACTCAACTTTGTTGTGTAGGTAGTAGTTGTCATGGGAGTGTTGAAGGCCGAAGGGTGTCGTAAAGTTCCGTCAGATGGCACTCGTCTTGTTAGTACTTTTGACCTTTTATAGTACTTTTCCGTTGAATAATTATTATGGAAATTAATAAAATACTTGAGCAAGAAGCAATGAATTGGATACTTCAAAGACTTTATCCACCAAAACTAAAAATTTGGACTTCTCTTCTTCACAACAATATAGCGAAAACAGTTTTCTTCCATTAGCACTAAGGGTACCTATTGTACCTATAGTTTATCTCCCCTAGATCAAAAGTTAGAAGAAAAAATACTGGGTTAATTTATAAAATCCAAGAAGGCATTATACTCAAAGTATACAGAAGTCAACAAGCTGCCCTCTCATGGTTCTTGATCTGAGAAAGGAAAAAAGATAAATTTTCTTACAATGTTAAGGTGCATTAGAGAAACACAAGGGTTAGGATAAAGTAACGAAATGTAGCATACTGAACCAATTGTGCTGTAATCTATCTGCACTATCCTATAACCCACGATCCAACCCAACAAAAAATCATAGGTCAAGAGACAGAACCACAGAAATCAAAAATACCTCATAAAATAAAACACCAAAAGACAATAAGATTACATTTATTATATTCTGATTATCAATATGAATAAATTTAATATAACATGTAAAGCTCAAAAAAAGACCTTAAAAAAATCTATAAATAAGAAGAAGCATAAAGAAAAAAAAAGTCCAAATACAATTATATACATCCCTATATTCCTTTACTTCTTCCAGTGCCATCTACTTCTAAAAACTAGAAAGATCAAGTCGCACTTATTGTATTAATTATCTCAATTAAATATTTAGAAGACTAATACTAACATTGTTAAATATTAATACAAATATTTAGTTGGTTGCACATTGTACTCTCTGTCCTGGACCGTGCATCTCTTCATCTTCATCATAGGCATTTTTATGTATTCTCTTCCTGGCCTCAGTCTCTGGATCGAAATCTTCAAGCATACATTCCTCAGCAGTGTCTGGAATCATGATTTCTTCACGAGGTGGAAGGCAATTCTCCAGTTGTGGAATAAGTTCTGGATCGATAGTTTTAGGAAATTGCACCCAGAATTGGACAATGAGACGGCCTTTTTCGAAGGGATTCTTATATCTTGGCATACCTGCAAATAAGTAAAATTATTATTTGAAACAAAACAATACCAATTTAGACTTGCCTTCTAATTGAATGCATTTAACATCTCCATGCTTGATAACTTCACCAGGAAGCTGCGTGATGAGAAGATCTCTGTCATCTAGTGTTTTGATGATCTTTTGGAAACCACAAAGTGCTTCAACTAGTTGAATTTCCAACCTCAAAATCAAATCGCTGCCATTTCTCTTATAAACTGGATGTTCCTTTTCGTCAAGCACAATAATTATATCTCCAGCTTCCAATTCAGGCTCCTGGTCTCCTTCTCCATTGAAAATAATCTTTTGGCCATCAACCATGCCTTTATCAACATGTACTTCTAAAATCTTCCTGTCACGAACCACCTTTTTGCCTTGACACTGCTTGCAACGATCTCTGGGATTAATCCTCTCGCCTTGTCCTCTACATTCAACACAAACTGTCTGGATCTGTTGCAACATGCCTGGAGCAAGTTGTTGAACTTGCACTTGCATTCCAAAGCCTCTACAAGTGGGGCATTGCTCTACAGCTCCTTTTTTACCGCCGCGGCCTTCACATTTATCACAGATTACATTCTTTTGCAAAGCCAGTTTTCTTACGGTGCCCTTATACAATTCCTCCAAGGTAACAGTTAGCTGATGCACCACATCTTTGCCTTTGCGTTCTCGCCTCTTGCCTCTGCCACCTCCAAAGCCTCCACCAAAGAACATGTCGAATAAGTCCATGGGGCTGGAGAAGCCTCCTCCAACACCTCCCTCTTTCAGAGCTTGTTCACCTCCTTGATCGTAAATAGCTTTCTTTTCAGGATCTGAGAGGACCTCATAAGCTTGAGAGATTTGTTTGAATTTTTCACCTTCGTTGGGGTTCTTGTCCGGGTGATACTTTAGGGCCAGCTTACGGTATGCTTTTTTGAGGTCATCAGCACTACAACCTGGCTTGACTCCAAGGAGGTCGTAGAATTTGGTTTCTTTTACCATGTTTGATGATTACGCTGAAATTAAATCAATATGGAGAATCAAATCAACATGGACAACGTTTGAAACAAAGGCCATGTTTCTGCAAGTTTAAGCATGAAAGTTTAAATGCCTGGCCTGGATTTATGGAGCAATTAGGAATAGAATTAGTGTTCTAGATTATGCTATACTGTAGGTGGGATGGGTGTGAAATATTTGTTAAATTTTACTAAAAACTTACCTAAAAAATCAATAATTAAATGGACAGGTTCCACGTGAAATTAAATGCAAATTGGACCAAAAGTGTGGCTAGAAACCGCTAGATTCTTTCCGTGCACTATCTGCGAGTACTCGTTCAACTTTAATGGAGAGATTTGATAGTTTTCAACGCGATCAAACGCTTCTAGAACAATGATACGCGGAATAAAAAATGTCAGGAAGGATTGTCCTCGAAATTCTAGAACGTTTTGAAGGTTGTCGTTCGGCAAGGATCGTTCGGTTATCCGATCGATTGTAGAGAGAATGGCGATGTTGCCATTCTTATAGGAAATGAACATCGTAATATCGACTCCAATGCATATCGATTTGTGATCGATATACATTGTTGCTAGCCATATTCGTTGGCGGTGTGAACTTAGCTGCCAAGTGCCAAAATGCCGATGATTTCATGTTTTCCAAACGAGCTGTCACATGGTAGGTTTTCCCCAAGGAGTTTCCCCGGTTTTCCCCAAGGATGATACACACTACAAAGGATAATACACACTACTACCACAGGATGGCCTATCCTCACCTAATTACCAGTTGTGACGTAGGCAGCATGTTATTTCTCGCCTTGACGTAGGCGAGACGACTTAGTTATGACGTCAGAAATGGTGACACACCAATATGGCGGCGATTACCAAAAACGAGGCTGATAAGCACTTCTGGCCGGGGATTCTAAAATCACGATTCGACATACGACTCGACAACGAGACGATTTTTCCGACGATTCTAGGTTAGAAATCTCATTGGAATTGTACCTTTCGAGATGACAAGGCCGGTATCGTTATCGAGTCGTGTGTCGAATCGTGATTTTAGAATCTCGGCCCTGTGGGTGTGTATCATCCTTAATCCTTTCACGTGGCCGGGGATTCTAAAATCACGATTCGACATACGACTCGACAACGAGACGATTTTTTCCGACGATTCTAGGTTAGAAATCTCATTGGAATTATACCTTTCGACACGACAAGGCCGGTATCGTTGTCGAGTCGTGTGTCGAATCGTGATTTTAGAATCTCGGCCGTGGCTCCGGTTTAACAAACCGCAACATACCGCTCAAATTCGAGTGGCATCGAAGATGTCACTTTGTAACCGGGTTAGAAAACGGTATGTCATTTCTCTAACCGCCTCGGCGATATGGTTACGTCAAGCGGTTAGAAGAAAAAAATATAATCAACGGAGAGCGGGAAAGGTCGGAAAAGTGTAAAAAGTAAATAAAAAGTTGTGTTTTGTATATAATATTAAATTTTATGAATTTGAAGCCCGAAAGCCGTTTTTCTTTGTATATAGGCCTGATTTACGAGGCCCGTGCGTTAGAAATTGTTCAGTTTGCAGGTGGATTAGTATAAATAAATACCACCTAAGGCCGGTTTCTCCCTAGCGGGCACATAATAGCGGGTCACCTCTGGGTTGGTTTTATTTTTAACTCCAGGGAAAGCGTGTGCAGTTGCAGTTGCTATGTTTACCCTGGAGTTATGCTTAACCAGGGGGTGCCTTTGCTATTGGGAAACCGGCCCTAATCTACCTGCTGATGCACGGACTACGTAAATCACCCTGTATTATATTCAAAATATGTACCAGAGACGAGACAATCCCAGTTTACCTACTCGATAGGCTGTTGTAGACTGTAGGTAACGAGAACTTATAAACTTTAGATATGTAGCATATGTTTGAATATTGTGAACTCTACTTCAGGTTCTTAGAATAGTGTAAACTTGCCTTTATTATATTAGTTTGAGATCATTAGGATAGATGTCGCTACCAAGTGAGTGACGTAATGACAGATGAGAGGGAGGTAAAGGACAGGACCTTCTAGAAAACACTTCGACTTGTAACTAGAGATCGAATAAAGGATTTTACTTGATAATTGAAGAATTACGAATTCTAGTTGTTTCTTTTAATTAAAAAGTCCAAACACGACAAGATAAACTGGTTCTAGTAGTCTATCCACCCATGGTCCACATCTAAAGCATTGAATGAAAAGAAATTAAACTACGCTGTGTCTAGAATCCCGGTACCGGTAACACATTTTTTACCGGTAGTTCTGATGACGTCATCGATATGACGCACTTGTACCGGGATTTGAGTAAATCCCGGTGTTTTGATTTTGTTTTTATCGTTATTTATCAGCTGATTGGTATTTTAGGTTGATTTATTAATGTTTTCGTCACTTTTTTGAAACAATTCAAACTATAAAAGTTAGTTTAGGTTCGAAATACCTTATATAAATGATTTGCGTTCGGAAATGTCGAACAACTCATCCCAGATTAGAAGTAATCTGCAATCGGATGATAGTAAACTAGGGTTGTTATTCCCGAAAACCCCTGAGAATTTAAACGAATTTGAAATGATGTCACTTTATATAGCAGTTTATAATCGGATTTAATAGATATTTATTAATTTTCTTCAAGCAATATGTGTAACTATACTGTTTAGGATGTAAATTAAAATGAATATCTCTCATTTTTTATTTATAAGTTTACAATCAGAACAATAGGTACCACATTTTGGGTATTTTATGGCCATTTGCACGGCTATCACTTAAGGGATATTTGATCTAAGTGAAGCTTTCAATGTGACTTCTGTTTCTACAAGGGGCACATTCAAAGCTTCACTTGGATTAAATATTCCTTGAGTTATGGGGTGCAAATGGCCGTTTCACAAACTGGCACATTTCACATGTCAAAGTCTCTTCAACTTCTTTATAACTTTTAAATGTTTGTCCTACATTAAAAACCATTTCAAAAGTAATTTCACGTTGATAAACTCACGAAAACACTCCACTCTACGTTCACACATCAACAAAACAAGTTAAAAACATGAAAAGTTAGGTTAAGTTGGACTTTGATAAAACAAAAACCGCCAACGACTACATTTTTTACCGGGATCACACCGGGATTTGCTTGAATCCCGGGTACCTAGTTCGTCATATAGATGACGGCATCAAAACTACCGGTAAAAAAAGTGTTACCGGTACCGGGATTCTAGACACAGCGATTAAACTAAAGTTTGTTTCGCCAGGGTTTGTACTTGCCACCAGCATTTGCCTTCCTTGTTTAACAAATAAAAATTGACTGAAACAAATCAAAGACGTCAAAAACGTTCGTCGGTTCTTAAACCAGAAGTCATTCATTTTAAATTGTCAAAAAATTGAATGTGTCATATAAATTAATCTACGACAACCCTTTTTTTTTCAAGTTTCAAGGTCAAGTATGAACCCTGGTGAAACGAACCTTACCTACTTTTCACTTTTTAGATTGCTGTAATAAAAAAGAATGAAATACTCGATAATTCCACAATTTTGAAAAAATAAACTTGCTTCCCATATTTCTTCACATTTAATTAATTGTAAATTGCTCACATTTAAGATAGTTTTGTCCATAGTAGACATAATAGGTAGGTCAGGGGTCAGAATTAACGGCACTGATCAACCCAACCTCCAACCTCATATCGAATTTAAAATAACATTTTTCTAACCATTCGTTTTCAAGTGGCATTTTCAGTAATGTCATCACTTGACATACCGCCTCTAACCGTTTTTAACCTGGTTAGTTTAAACCGGAGCGACGTGAAAAGATGTCTTGGGTTTCCCTCCTTTTTAAGCCTAGTACTCATAACAGCGAAATTCGCTCTGTTTTGACATTGCTTCGACAATTTGACATTTTATGCGTGAATCAAACGTCAAGTTGCCGAAGCAATGTCAAAAAAGAGCGAATTTCGCTGTTATGAGTACTAGGCTTAATTCTACTCGGTGACTTCACCGATGAGTTTTTTGTTTAGTAAATGGAAAATGGCAATGACCAATATAGGATGGTGGAACCATCGGTGAAATTTGATGAGAATAAAAACGCCAGGGTTTCTCAATAAGCGGGTTGGTTTTAACCAGGGACCCAGAACGAAATGAAATATCGGTTCCGTTCCGGTTCCGGTTCACAGCGTCATCACAAATATCGGTTCCGTTACGGTTACGGTTTAAGAGAAATATTTCGATTCGGTTCGGACCAATAATTTCGGTTTTAACGGCTCATATTAGGCAATTCAATCCATCTGTCAAAACGAAAAATTCAATGTGACGTGGCGGCCAAGCAAGTTTATTTTGGATATGTTTTTATGCGTATTTTAAATTATTTTGCATACAGTTTTGCTTACAACTTTGATTTTCATTATTTAATACAATATTTGTTGACTCGGTACGTGAACTATTAATTCCGGCAGAAACTATAGTCCAACAAATACCATTTTAAAGTCACGTGATTTTTCTCTATCCTTGTTGAATACATCTCAAACAGCGGTGATAGTAAAATTGACAAAAAAATTGGTGTCTAATCATTGTTCATAAAATTCTTACCTGAAATAGAATCCGTCACTGTCATCAATAAGTTTGTCAAAGTTATTTTCGAAAATGATATAGCGAACAAACACAGCTAATTATTTTGACTTTATTAACCTTTTTCCAACCCGAAAAGAAGCAAATAGAAAACGGGTACCCAATTCAAGTTCAGAATGTATTACAAGGGGCAGCAGAAGCGACAAAAGTGCGTCTCGCAAAAATTGCAAGTATTAAAATTCCTATCTGATTGGTCAATACTACTTCAGAAACGCGTTTGTAAAATGCTAGTGGGAACATATCTTGAAATTCAATAGTAATTAACCACCATTAGCTTTTTGTAGGTGATATCAACGACATTATCAATGGACATACGTTTTTTGCCACCAATATCACGTGACTTTAAAATGGTATTTGTCGGACTATAGATATTTTTTTGTGTTTTTTGGCCCATGTGTGGCCGCCACGCCATCTTGAATATCACGTGGTTTGAATTGCCTAATAGGTTTTTTACGTTATATTTAGGATGACGTCAGAGAACAAGGACTGACAATGTTGTCAATGCCTATTTGTTTTCTTATAATATATCAGAATGTCATAATGAATTATCAAGACCATTGACAGCTAAAAATAACGAAATAAATCGACATGCCTTATTTATTTGAAAATGTTCATTTAAATCATGCAACATCGCGCGCCGTTGCCAACCAGAAACATCTGAAATTCCCCTACTTTAAATGCGTTAAGAAGTACTTTTAGTTTTGTTAGATTTGCAGCAGAAATTTACTAAATGTGACGTCATCCTAAATATAGCGTGAAAATCCATAGTTTTTTACAAATATAATGACCATTTCCATCTACCATTTTAAGGGCGGGTATTATAAAACTACTTTGAGAGTTAACTTAGAGTTAACTTCTGGAATTAACATGTAGTTCAAAAAGTTAAGTTTAGGTTAACTGTCAAAGCAGTTTTATAATACCCGCCCTAAGTAGCATCCCTTAAAACGGTCTGTGCCAATGAACTATAGCTAAAAACTGGAATGCGCACACATTGCCATATCTGCCAAAAAAATGAAGCCACAGAACGAAGCCATGAAAGACAGATGCCGCACAAGGGGGAATGTTGTTTTTTTCTGTTGCTCGCTGATATATGACGTTTTCGAAAGTTTTGTTATATTTCCCTTCACAGGTTTCATCAATTGGAATACGTGTTGGAAGCAATTTTCGCCATTTAACATAATGAGTGCGACAAAAACAGGTATCCCCTCCGCAGCAGCCGCACTAGGCTTCAAGTTCGTCCTTATGTGTTAGCATTCCAGAAAGTCGACCCCGATTTGAAAGGAAGAGATGCGTGGTGCAACAAACACTTTTCGAAAGGAATGCACAGGAATAAGCGCATACCGCCCCGAAGTAATTCCGGAGCGGCTCCTAGATGTGAAAGGAATACAACCTTATACCAAGTCACCCCCGGGCTGCGTTCAAAAACGGCTAAAGCCAAGCCAAAATTGGCATATTGCGTGCAAGTTCGGCTCCAGCGTGCCAAAAACGGTTGGCTTTACACGTTCAGAATCGGCCGCGGTAAAGTAACTTTTGGAGGTGCTTTTAACTGAGTCTAGAAATGGTTATACGAATTTTGATTGGATGAGACAAAATTCAATATGGCGTGGCGGCCAGCAAGTTAGTTTTGAATATGTGTTTTCATGCATATTTCAATTATTTTGCTTCAAGTTTTGCTTGCAGCTTTGATTTCGATTATTCAATAAAATATTTGTAGGTACGTAAACTATTGAGTTGGGCAGAAACTAGATATTTTTTTGTGTGTTTTCGTCCATGTGTAGACGCCACGCCATCTTGAATGTCACGTGGTTTGGATTGCCTAAGGCCCGGTTGTACAACGGACGTTCAACCGAAGTTCACACTGACTAGTGGTTCAAAGGAAAAAACTCGTTGTACATGGTCGGTTCAGAGTGTGAACTGAGGTTGATCTTGAACGTCCGAATTTGGGCGTTCAAGGGGAGTTCAAGTCTTTTTTGGGTTTTTCTAACCTGACTCTCCTATGTTTTGTTTGTTTTTTGATAAGGGATCACCATGGCTTTTGAATATATATTTTTTTTCAAGTGGATATTCGTTATTTTATATTTTATTGAAAATGGATCTTGAGTGGGAACTGTGGGAAGATATTACAGATGACGAAGATTTTTTAAAATTACTTAATTTTATGTTACATATATAAATTATGTACTTCCTCGAGCCCCACAGATATTCAGAAATCGAACAGCGAATAGATCATTTGAACATTTGTAATCATCATAAAGAATAATTCAAGGACAGATTCAGTTAGGAGAAATAAGCAGTGTGATTAATCATAGATGAAATTATGCATCTGTGACCTGTCCTGTGTGTAAAAAAATATGAAAATTAAAATTAAATAAATAGTAAACAAGAAAACACAAAAAATAAACAATGAATTTGATAGGTTATGGGTTGGGTTGCGCCTATTTTCTTTCTTCTTTTTATTGTGGGCATTGCAACTGATGGTTCAAGTAAACCGGCAGTGGTACAACACTCGAAACTCGAAACTCTGAACCACGTTCAACATTGAACGACGGTTCAACAGAACTTGTGTTGAACCATTCTTTGTACAACCGGGCCTAATTGAGAAACGGTATTTGGCGTTCCAGCAAATTCACACCCAATGAACTATAGCTAAAAACTGGAATGCGCACACATTGCCAAATCTGCCAAAAAAATGAAGCCATGAAAGACAGATGCCACAAAGGGGAATGTTGTTTATTTCTGTTGCTCGCTGACATATGACGTTTTCGAAAGTTTTGTCATATTTCCCTTCACAGGTTTCATCAATTTAAATACGTGTTGGAAGCAATTTTCGCCATTTAACATAATGAGTGCGACAATAGTACATTAAAATACAAGTTTCATAAGACGTCATTTTATCGCACGAGCCCTATATTAGAAAACGAGCCGGAGGCGAGTTTTCTAAAGGGCGAGTGCGATAAAATGTCTTATGAAACGGATATTTTATACTATTTTTTCTATTTTGGTATTGATAAATTAAAAAAAACAAATTTTACTTGGAAATTTTATTTTCATATTTCCTAATTTCATATGTTTAGGTTGGTAACACTACATGCCAAATAAAGAAATCTTCTATTTTAAAATCGCGAATGACAGTTCGATGGCCATCAGTCAGCCAGTGTTACCAACCTCCGATAAGTAAAAAAGGAGTGTCACAAAGAGCTTCTTTTCGAAACTACTTTTAGTGTCGAAAAGACTTCGATATGACACCAAAATAGAAAAAAACAGGTATACCCTCCGCAGCAGCCGCACTAGGCTTCAAGTACGTCCTTATGTGTTAGCATTCCAGTTTTTGGTTATAGTTCATTGTTCACACCAGATTTGGCATTGCCGGTAGAAGGGGAAAAGTAGGTTTTGGCATTGGCATTGACGTCTTTGAACGCACTCCGGATACGCATAACTCCAGGGTAAACATAGCAAATGGACGCGCTTACCCTGGAGTTAAAACCAACCCGGAGGTGTCTCGCTAATAAAAAACGCAGAAACCGGCCCTGGGACTGCTTATTGAGCTGAAAGTGTCAAACGAATTCCTAGTTATGATATTATTAAAATCACTTTTTCTAAATTTAAAATCAACGAAAAAACAAGCACAACTTCGCAAGCATCCTATCGAGGTTAACGGGGACGTCACTACTATAAGCTGCCATGCTCAAGTCTTCTAAAGTTAATAGGTGGCCTGGTAATGGGTAACTTGATGACGCATCTGGGGTGCCGTATGGAAATTTGCATTAGGTCTGTTTCTGCAGAAATCACAAACCAGTCAGAGCGAATTTCATTGGTTGAAAACAGTCAGAAAACTAGTTTCAACCAATGAAATTCACTCTGACTGGTTTGTGATTTCTGCAGAAACAGACCTATTATGTTTGGGCATACAGATGACATCATAAAAGTTATCAAGCAACCTTCTTCTTTTAAACGCATAGCTTCAAGGTAAATATAGCAACTGACACCCACCCTAGAGTTAAACCCAACCTGGAGGTGACTCTCTATTGAGAAACTTTTGAAATTGACGAAAAAACAAGCACAACCTGAATCGCAAGCATCCCATCGTGGCTTGCGGGTGACGTCACCACTATAAGCTACATTGATAAGCTACCATGCTGTTAATAGTAGTGACGTCACTCGTAGGCCATGCCGACTCAAGGATGATACACACTACTACTACAGGATGGCCTATCCTCATAAGGCCTGTGTGTAACAAATCCCCCCTTCCTTGCCTAGCCAAACAACCAGTTGTGACGTACGCAGGATGGCGTTTCTCGCTTTGATGTAGGCTGTTTAAACAGCTGACGACTTAGTAATGACGTCGGCAATGGTTGAAAACAGTTGAAAATCAATATGGCGAGGCCGATAAGCACTCCTTAGAGTGTGTATTCTCTCTCTCTATGCCGACTCTAGATTTGGAGAACGTACGCCATGAGGATGAGGAATCCTAAAAATAGTTTACGATTCAACATGGACACTTGGCAATTGGCAGCTAATTTCACACCACTCTATTTGACACATTTAAGTCGATTCAAGTCATCATAACCTTGAAAATAAAAAATAAAGTTCCTTCGCCTCTAAACAGTGTGAACGTAAACGTAAACTTTTGTTCCAGCTAAGCCAAGGATCCCAACTCCCAAGCATATTATTTTCATTTGCATTTTATTGTTTTTCAATTTTTTAATTTATCAAGTTAAAAAGTTTTAATTGTTAACTGAAAATGACCAATATCAATTTTCAAGACCTTTCAGACGTTATAAGACTCATAAGCGACATCAAGCATAAGTAGGTTTTTTTTTTTCAAATAGAAAAGATTCTACTGTTATTAATGCTTTTACAGAAATATTTTAAGCTCTCACGACATCGCTCTCAAGACCGAGGCAATGTTGGAAGCTCTCATTGCACAAGGAAAATGGACCAGTGCTTCGTAAGTCCAAAAAACCCATATGGGTTAATCCTTATTCAACAAGTATTTTAATAATCTAATAAACTTTTTAGAGAACTTATGCAATTGATTAAACAAAGAATAAAATGCATTTCGCAAAGCTTACCAATGGAAGCGACTGCTATCAACGTAATGAGACACATTTTGAAAGTTATAAGGGAAGAATTTGAAGTTGCTTCAGAGGTTTTTAGTTATTTTACATCAAACTTTAAATTATTGAATGTTGATTTTGTAGAAAAAAGGCGAATCTCAATCGCTACAGTACATCGTAACAGGTGCCTCATCTAATGTTTTAGACTATTCCCAAAGCCTTTCCAGCCTACAAGCTGCTTTACTAGACCACCTTTCTGAATATAAAACAGAACTTGAAACTAGGTATTTGAATGGCTTATAGTATAAAATCAATCTAATTTAAAATATTTTAGTGCTGAAAATATTGCAGCCCAAGCCTCTGAGCATATTCATAGCAGTGAAACTATACTTACTTTTGGAACATCAAAAACTGTGCAAAGATTTTTAAAAGCTGCCTCAAAAAAACGAACTTTTAATGTTATTGTTGTTGAAGCAGCACCCTTATATTTGGTAATTATCAGTTGAAATAAACATGTTTGACAATCATAGAAACCATTTTAGGGTCATTCTTTGGCAGCCAATTTAGCAAAAAGTAACATACAAACAACAGTTATACCAGATTCTGCAGTTTTTGCAATGATGTCCAGAGTAAATAAAGTAATTATTGGAACCCACACTGTTTTAGCCAGTGGTGGTTTGAGAGCCTCAAGTGGCATTCACGCTCTGGCTTTGGCAGCTAAACACTATTCAATTCCAGTAATGGTGTTGTCCCACATGTACAAATTTACACCAGTTTACTTGGGATCAAACGATCATGAGGCTTTTAATGATTGTGCCTCTCCAGCAAGCCTTATACCTTATTCTTCGGGACAAGTACTCAATAAAGCTGAAGTTACAAATGCAGTTTTTGATTTTGTACCACCAGAGCTTGTGACACTTTTTATTACACATCAGTAAGAAGTTGGATTTTGAAATTGCATATATTGTTAATTTATTGTGTATTTTTTTAGGGGAGGAAATTCACCATCTTATGTTTATAGACTGCTTTCAGAACTGTATCATCCTGATGATTATGAAATTTAAAATAAATATTTCTTTATAAAATTTTGTTTTATTGTTAGCTGTAAATAAAACCAAGCAAATTACATACAAAATTGTAGTTATATTAAATTAAATTACTTGATTACAAATAGAGGAAAATCCTTATTGGATTAACAAAATTCTCAAACTATATGGGTTTAATCTTGAAATGCATACCAATCAATGAAAACACAAGACACTTCAGATCTTGTACCAAATAATAAAAGCAACGCAGGCCGTCAGGATCCTTAGACTGGCTGACGTCCACTAAAGACCCAGTTTTGGAAGTAGCAAAGGAAATGTGCTCGTCGTTGATCACGATTTCCAATTCTTGTCTTCCGATACGGTCAGAAGGCGGCCAAAGGGCGTCATCTTCCTGCATGATCTCAGAGTCCACAATGATGCGCTTTAGTTCGTCCATAACGCAGTTGTGAACGTACACTTCCTTTCTAATCATCGTGTCGTTTTTGTAGTTGGAATTGTTGGCGTATCTGAGTTTGCCATCCGGACGAAACTCGAATTCTAAAAATTCGTGACCGAATTTACCTTTGTGGCCCACGTAGTATCTTATGTAGAAGTCTGCAGACATTTTAGCACTCAAATTATTGTAGATTTGTGAAAAAAATTCAATCAATATTCACAGTAAACCCCAAAAGAAATTTGTGTTTTTGTGCTGGCTTGGCCGAAAGATGGAAAGAGTGGGGGGAACCGCTAAATGAAAATGAGGTTAGGGGAACAAGTTCTTCTTTTTTTAATTTTGGGCGCACTCTGTGCACGTCAACTCTCGGTTTCTGAACGATTCCAGCGTAATGCTCCGAGTTAGCACCTGTTAATTTTTGAACGGTTCAGAGTTACTCTAGGGTCACTCCCACACCCAGAGTGCTATTTCTAAACGCAACCCTGGTGTGCACTCGGTGTGACGCCCAGGGTGATTTCGAACGCTCCCTTGAAGGGAATACAACTCATTTGTGTACGGAGTAGTTAGAGTGCACGGAGTGAGCAACCGAGTTCAACCATTTTCTTGCGCCGAGAAGTTATGACGTCATGACACACCAAAGGAGCAAACACCTCGAACTAGTAGGAAAAAAGAAGAAGAAATTATCGCAATTTTTTGTTGTTGACAACACACAACACAGTTTGTTAACATACAAGATACAAAAAAAAATGAAAAAACTGTTTTGCAAATGAAAATGTTCAATTAAATACTAAACAAGCCTTAAAATACCAATTAATTATACACTAAATTAATACCATGTGAATTCAGTAATCTTAAATTATCAAGTCCCAAATTCAGATCCGTCCCTCCCAGTTTGTATAGATTTTGTGCAACAACCAAAATGTGACCTTTCCATTCAATTAATCGCTGTTTATTGAGAAAGTCTTTAGGTTTTGTGTGCAAGACAATATGACAAACAATTTGCTGCAAAACAGAATTATTCGCAATGTGGATTTTTGTAGTATCAGCCTGTGTTGGAGTAGTTTTGGTGATGTCGCTGTTTTTGTGTCTTTGCTGGAGGAACAAGACACCTAAGTAAGAACTTTTGCTGTTTTTATATGAAAATTTTATTATACCTATAACTCCCACGCAGGAGTTAAGGATATCATAACTCCCAAGAGAGTTAAGGATTTCCTTAACTCCCGCTTTTACCTTGAAAAGGTGAAACTTTGACAAGAAAATTTGGTTTATGGTTTATTTCTTTATAAAAATGGACAAAATACAGTAAATTCAGTAGGAAATAAAATGATCTATATGTACCACGGGAATTATCAGGTGTTAATACCTACGGGCAATTGGTGTCCAAACTTTGCCCTGGGGTATTAACACCCTCATAATTCCCTTGATACATAAATAACTATTTTATTTATTTATTATCAGTGGTATAACAAAAATATGCATAATAACATACATACAGGATGTTTGGCGAAGGGTTAGCCAAACTTGGTGGGTGTATAGATAGGCCCATTTTGAAGATATTTTATTGATACACTAGTGCCCTCGCTAGTGCCCTTAATGTCCCCGTTTTTTTTACATCATTGCTTTTGTATTATTCTCAAGAATTTTCAAAAATGGACCTTTCAACTTCTGTACTCAACTCTCATCAAGATCAAGGATACCCTACAGACCAAAAACACATGAAAGAAACATTTTCACTCGCATTTTCAGAAACATTAAAAAAAAAAGTTACAGAAGTTAGAAGGTTAATTTTTGAAAATTTTTGAGAACAATACAAAAGCAATGATAAAAAAAAGAAGACCTTAACGCTACAAGTGTATTAATACTATTTGAGAATTTCAGTAGGTTACCCATTTCAAATGAGTTGTATGTATATGTCGAGAAAAAACCACAGCCAAAAGCACTGGAATTGAAACCAAAAGGCTGTCTATACATGTTCCTTACAATTTAAATTTTCATCCAGAATTACCCTCAAGCTCGCCCTCAAGTACAATAACGAAGGTGTTCTAGCAATAAATTTGTTGCAGCTGCATTGCACTTCAAAAACGCACTGCGTTTCATGCATTTTAAGTTGTTGGAAGTCAGGCAACGTATGCGTAGAATGAGAGAAGGTCATAAATTTAGTTGTTTCTATGTTTAATGACAGAAGACTATCATCCAACCATCCCTTTATTTTTTGTAGTGGTGACTCTGCTTTTTCTTTGACAATTTCCCAGGTAGCTCCATTTAAGACAATAGTAGTGTCATCAGCAAAGCAATAGACAATATCCTCCCTCAATAATTCCATTATTCCATTGATATAAATATTAAAAAGAAGAGGTGAGAGTACTGTTCCCTGTGGCACATCAAACTCCATTTGAAGTTTATCACTTTGCTGATCTCCAATCTTCGTGCTTTGTGTCATACCACTCAAGTAGGATTTAATCAGCTCATTTGGAATACCTCGAATTACCATACTGACCAATCAATATAGGGGAATTTGGTGTGAAACAGTGTCAAAAGCCTTTTTTAAATCTAAGAAGATTGCTATTACCTCGGCTATTACTTTGTTACTCTGATCTAAGTTTTTTAAAATTCCCTCTGAAACCCTCACAAGTGCATTTTCAGTACTTAAGTGCTCTGTGAAGGCAAATTGATTTTTATGAAGTAAATTGTATTGCTCTAAAAATGTCAATAGTTTTTTCCTGAGACACTTTTCCGTTCCGCTAGACACTATTTACATAGACTGTGCAAAGGCCTTTGACAAAGTAGATCATCAGGTGTTGCTGATTTCTCTAAGGATGCATACCATTTCATGAAAAGCTATCTAAAATTGGGAATGCAAAAAGTTCGAGTTGGCACTTCCCTTTCACAGGCTTTTCCAGCAACATCTGGAGTTCCACAGGGTAGTAATTTGGGCCCATTTTTGTTTTCAATGTTTATTAATAATGCATGGGTCTTAGGGTGTGCTTTAAGACCAGTTTAAAATTTAATCAAAAATTAGTACGTTATTAACATGCGTAACACAAGGCGATTTAATGATATGGGTGTCGTGATTAGGCTTCATAATGCTCATGTTCGTTCACACTTAGAATATGCTTCTGTTGTTTGGTCTCCGTAGGCAAAAACCAAGGCAAAACCATACTGTGATGCAAATGAACGCGTTCAAAAAAGATTTCTAAGGTTTTTGTATGTCAGAAAAAATAATATATGTCCTTATCTAGTCTCATATAGAAGCATGTTGGATTACTTCAAGTTCAAGAATTTGGAAAAAAGAAGGCAGATACAGTGTGTGCTGTTTATTTATTATGTTATCAATGATATAAGGTACAATGTTCCTTAATCAACTATATTCCTATACATGTACCTAAAATTAATTTAAGGGTTGAAAGAGATAAATTTTTTTATGTTCCAGCGGGTAGCAGCAAAGTTTGTAGCAGATCTCCCCTGAGTTGTATGTTGGCTAAATGCTCGGTTAAATGTAATGAATTGTTTTCCCCTCGGTTTTCCCTAGATGTTAGATGTTAGTCTAGATTATTTTATAAATACCCGACATGAAATAATTCGAAAGTTTAGTAGTACCCAGCAGTGCCATCTTGTATGTTGTTTTTATTGGTGTAGTGTTTAGTTTGTAAGTATCCATTTTTCTCCTACTTATAATTACCATTATCGTGTTTTTATAACAATCAATAAATAATAGTAGATTATACCACGAGCCAATAATGATAGCTATTATTCCCAAGGAATATTTACGAACGGAGCCGCGTTAGCGGTGAGGGAGTAACATTACGAGGGAAGCCATTATTGCGAGTAGTATACTCTACTTTATTTACGACACATTAATTTATTTGAGATTTTTAATGAACAAATTTCATCCATCTCAATTCTCAATACAAATCCACAAGCACTATACATGTTTGACACTGACACTTTTGAGAGGTCTATAAACCTAGCAGTCCCAAGGTGGAAAAAAACTTTGGGAACTATATAATAATTAGGTGCTTTTTAGGTGGTAATTAGGGCCTCTAATTAAAAATTAGGTGCTCCTTTAGTTTTTGAGAAAATCAAAAAAAAACTAAGGGACTGCTAGGTTTATAAAAGCTAGCAGTCCCCTATGGTAAAAAATTTTTTTCCAAATTTTTTCTTTGTATCAGAATTAGGTGCTTTTTAGGTGCTCCTAAATAGTCCAAGAAAAAATAGATTTGATTAATTATTAACCGAGTTACAGATTTTTTTTTAATTATCAGGGGACTGCTGGCTTTACGTTTACATGTTGGTGTGTCAGAATGGCACAAAAACTTCGGGATCTATATATTAATTAGGTGCTTTTTAGGTGCTAATTAGGGCCTCTAATTAAAATTCAGGTGCTCCTCTAGTTTCTGAGAAAATCAAAAAAAACTAAGGGATTGCTAGGTTTATGAAAGCTAGCAGTCCCCTATAGTAAAAAATATTTTTTTATTTTTTTTTTGTTTGTTTCAGAATTAGGTGCTATTTAAGTGCTCCTAAATAGTTGAAGAAAAACTTGAATCAGTTAATTATTAACTGAATTAGGTACAGATTTTTTTCATTATTAGGAAATTGTTGGGTTCCTTTTACTTGGTGATGTGCCAAAATAGAAAAAAAAAATTTGGGGTCTATATAATAATAATAATCAGGAATTTTTTAGGTGCTAATTAGGGCTACTAATCAAAAATTAGATGCTCCTTTAGCTTTTGAGATAATCAAAAAAAAAGGGGACTGCCAGGTTAATGGAAACTAGCAGTCCCCTAAAATAAAAAATATTTTTTCAAATTTTTCGTTTGTATCAGAATTAGGTGCTTTTTAGGTGCTCAAAAATTACAGGAGCACCTAATTTTTAATTAGAGGCCCTAATTAGCACCTAAAAAGCACCTAATTGGTATATAGATCCCGAAGTTTTTTTGCCATTCTGACAAACTAACAAGTCAACGTAAGGCCAGCAGTCCCCTAATAATTAAAAAAAACATTGTAACTCAGTTAATAATTAATCAATTCTATTTTTTCTTCGACTATTTAGGAGCACCTTAAAAGCACCTAATTCTGATACAAAAAAAATTTTTGAAAAAATATTTTTTACTATAGGGGACTTCTAGCTTTCATGAACCTAGCAGTCCCTTAGTTTTTCTTGATTTTCTCAAAAACTAGAAGAGCACCTAATTTTTAATTAGAGGCCCTAATTAGCACCTAAAAAGCACCTAATTATTATACCGGGTGACAATGAAACTACTACCCACGGCGGCATTTCCTAACGGCTCGAGATAGAAATATGCAATTCCGTATGTCGATAGGGTTGAAAATTTTGAACAATTTTAATATAAAAACAACTGAATGGCTTCTCCGGTTTCACCGGAAATGGCATTGACTTTGTTATTTCAAATGGGACACCCTATATATTATCTTTTATTTGGACTGTCTGAACAATTCTAAGTAACTTTTGTCTAACATACCCTATGTCAAAAATTGATAGATTTTGAAATAGAGTGGCTCAAAAATATGTTGTAATTCCTATTTGCTTGTATTTTACGTAAAAACTGAGTATGCCAGAACAAAAAAATCACACATTCAATTGTTTTTATATTAAAATTGTTCACAATTTTCAACCCTATCAACACACCCAGTTGCATATTTCTATCTCGAGCCGTTAAGAAATGCCGCCATGGGTAGTAGTTTCATTGTCACCCGGTATAGATCCCGAAGTTTTTTTGCCATTCGGACACACCAACAAGTAAACGTAAAGTCAGCAGTCCCCTTATAATTAAAAAAAAAATCTGTAACTCAGTTAATAATTAATCCATTCTATTTTTTCTTCGACTATTTAGGAGCACCTAAAAAGCACCTAATTCTGATACAAGAAAAAAATTTGGAAAAATATTTTTTACTATAGGGGACTAACTACTAGCATTCATAAACCTAGGTTTATAGACCTACTTTCGAGGAATAATGACCATTAATAATAAATAAATAATCCTTACAGTAGTGGATTCAGAAATCATATTTTTCACACATGCATACTCAGTACTATACATCATTTTCCTGCAGAACATCACCCCAATTATCAGCCCCCATTCCCTCAGAAATACATAATACAGAATTTTGCAAAGCGTTTTTTTAAGAGTAAAGTTTTAATTTGGATTTCCCAGTGGAATGTTGACCAAGAGAGGGTAATGATCCGAAAGATCACTTTCCAAAACAACAGAACTCACTAAATGCCAGACGAGCCTGTTTTATGTAATACCCAAAATATATAATATGTTACCTAAAGACATAAGAAATAAAAGCTATAATAAAATAAAAGGCAAAATTAATACTTGGTTGACTACAAATAATATAAATTGGTTTTCTAAATAGTTTATTTCTTTCTGTTTATTTTTTATTTTTCGATTGCCACCCAATATCCAACATAAGTCTTAAAAAATCTAACATTAATATAGATATCCGAATATATTAGTTAGAATAACTTAAGCTTAGTAAATTATACATTAAGTGTGCACACACAGATTGTATCCATAGTGCGCATATATGCTACATGTAATCTGCCATATTGTATCCCAAATATTTTTTGAAATAAATTTGAATTTGAATTTGAATTTGATATTTTCAAATACATTACCCTGACACTTCACAAAACAATGATCAAGACAGGATCCCTCTCTCTCAGATTTCCTAGTTATTTCTTTTACTGTGCTTCCAAATCCATTTCCATGCATCACAGTCAGATAATTATTTGTCAATTGTGATTTGGTCGCTAAGTCAATATCCATATCACCAACAGTCACACACATTGTTCTGATCCATGTAGGGCCTGGAGCATTATTTTCAAACTTTCTAGATATTCTCCTATTGGCAAAGCAAAGAATCTGTATGTAGCTAAAATGCTAGCAGTCCTACTGGTTTTGTTCAGTGTGGCTTTAACAATTTTTAGTTTATTATGTGAGATCACTTGGCAATCAATACAATAATCTTGCTTGATATAGACAAGGACAAGACAGTCATAAAGTACCTACTTTCATTGAAAAATACTGTGTATCCGGGTATGTTGAAATTATTTTGGCAATACACATTTTGAGACTCTGACATTTCTATAATATCAAACGATTTAGCAATAGATTCCAAAAATACTTGAAATAGATCAAAATTTTCTTAAATGCTCCTAATATTTACATGTACATATTAAGTTTATATCACTAGCATCATTATCAAAATGTTTATCTACTATTAATTTATTGTAGGTATTACTTTTACGTCTCTATTTTAGATGAGATCCTGCTCTCTTCTAATTTTTATAGGTTGGTCGAGGTCAGATTTTTTCAAGTATATAATGCCATTCAGACAAAATGCAGCTCGGTTTCCTTTTTGCCTTTTTACTTCACCTCTATTAAGTTAGCAATACCGCACGTACGCCAGAAAATGGTGTTAAGTGATTAATATGTAAGAATCGCTAAAAATTTCAACTTTCTATCTATAATAGAAAAAAAGTTATAACCTTTCAAAGTTTTCAGAAATCTAAATCCTAAGGTCTGCCTGGTAAAGTTCTTTAGCATTCGGCTATTCTTATATGACTCAGTAGGCTCAATCCACTTGGAATCACATTGTGCAGCTGACATCCAACAGCAAATCATAATTCAACCGTTTCTCGTCGGCATTCGGTAGTGCCCCACTGCTACACTTACCTTAAATAGTATAATCGTGCAACAAATGGGATCCTAACCTATTATGGCGAACAGCCTCCCCAGGGGACACCAATTACCAAAAAGAAATAATCAAACCACGAATTGTTGTCCTGGATATCAGTGAAACGCAACTTTAATTGGTAAAAAATGGTAATCATTTAAAGAGGAAATTTATTATTGAAAACATTTACAGCCAAATGCTCAAAGCCCAATACCAAACTTGCTCAACTAGAACTAGATTACCAGGGTTCTGATTTCTGTACCTAACACCCCTAAAAAAATACAGAAGGTAAATTCCTTCGGAAAGTTTATAAGTGCATAAAGGGACTTTTCTAGGACCTGTGGCGTGACTGACGTGCAGGATCAGAAGGCTATAAATACTTGTTGGTACTTACGAAATTTAATAATTTGTACACTAATCAATTATTAGAAAATTGGGTCAAGAATGCTCACTAAACTCGAAAGGCTTATATAATAATTATTTTTTTAATTCCTTATTCCTCCATGTTAAATAGTCTACTGTTGAATGACGAATACTAAAATAGATAAGAAAAGAAAGGAAGCTTGTTAACATTACCCTTGTCCCTTTTTTTCATAGTGGTGATTCATCAATTGGGTATAATATTGAGATAAATAAATCCTTGCTGAAATGCCCGAAACATCAATTTCAGATTGTTTCGAAAACCTGGAATAATTCTGATTTTGAGATTTGAGAATGATCATTATTCAAGCGGCAAAAATTGTTATTACCAATCAATAAACCTACTACTTATCATATGCATCAGATATTATGTACTGATATTACTATGTAGATATCTCGGTAGATATGTCCTAAAATGATGAAATTTCAAATTTTCTTATGTTGAAATTTTGTGTCCTAATGATCCTTTGGGATCCCTCAAACTCCATACACTTGATTATTCCAAGATTTGAAGCCGAAATCTGAGAAAAAAAGGCACTCAAAATTGAAAAAATGATAATTTCATCCCAAATTGCTTAACGCGATTCTATTTCTGGAACTATAAGTCCAAATAAGCTGAAATTTTCAGGGATTGTAGCCTTCACTGGGATAAGAATCGCTGAAAATTTCAGCTTTATATCTATAATAGAAAAACAGTTATGACCTTTCAAAGTTTCAGAAATCTAAATCATAAGATAGCTACCTCAGTACTAAAATGATGAATTTTCAAAGTTTTTTGTGTCGAGACTTTGTGTTCTAATGATCCTTTGGGATCCCCCAAACTCCATCCACTAAATTATTCCGATACATATTTGAAGTTGAAATCTACGAAAAAGGACACTTAGAAACTTAAAAAATTGATAATTTCACCCCAAATTGCTTAACGCGATTTTATTTCTGGAACTATAAATCCAAATGAGCTGAAATTTTTAGGGATTGCAGTCCTTCAGTGGGATAAGAATCGCTGAAAATTTCAGTTTTCTATCTATAATAGAAAAAAAGATGTCTACAAGGACCCTTGTTTTTCTAAGAGCCAAATTATGAACCAACTGGTAACGTCTCTGTCAAATTTAACCTGCTGGTAAAACTGTAAATTCCATGCAATTTTTAGCTTTACCAGCAGGATGAATTTGTCAATAACGTTACCTGTCGGTCCATAATTTGGCCCTAAAGAGGTCCCAGTTGTCCTCATTGATATACCTACTATATTCTCCAGCCAAATCACACTCCCTTGTAGTTAGGCCTTTTCTTTGTTTGATTGCCTTAATAATTTCCTTTTTGGTTTGTGTGTTGAGTAATTCCACCAAAATTGGACCATGTACCATGTACCTATGTATTTCAATTCTATTTATATCAATAGAGAAAATATCAAACAAGTCATTAAATGTAGACATTCACGAGTAATATCTATTATCTACATTCCACATTCCAGAACTTGTTGAGAATAATGTTGCATAATGTAAATTGAATAAATTTCTAATTGGTGTGCTAGACACATCCTAATATGTGAATCATTCTTAAATATAATTTTATTGACTTGTTTTTCATAGTTTATTTATTTATTCAAATTGAAAAACATTAGATTTCCAAAAAACTAAGCAAACAATTATGGAAGACGTTTTTTTTTTCTCGAGGAAAAATGTTCAATTGATGGGGGATGGATATTTCGCAATTATATAAAGTAAAAATGAAATTCAGGAGAAAAAAAAATTGAAATTTCCTTCTGCTCACTTAACTTACCTTCATAAAAATGTCAAAAAACTTTCAGACTTTGCAGATTTCTAGGGGATTTAATTCATAGGCTCAATTTGAGCCTATTTACGTTGAGATCAGATTGAAATTAACAAAGTTGTAAGTGGATAGAGAAAACTTTGAAATCTCAGTAAAAAAATCTTTCTGCTCGCTCTCTTGGATTTTTCACTTCTGAAGCGTTCTAACTACTACTATTGGAGCTGGAGCTGTGATACTATTGATTTTCCCTATTTTTTAAATTTCTCCTTACTCTCATGGTAAGCGCGAACCTTGGAATAAACAAAAAATTGGATGAAAAAAATGAGAAATGGAAAAAAACCCAGTTAACCAAGAAAGCTTTGGACCCACCTGTTTTTCTATGAACCAGTTTTTTTTCTCCTGTAATTTCTCCTCTATCCAGTTTCTAAGAAAATTGTATTTAAATACAATAGTGTATATTTTTTGAAATGTTTGTATGTACGTAGATACCTTAAAAATAATGATTGATTGCATCTGTGTTGTTTTGTATTTTATAGAAACGAATGGCTTGGCGTAGATGGCATGGTAACTCAAAAAAACCCTGATGAAAATGTAAATCATCTTCCTTCGGCTTCACCTTGCATGAACCGAGTCGCCAATGGAGAAGTTTCTGATAAAAGGTGTTTACTTAGTTATAGTTATGCATTCAATATAAAAAATAATTGTTCTAGAAACACAATAAGCAATTCTCGTAGAAGCCTGCCGGATATCCCGTCAGAAATGGTTGCAGGAGTTGTATGGGAAGCCAACGGTGATAATTCCTCGGAACACTATGCCACTCTAGGCCAGTATCAAAATCCTGGTGAAAAACCAGCTACAACCAATGGGCTCGCTCCCAGGTCTAGTATCTCTCAGCATAGCTCTCTAAGTCAAGCTGATGATACATTTTCACCATACGAACGAGTAAAGTATGATAAAATTAAGTCTAAGGAGCATCCTTATGCACAAGTACAACCCAATCCTATGAGAACTACTGTGTATGAAGAGAATCATACTAGTGTTGAGGAGAGGGTCACTTTGTTGAGGTTACTTTACTTAAAAATCCAGTCTTCAATAATCTAATTCCTTTTTTTCATATAGAACTGACGTTCCCAGTACTTCGACAGCTGTTTCAACAACTCCAATTAGATCGCGCAGATCTTCCGCACAAAGTACTGAGCCGACAGTAGACATTCCAGCAGCTACGGCAGTTGCAGGAGGCATAGCTGCAAGTTATGAGCTCCCTTACATGACTCCTCCAATTAATTTTAGCGGAGATTCACAAGATTCTTCAAGTAACTGACTGAGCGAATAGTCTAATTGAAGCAAATTATTTTTTTGTTTTTTTTTAGAGGGTTATACAAGTATTAGTGTCCGTGAGCCTTTAGCCAATATATTGGCCCAAACTAATTCGGTAACTAAGCAAAAAAGGAAGCTGGATGTTCACTATTCCACTGTGTCTGATGATTCTGGTAAGGATTTATTAGCTTATTTGTGAATATATTTTTTTGAGTCAAATTTTTATTAGATGACGTATATACAACGATTCCAGATCCAAATAATCCAATTTACACAAGCGAAAGTGAAACTTACGCTCGGATTCCGCCTTTACCTATAACGGTGGAAGCTGAAATTAACATTCCACCTAGTGAAAGAAGCAATAATGATCGGTAACTGAAAAAAAATTAATGATTATATCTAAAAGTTCAATTAACATTAACTTGATTATTATTTCAGGCCCGAAGTTGATCAAGTATATGAAGAACCTCCCGTCCAACCCTCCAATGTAGATGGCTTGAAGCATGTTACTTCACATACACATACCCATTCAAGACAAGGTAAGAAATAATTTTTTTAAAAAATTGAATCGATTATAATGCAATTTTTGTGTTTAGCCTCTTCATCAAGTTCTGCCAACTTTGGTTCCCCGAAACCAGAAAAACGACAGGCAAATTCACCTCTACCTCCGCCCCCGCCAGACCCTTCACATGACTTTAACGCGGATAAGTTGCAGGTGAAGCGAAATTTGGACGATTTGTATGCAAAAGTTCAAAAGAATAGAAAGGAAGATGTGACTGATACAACTGATGGGTAAGTGATCTTTTTTTAATCTCAAACATTAAAGTTGTTTTTTCTTTTATGTGTTTTTTTATTTTCTTTTACAATATTACTATTACTAAATTACTAATTTACATACCTATACCTATACAAATACCGTCATACAACTACATTCAAGAAAGTATTATTATCACAACAGAAAATTTAAGATTGGTTCTCTAGTTCTTCAGATAGAAGCAGCCTCAATGAATCAGTGAGAGGCTCTATAGTGGTTCACCAAACGATCTCCAAAGACAATTCCGAGCACAATTACGAAACCTTAAAAAAAAGCTCAACAACGCAAAGCGATTTTGGTTACGAGAAAATCAAAGGAGCTCCAGAAAGCGAACCCGGATATGCCAGTATTAACGGACCCGACAGTCTCGCTGCCTCCTCTGATCCAGGCTACGAGGCTTTGCAACAAGTCCACATGAAAATGGGGCCTAATTATGAAGAATTACGTCCTAGTAATGATATAAACGAAGCCATTAGTAATAACTCAGGATATTCTGTTGTAAACAAAAAAAAAAAAGTTTCAAATACACTACTGGAAGAACATAAATATGAACATCCAACTTATACAACGAAATCTAGCGGCAGCGAAAGTGATCCAAACTACGAATCCGTCAATAATCAATCGGATCCGAATTACGAAAGTGTGAAAGATTTGGAACTTTTTGACGATCCAACGCGGACTGATTATGAAACTTTGAGGTGTAGTAACGTGTCGGAAAGTTCGAATAGTAGGACCACAGAAAGTGAGCCACCTTACGAGCGTTTGCGTAACGACATTGACAGTGACGTGCCCGGGTACAATAAGGTGGACGGCAGTTCAGGCAGTTCTGGCAACGAAATAGAGCCAATACAAAACGAAGAAAACGATTTAGCTTTAAATATACACGACGAAAACGCTGTAGTTCAAGTTTAATTATAATAATAATAATTAATATATTATGAATTTATTGAGTTTTATTTCTCCTTAATGGTAGACCAAACTTTATTCATCACAAAATGGATAGTTTGGATGTCCTAGAGTCCTAAAAAAAATTAGTTTGTACCTACTCAAAATTTCTTGAAATATTAACTTACTCCAAGTGACAATGATATCTAATAACTGTTTCAAAAGCATCTATTGCTTCAATGTCTTGTGGAGCCAATGCGTAATCAAACAAATCAATATTTTCCTCAATTCGTTTCTTATTGGAGGATTTTGGAATTGGTACAAGACCAATTTGGATCAGATATCGCAAAATAATCTACAAATTAATTAGTAATTTACTCAAACAATCTTATTTTACTTACTTGTGCTGGTGTTTTTTGATATTTCTGCGCCAAAGTTTGAATTCTAGGATCTTCCATCACCAACGGATCAGATTTTTTAGCCCAGGGTCTATCATTTGAACCCAAAGGAGAATAAGCCACAATTAAAACATCATTGGCTTTGCAAAATGACAATAACTTATTCTGATTTAAATATGGATGATATTCAACTTGATTAACAACTGGTTTAATTTCAGATATTTGCAAGAGTCTTTGCAATTGGTCAATGGTGAAATTTGATACTCCTATGGATTTGGTCAAGCCTTTTTTGCAAATAACTTCCATTGCTTTCCATGTATCTATGTAGTCAGTATTTGAAAATTTAACTTTTCCATTTTGAGATAATGGATAAAAATCGCCACCTTCCTAAAAAGAAATCGACTCAAAAAAACAACCCTTTAAATAATAAACACTTGCCTCAAAAGCCATTGGCCAGTGTATCAAATACAAATCCAAATAATCCAAACCAAAATTGCTCAAGGTTTTCTTTAAAGCTGGCTCCACTGATTTGGGACTCATAGCGTTACACCAAAGCTTACTAGTGATGAAAATTTCTTCTCTCTTTATGGCTCCTTCGGCTAGTTTTTCCCTTATGGCAGCTCCGATTTCAGCTTCGTTGTCGTAGAGCATGGCACAATCGAAATGACGCACTCCTGAGTCAATGGCGTGTTTGATTGCTTCTGATACTTCACCTGGTTTGGACTAGAGATTCACGCAACAAAATATTAATGGAATTTACAATAGGTTTCAGAGCAGATTCAAATTCTCATGGATGTTAAAGTAAGTATACTGTGGTGATACACTTTTATGTTTCAATGGGTACCATGTCTACCTGTATTTTTATGTCATCTTATGCTCAGTTTTGTTGATTAAAGCCTTATTTCTGGGGTATTTTGCATTACTACAATTTAATCGACATTATGGATAAACTCCTGAGACCTGAAAGGTTTGATACTGATCCTAACTCATCAAATGCAGCGAAGGAGTGGTGTCACTGGAAAACTACATTCCAGAACTTCATGTCGTCAGTAAAGGATGTAAATGTAGAGGGAGCACAAAAGCTGCAGTTGCTCACAAACTATGTAAGTCACAACGTGCTCGAATACGTTTCTGCAACAAAAACCTACGCTGATGCTGTAAGTAAGTAATCTTAGATAACATCTATATAAAACCTCAAAATGAAGCATTTGCAAGATATATTCTTTCTACGAGGAAACAGCAACATGGAGAAAACATGAGCCAGTTCATTCAAATTTCGAAGCAGCCCAGCAAAGATTGTAACTTCAAAAACGTAACTGCCAAAGATCATCGCGAACTTTCTATTGGAGATGCGTTCATTAGCAGCTTATGGTCAAATGAAATTCAACTCCTCTCGGAAAAAAAGTAATCTAACTTTAGATGAAGCAACATTACAACTTTATCTCTTGAATCTGCTCAAAAACATTCTGAGGTATACCAAACAGCTTCAAAAAGTTTTGAGTGCTACCGGGAAATGTTCTACATGCTATTATTGTGGAAATAGAAGACATGTCCTGCCCTGCATGCTATATGCAAACAATGCAGTAAAAAAGGTAATTTTTCTACTGTTTGTCGAAGTCCAAATCGTGCTACAACTGCATTTGTTCTGTCTCAAACATTGGCTTTTGTTCCTGGAACTTTATCAACAACTGCGGTGCCCGTAGAAATCAGTTATCGGCAGATGCGTTAATAGATACCTATTGGCAGCTCTGAGACTTATTTGAATGCGTCATTTATGTTTTATCCAATAATCTCCCGATTCAACCAAGTAAATCCTACGTGTCTATGGCTCAAACTTCTCTTCGTGCATAAAGCAAAGGATTGTGTGTTGCCAACCTCATCAACATTCTTGATCATCAATATGCAAAGGTAAACGTTTCGGTACCTACATAAAACATAAAATGTTGACCATTTATTTTGGGGAACGAAAATCTCCATGACTGTACTTGAAACAAAGCACTGTTCTCTAGCTCCTGCTAAAATTGAACTTCCGCAATTATTCGCTAATCTATCATCGCAATGTAAACCAATCGCTACAAAATCGAGAACATTTTTACATGATGATGCCGAATTTATTTCAAGTGAAGTATAAAAAGCTTCTTTCAGAAGGTATCATTGAAGAAAGTATGTCTTCCTGTCCTGGTTCTTGTGACAAAGAACAAAAATCATAAAAAAAGAATGGTTGTTGACTATTCTCAAACAATCAATAAGTTTACTTATCTTGACGCTTATCCTTTAGCTAATATCGAAGGATTGGTAAGAGCAGTCTCAAAATTTGACGTTTTTAGCACTATTGACCTAGAAAGTACGTATCACCAGTTTCCTATAAAAGGTGATGAAAGACAGTCCATTGCTTTTGAAGCTGATGGAAACCTGTACCAGTTCAATCGTATCCCTTTTGGTGTGTCTAACGGCGCAGCTTTATTTTCAAAAAGTCTTAGATACAATAAACAGGCAAGAGAATCTAGGAGGCGTCTACGCATATCTCGATGATATAACAATTTGTGGAAAAAATCGAGAACAATGAACTAAACTTATACTAACTTAAGTATCTAATGTAACATGGTGTCAGGTGTAAAAATTTTCGGGTAAAATCGTCGGATAAGAGAAATAGCTCAAAAATTCTGTGGCGTTACCTCAAATGTCATCAAGCTGGAAAAATTAGAGAAATTATTACTTGCAATGGAAGAACTTCAGCAAAAAAATGAGCAATTGCAAGCCCAACTAGATAGAATGGAGCGAAGTTTAGCTCAAATTCAAGTGCTGAGAGTTAGCACCATTAACACAACAACAGTGACCAATGTACCACCCCCAGAGAAGTTCTCTTTTGTGCCAGTGGAATGGAATGCGTGGTTAGTGAATTATGAACGATACCGAAATGTGACCAATGCAGCCCAAATGAGTGAAAAAGCAGAAGTTGATAGTCTCCTACTCAATATGGGACCTGAAGTTAACCAACTTTTGGATAGCACCAGTCTAACTAATGTACAGATAAGTATATAAAGTAATATAGTGAATGTTATTTTTGAAAGAGCCAAGTTCAATAAAAGAGTGCAACAAAAGGGCAAAACAGCTCAAGAATTCATTTCTTCCATTATACCCCTAAGCAAGATCTGCAATTATGGCACTATATCCGAAGAGCTTATAAGAGATAAGCTTGTTGCTGGCATTTTAGACAAAAAGTTATCCGAAAGCTTACACTTAGACAGTAGCTTAACACTTGAATCGGCTAAAGAAAAAATTGTCCAAAGTGAAAGAATTAAATGGGAAAATAAAGCTCTACAGGATAATTCCCTCTCAGTAAGTAGAATTTCTACTCAGAAAAGACCTTAATCACGAAACGTGGGTAATCAATCAACGAAAACTTATCAACAATGTGGTCGATGCGGTAAAAAACCAAGTCATAGGTTGCATTAAATGAACGCTGTCAAAAATGCCCAATGAAAGGTCACTACAGTAAAATGTGTAAAACGCAGAGACAAACTACTAGCAAATTTAAGCATGTTAATGAAGTTGACGACTCCTCCGATTCATCCGAAGACTCTGAAGTTGGCGAAATAGTCGGAGAAATACAGATTGGCTCGAATACTGCATGGAAAATAGCACTAAAAGTTCCTGAGGAAGAAATATCTTCAAGATTGACACAGATGTAACAGTTTTGAGTAAGACATCGTATGATAAGCTAAAAGAAAAACCAACACTGAAACGTACTAAAGTAAAATTGAAGGGTCCAGGAGGATGTCTATTAAACGTTATTAGAAAATGTACAGTCCAGATCAGTTATAAGGGTGAAAATAATAAAATCAAGGTCATGGAAAATCATGAAAATTTACTTGGCAAACCTGCAATACAGGACTTGGAACTTGCTAAAACTGATTAATAGCATCAATGACCAGAAAATTGCGAGTACTGAAAAAATATGTTTGAGAAAAATTACAAAATATTTCCCAGAACTTTTCAACAGAATTGGGAAATTAAAAGACTATGAATACAAGATAAAAATGACAGAAAACTGTGTGCCATACTCAATTTCAGCACCCAGAAGAGTAGCACCTTCCATTAATAGATAAAGTTAAAAGAGAGCTACAGAAAATGGCAGATCACGAGATAATTGAGCAGGTGGATTACAATAATCCTACTCCATGGTGTGCACCAATGGTTTGTGTCTCCAAAACAAATGATCAAATTAGAATATGTGCTGACTTCACTGAGCTCAATAAATTTGTTTTAAGAGAAAAACTTATAGTCCCCAGTACATCGACCCTAAAATTTTGTAACTCAAGTACACGCCAAACTTCCTGAGCGGCTTTATAACACCAAGTCGGACAATATTTTTCATATCTCCACCCTGGGCGATGGGACATTGCCGCGCTAGCTCTTCGTGAAGTTGTCGTTCTGACGTCCCTAAGGAAGTTGATACATGTACGTGTAGTTTCAATGCCAATCGACTGTTTTTTATATTACATTAACGATATCACATTTGTCGGACAAAAACCATGTGGCTTTGGTGAAGTTCCGATGTCCTCAACATGTCGCTGTGGCGTCCCTGAGGAAGTTGATACATGTACGTGTGGTTTTGATGCCAATCGACTGTTTTCTATGTTACATTATTGATATCACATAGGTCGGACAAAAATCACGTGGCTCTGGGGGGGTCCGACGCCCCCAACATGTCGCTGTGGCGTCCCTAAGGAAGTTGATACATGTATGTCCGACAAAAATAATTATGAATAGCAATGTAATTTTAAAACATGTGTAGTAAATGTCGGACAAATAAAATGAGTATTAAAGTCAGTCGGACAACAAAAGTCCTATTGATCAATTTCTGCCGAAATTCAGGATCTTCACTCCTGAGATTGCACAAAAAACACGACTGAATATCCATTCTTTCTCATACGCGTGGTTTTGAATGACCGCGTTTACTAAATAATTTCCGTAAATACTCGGAGAACTATCAGAAAAACAGATCAGGGAATATGACACAGGGCCCCACAGGTATTTGACAAAGTAGGTAAATAATAAACTGACTAATATGCACGTTGCGTTAAGGCAAACTTATTTTAATTTTTTCATTGATTGTCTCAAATTTCTTGTCCGACAAATGTGATATCGTTAATGTAATGTAAAAAACTGTCGATTGGCATTAAAAACATACGTACATGTATCAACTTCCTTAGGGACGCCACAGCGACATGTTGAGAGCGTCGGAGCCCCCCGAAGCCACGTGATTTTTGTCCGACATATATGATATCGGTAATGTAATACAAAAAACAGTCGATTGGCATTAAATCTACACGTACATGTATCAACTTCCTCAGGGACGCCACAGCGACATGTTGAGGGTGTCGGACCTTCCCCAAAGCCACATGGTTTTTGTCCGACAAATGTGATATCGTTAATGTAATGTAAAAAACAGTCGATTGGCATTGAAACCACACGTACATGTATCAACTTCCTTAGGGACGTCAGAACGACAACTTCACGAAGAGCTAGCGCAGCAATGTCCCATCGCCCAGGGTGGAGACATGAAAAATATTGTCCGACTTGGTGTTATGAAGCCGCTCAGGAAGTTGGGCGTGTACATGAGTTACAAAATTTTAAGGTCGATGTACTGGGGACTATTATTTTATTTGCAATCATATATGTAATCTTGTCATTACTGACTTTTTAAAAATTTGAAAGTGACACTTTACCTGTGTCACTTCCCTCTTCGATTTCCTCACCGATTTCCCTATTCGACTTCCCTCACCGATTTCCCTCACTCTAATTTATTTACCTTTGCTGGCAACAATGAAAACATGTCAGGTAAAAATGTCAAAGCAGCGAATGACACATTTTGGCATGTTTGTTTTATTTTTTTAATATTAAAAAAATTGATTGACTAATCATTATTAATGGTGTGCTTGCAAATAAAATAGTATACAAACCTCGGAGGGAAGTTTTCATTTCTGTCTCGAGATTATTAGTCAATCTCGACGTTTCGCGTCTCGATTGACTATACAAATCTCTCGACAGTAATGAAGCACTTCCCTACTCGGTATGTAATATACTATTACCAACGGTGGATTCTACACTGGCACAAATAAGAAATGCAAAATAATCAGATTGTGTAAGTTTTTGGCAACTTCCATTATCAGAAGGTTCGAAGCACTACACTGCCTTTTTAACACCTTTTAGAAAGTACATTTACAAGAGAATTCCTTTTGGAATTACTTCAGCTCCAGAAATTTTTCAGAGTAAAATGAATAGACTTTCCAATAACCATGAAGGGGTGTATTAGTACACATTGATGATATTACAGTTTTTGGATAAAATGTTGCACATCAGCATGATAAAAGGTTAAAAAGAGTGCTTAAAGTGTTACGAGACAATGGACTTACCTTAAACGAGTCGAAATGTCAGATAGGCATTTCGGAAGTGAAATTACTTGGACACATTATTGGACAATCGGGTATTCTTTATATGTACCAGATACATTATCAAGACAGCCACTGAAACAGATAGATAATGGAAAAGATGTATTGGAAGAAGAAGTTGAATGTTATGTAAATGTTACACACCAAATAGTTCAAAAAGCACAGCAAGAAGAGTTTCAAAAACTTAGTGAATATCTATTGCAGGGATGGTCAGAAAAAGCATCACAAGTAAGTAACAGACATGTCAAAAATATTTCAAGTATCGTAATGAAATTACATATTAATGGCAGTTTGTTGTATTGCAAAGACATGATTATAATTCCTTCATCTATGTACAGAGAAACTTTAAATCAAATTCATATTGGACATCAAGGCATAAATGCTTGCAAATCTAGAGCAAAACATACTGTATGGTGGCCCAGTATCAATAATTATATCATAGAAACAGTACAAAATTGCCATGAATGTTTGAAGAATCAGAATCAAGTAACAGATCCTATAACACTTCGAAAATTGCCAAACTTACCATTTCAGCATGTATCACCAGATTTATTCCAGTACAGAAATCAAGTGTACCTTGTCATACAGGATGTTTACTCAAAATATCCAGAAGTTATTACACTAAAGAAAACTAAAAGTGAAGACATTATTGAAAAATTGAGAGAAATATTTGGACGTTATGGAATTCCAGAGATATTATACTCAGATGGTGGACCAGAATTTGATAGTTACAGTTTCAGGAAGTTTGCAAAAACTTACAACGTCAACCACATAAAAAGTAGCCCCAGGTTTCCACAAAGTAACGGTTCAGCAGAGAGAGTTGTACAGTTAGTGAAAAAACTGTTAAAAAAGTGTGAAGATCCTTATTTGGGAATATTAGCATACCGCAATACACCACTTTCATGTGGAAACTATCCTTCAGAACTACTATTTGGAAGAAAACTTAGAGAAATTTTACCTAGGTACCACAAAGAAAAACCTTAAACCAAAACTGGTTGACCATGAAAAAGTTAGGAAGAAGCAGAGAGAGGAACAAGAAGAAGCGAAGAAAAACTATGACTGTAGATATAAGTCAAAAATTTTACCAAAATTGAATGACAATGGCCTAGTTTACATGAAAGATGTGAAGTGAAATGTAATGGAAACATTGTAAGACAGTCGAGAACCAAATTCATTTATGGTCCAGACCAAAGATGATGTTCTAAGGAGAAACAGAAAATTTTTGGTAAAACTACCTGAAATCAAGGCAAAGAATTTAAAGACTAAGAAGAGACAGAAAAGCGGAAATACTACAGAGATACAAGGATATGTAGAACCTAAAGGAAGACAAAGACGAGAAAAACGAAGACCAAAAAGATTTGATGATTTTGTTGTGTCAAATAGTTGACATTCAAAGTTCTAATTATTTAATGTTATGTTAAACTCCTTAAATCTTCCTTTGGTAATGTACTACCTATATGTTTTGAAATATTTTTTTCAAAATTAAAAGTACAGGAGATGTATAATAATATGTCAAAGATAGATGGAGTTTGAGAGGTGATGTCGCTTATGTGTTAGAGAATAAAGGTCGTATCAAACGCTCCTACAGTTTTATTGAAAGAAATCAATTTAGTTTTTTATTCCAATCAACTTTATTGACAATAACCAGTAAAAGTTAAAAAAATATAAACAGAAACCGATGAGTATTTATCAAAAGAGTAGTGAAGTAATGGATACTATAACCCAATCACAAACAAGACAATAATTTTGATATTCAATATGGCTAGAAAAATCAATTTTCTTACCCTCCAAGTTCCTAAACCAATTACAGGCATTGAAATTCCATTATTTAATTTGATTGTTGGAATTTTATCGGCCATGCCTAACATAAGTTGTTACTTCACAGAAATTATTTAATCAATGAAGCAATTAAAATTTATCGCATTGTTTTTATCATAATCGCTAACATAATATAGTGAGGAACGTGGGGATAATAAAACATCAAAATCTATTAATAATAAATTTATTTTATAAAAATAACAGTTTCCTTTTGAAGATAACAATATTGATGGTTTCAACGAATCCAAAACTTAAATTTAATATTCATCACGAATAAATGGATGATCTTTGTGGTCGTAGGCATCATCATAAGGACAAATCCTGCCGTTGCAGTCAAAAGTGTCCAAATGGGCCATATCTTCAGCCGAAAGCTTAAAGTCCCAAATGTCAAAGTTCTGAGCGATTCTGGACTTGGTGACCGATTTAGGAATAACGATCAAGTTCCTTTGGAGGCCGTATCTGATCACAACTTGAGCTGGAGTTTTGCCATATTTCTTGGCGATTTCCTGGATTTTAACGTCGTCCAACAATTGGGGATCGCCAGGCTTGGCCCACGGCCTGTCTGGTGAACCCAAAGGACTGTAAGCTGTCACGACCATACCTTTAGATTGACAGAATTCAATTAGTCTCTTTTGGTTGAGGTAGGGGTGGACTTCAATTTGGTTGGTTACTGGTTTGATGGTAGCAGCAGCCCATAATCTTTCGACTTGTTTTTTGTTGAAGTTTGAAATACCAATGGATTTGGTGAGGCCTTTTGCCACTAACTGCTCCATGGCTTTCCAGGTGTCTACATAGTCGACGTCGCTGAAAGCACATTTGCCATTGGCGTCAACAGGCATAAGCTCACCTTCTTCTTTAAGGGCAAAAGGCCAATGGATCAGGTATAAGTCTAACTGTTGGAGTCCCAAGTCTGATAAGGTTTTTCTGATTGCTGGCTCTACTAAGTCTGGTCTGTGCATGGTGTTCCAGAGTTTACTTTAAAAAAAAAAATTCAAATAACGATGTTGAGTTTATTGAAATGGTTTTACCTGGTGATGTAAACATCTTCTCTTTTGACGGTTCCATCGGCGAATTTGGCCTTAAGGGCTTCACCAACTTCAGGTTCATTGCCGTAAACATGTGCGCAGTCGATGTGACGGTAACCAATGTCCAAAGCGTCTTTTACTGCTTGGGTGACCTCACCAGGCTTTGACTGAAAAGTTACAATTTACGTCAATACAGATAAAATCGTAGACTCTATATGACCTGGAGATAATGGAATAAAAATACAAACATAGAAAAAGAAGATTACGTATTATTTTGATAATGTATTATCACTTTTGCCATATACTTCATTTTTCTGCTACTAGGTTGTTGATAATGATACATTCAAGTATTTATCATACCAAAATTTCATAAGCAAGATTGTTAGGCAAATAAAAATTAGGCTTATCTTAATCACTCAGTGCCATAATTAATTGGGTGTTCAAAAAAAAAATATATTAACTGGTAAATTGAAATTATCCCCAAATTATGAAATAAGGTATTTCCTATTTCTAAGCCTGCATGGAAATGAGGAATTTAACATTTGGGCCTTAGGATCCCTGCTGGCAACTTTCCTTTTCATAATTATTGGAAAAAAAAATCAATTTTCAGTTGGAGCAGTTATCCAAATTCCAGAAAATTCTTAGTTAGTTGTCCTTGACATTAGCATGCTTTTCAATTTATCTAAATTATAAACTAAATTTCAACGCAAGTAAAGCATGGATGACCCTATTCAAGATAAAACAAAATTACAAAATACTGAGGAAATGTTTGAAAAAATAATACACACGTTGCCGAAAACTTATATAAAATCTCTTGTTCTTACCTTCCATGTGCCCAAACCGAAAACGGGAAATTCTTGTCCATTGTTGAACTTGATTTTTGGTACTTTTCCGGCCATTGCTTCCGCACTACTGTGACAATCAAAATTTACGGCAGGAAACGTTTGTAGCGGGCCAAACTGAAAGTGCGCGGAATCGGCCATTAGATCTGAATTTATACAGCAGAAACCTTGAATAGATTTTCTCCGCAGGACCGGAATCAAACACGAGATTCGTAAATTCTGCATCAAAATGTTCATCATTTTTGACAATAGTTATTGTTGTCAATAATTAGTCTGGGAATAATGCACCAATTTACCAAAGGTGGCAATGGCTAGGTATTAAGTTAAATTATTGCTGATTCAAATGATAAGCAGGTTGATGAAGCTCACATGTATTGATGATCTTGTATCGGTAAATCACTCGAAATTTCAAAACATTGTGAAAGTTACTTTTCTTCTTTCCCTTGAATGAGCGGATGGCATAAGTTATAGCTGAAGGGCTTTTTATATTTTGAAATATTATATAGGTACTTTGATACTTATGGGGTTTTGGAGGTGAAATTTTTCATAAAGATGTTATACGTTTAGATATGATATGACTAGAAATCTGTTATTCTAAATTAAATCAAAAAATCCTGACTCCAGTCCTGATACACGCTATTACTGTATATATTTTTCAAGTTCACTACCAAACGAAACTGCTTCTATGAGTATTAGAAGTCCGAATAATGAAATTAAACATGGAAAATTTTTGTAATTAGCTATTGTTTAACGCCTATCTTTAATAGTGTACAGATTGCGAAACATTTTCATAACTTTGCAGATAAAATTCTTACAATGTTATGATTAATCAGCTATTAAAATGTTTAAACAGAAATTTTAATGAAATAGCATTTTTATATATTAAAAGTAGAAAATAAAATCCTAATTTTCTACTATCACAGTAGTAATAGGTACTTGTTTTTTAAGGGAAAAAATTATATCGTACTTAGGTACTAATCTAAGATAGGTACTCATGAACTTTGCACAATATTGAAGGATATTTATCTTTTCAATACCTAATCGTTAAAACTTGAAAGTGAAGATGTTGTTTAGAGCTTTTTATTTATGAAAATTCCACTCAAAATTTATATTTTTTCATGTTTTTATTCAAGTTTACTTTGAAATACAATTTATCTTATGAAGATGAGAAGAGATAATATGAGGGGTAGATCTAAGATCACGTGATTGGATATTTGAATTTGAAACTTCATCATTTTAGTACTAACCTATGATTTAGATTTTTGTAAACTTTAATAAATCATAACTTTTTCACTATAAGAGATGGAGAGCTGAAATTTTCAGCGATTCTTATTCCAGTAGAGGTTTTCAATTCCTAATTATTTTTGAGAAAATTTTAAATTTGAATGCTCATAACTTAGAAACGGGGTGATTCTGGAAATTCTCAATGAAGCCATTCTATGGGCAATCTATTCCTTTATGGAATGAAACATGATTCATTGAAATCGATCCAGGCGTTCCAGATTTATGGTCTATTTAAGCGGGCTTAAGAGACGTTTTTTGAGAAAAATTCCAAATAGATTTTCTGCTTGTTTTGACCTCCTCTATACAGTGAAATTTTTCTTTTTCCAAAATTCGGAAATTTTCGATTTTCCATTGTTTGCATAGGAAACATAAAAAGGCCGAGCCGAAAACTTCTAGAAAAACAGGAAATTAAGGGAGAAAAGTGGGTTCAGACATTTCTCTGGACCTTCTCTATGACGTAGTGAAAGAAAATCCGGGAAATTTTGACTTTGATTTTTTTTGCCGAAAAAAAAAAGGAATGATTTTAAAACTTCCAAGTGGAATATCTGGAAAACCGTAAGTCGTAGAGGCAAGACTCGCTAAGCTTTTTTGTAGACCTCGACGAGTTCTACAATCTGCCCATGAAGAGTTTTCCTCTACGACTTACCGTCACGGAGTTATGGCCGGTTGACGTTTCGATTTTCGTCATTTTCCGAGTTTCCTGTGTTCTAGGCTAAGATTCTAGCGAGGGGTGGATAACTCCTCAAAATATGTACACAGATTTTAAATCTTCATTGATTTTGTGGGATTTTGAGGATTTTGAAAATCATCATATGATTTTACAGGATTTTAGGTGATTTTGGAGCATTAATTTCAGGGAAGTTAGAAGGGTTTTGAATTTCACCATAAGATTCCATGGAATTCCACCATAAAATTCAATGGAATTCTTGTACAAAAATTCCTCGGAATAATTGTAAAATATTTCATGAAATTTCTCGGAATCCCACTAAAATTTTATGTAATTCGACAAAAATTACTCAGAATTTCACTAAAATTTAATTCATTTTTTCGAAATTTCTCGGGGTTCCATGGAAATTCCACGAAAATTATGTTTAATTCCAAGGGAATTCTTCGGATTCCATGTAATTTACTGGAATACCAGAATAAGATTTCAAGGAATTCCACGTATGTAATTCGACGAGAATTCCTTGGAATTTTACTCGATATTTCATCGAAATTTTATGTAAGTCGACACAAGGTGAAATTATATATAGCTTGATGGAAATTCTTCGAATATTTCATAATTTTTTTTTTTTTTTCGAAATCCCACTGAAATTCTCCAAAATTCTATAGAAATTCCAAAATCCATAATTGTTTTAAAATTTTACTGAAATTCCTCGAATCTTCACCATTGAAATATCCTGGAATTCCACAAAATTTTCACAAAATTTTTCGAAATTTCACTGACATTTCCTAAAATTTTATGAGATTTTTTTAAAATTTCACTGAAATTCCACGTATTAGTTGAAAATTTCTCGAAATTCCAATGAAACTTCAATTTTTTTTTCAAAATTTCATTTATTTCCATAAGAATTTTTCGGAATTTCATTGAAATTCTCTTTCAATAGTCAATTTCTGGGAATATTAATGAAACTTCAAGTAATTTCTTGAAAATTCACCGAAATTTCTGCGAAATATATTGAAATTTCATATCATTACATGGGAATTTTTCCAAATTTCACCGAAATTCCAAGTTTTTAGCCAGAAGTTCCTCGGAATTCCACTTGTGAAATTTTCTCTAATTATTCTTATTTTACTAAAATTCAGTAATTCGATGGGAATTTTTCGGAATTTCAATTTCACCAAAATGCCATGTTTTTAACTGGGAATTCCTTGGAATAAAAATAAAACTGCATGTAATTACATTAGGATTTTTCGGAATTTCACTGGAATTCCTTATGAAACGATAAGAGTTGTTAAAAATTCCACTTAAATTTCATGTAATTCCCTGACAATTCCTTGGAATTCCATGCAAATTATGTAATTTTTTGAAACTTTTTTAAAATTCTTTGCAACTCATTCAGGATTTCATATAATTTGATCGAGATTCCACTGAAATTTCATGTAATTTCTTGAAATTTCATGTAATTCGAGAGGAACTAAAATTCAATGTAAATTCTGTGGAAACTCTGCAAAAATTTCACGTCACATTTCACACCATAAAATTCAAAGGAATTCTTGGAATTTTTTTTATTCGGAATTACAATATAAGATTTCATGAAATTCTTCGGAATTCCACTAAAATTTTAAGTTATTCCATGAATATTTTAGTCAATTCCATAGAAATTCCTTAGAATTTCAGCAGAGGATTTTATGGATTTCCATTCAAGTGATAAATTTGAATGGAAAAACGTAAATTCCTAGAAATTTTACTATAAGATTTCATAATACTTCTCCGAATTTCATCATAAGATTCTATGGAATTTTACCATAAAATTTAATGGAATTCTTGCACAAAAATTCCTTGGAATTACCCTATGAGATTTCATGAAATTCTTTGGAATTCCATTAAAATTTCAAGCTATTCCATGAGAATTCCGTGAAAATTTTACTTGATTTCATAGAAATTGATTAGAATTTTACCAGAAGATTTTATGGAATTCCTCGAAATTCCATTCAAATGGTAAATTTGAATGAAAAAACGGAAATTCCTAAAAATTTTACTATAAGATTTCATAATATTGTTCCAAATTTCACTATAAGATTTTATGGAATTTTACAATAAAATTCAATGGAATCCTTGAACAAAAATTCCTCGGAATTACACTATGAAAATTCATGAAATTCTTCGGGATTCCACTAAAATTTCAAGTTATTCCATAGGAAATAAAAATTCCATATTTTTTTTTTTAACTTTACTGAAATTCCCCAATATTTCACCACTGAGATATCCTAGAACTCCACAAAATTTTCATTAAATTCTTCGGAATTTCTTTGACATTTTATGTAATTCCCTAAAAATTCCTCGGAATTCACTAAAATTTTATGAGAATATTCTGAAATTCCACTTTCATAGCCGAAGATTTCTCGAAACTCCAATGAGACTTCAAGGAATTTTTCAAAATTTCATTTATTTTCATAAGAATTTTTCGGAATTTTACTGAAATTCTCTTTTAATAGACAGGAATTTCTGGGAATTTAAATGAAACTTCAAGTAATTTCTTGAAAATTCACCAAAATATATTGAAATTTTATGTCATTACATGGGAATTTTTCGGAATATCATCGAAATTCCATGTTTTCAGCCGGAAATTCCTCGGCATTCCACTTGTGGAATTTTCTGGAATTTTACCAAAATTCAGTAAGAACTGAAATTTCATGGTGGGAATTTCGGTGTAATTTCAATTCCTCAATGCAATTCATTTAGGATATCGTGTAATTGGATCGGAATTTCACTGAAATTTCATGTAATTCGAGAGGAACTAAAATTTAATGTGAATTCTATGGAAACTCCGCAAAAATTTCACATGTAATTCCTTTTTCAGAATAACATAATTCTACCGAAATTCCACTAAATTACGGAATTCTGAGACACTTTAACACATTTTTGGGGATTCCAAAGAATTTTTGGGAATTTCACAGGTTATACAACTCACTGTACATTATTCCCATATGACACGAGAGGCTTAAAAAGTGATAAGCCTTTTGGGATTATCGCGCTTGGTGGCAATATTGTTATTAATAATAATAAAAATTAATAAAGTATTAAAGTTTGGTTCGTTGTATAACCTTTTGAATACCATTCGATGTTTCAGGATTACCTAATACTTTTACCTGACACTCAACGCGTTATCAGCAACACCACTCCTCCTTCGGAGTCGTGGTGTTGCTGCGTAACGCGTTTCGTGCCAGGTAAAAGTATTATCCGGTAATCCTGAAACCTCTTGTGGTATTACATTCGATTATACAATTCACTGTAAATTATTCCCATATGACACGAGAGGCTTAAAAAGTGATAAGCCTTTTGGGATTATCGCGCTTGGTGGCATTTATGGCAAATTCTATTATAGAATTTTTTTAAAATTTTAAAGTATTAAAGTTTAGTCCGTTGTATAACCTTTTGAATACCACTCGATGTTTCAGGACTACCTAATACTTTTACCTGATACTCAACGCGTTACCAGAAACACCACTCCTCCTTCGGAGTCGTGGTGTTGCTGCGTAACGCGTTTCGTGACAGTTAAAAGTATTATCCGGTAATCCTGGAACCTCTTGTGGTATTACATTCGATTATACAACTCACTGTACATTATCCCCATATGACACGAAAGGCTTAACAAGTGATAAGCCTTTTGGGATTATCGCGCTTAGTGGCAATATTGTTATTAATAATAATAAAAATTAATAAATCATTAAAGTTTAGTTCGTTGTATAACCTTTCGAATACCACTCGATGTTTCAGGATTACCCAATACTTTTACCTGACACTCAACGCGTTACCAGCAACACCACTCCTCCTTCGGAGTCGTGGTGTTGCTGCGTAACGCGTTTCGTGCCAGGTAAAAGTATTTTCCGGTAATCCTGAAACCTCTTGTGGTATTACATTCGAAAATATTTCTCAGAAATGTTAATGATTTTATAAGATTTTGCAGGATTTTGTTGGTTTTAAACTTTGTTAGATTTTGTAGGATTTTATGCAATTTCAAGAGATTTTGTGGGATTTTGTTAAATTTTTAAGGATTTCAAAGATTTTTAGGTATTTTCAGTATATCTTATGAGATTTTCTGGGATTTTGACCAACTTGTACACGGATTTTGACCAGTTAACCACCCCTCGGGTTCTAGGTATAGAGCCAAAAACCAAAGTCAAAATTTCGAAATTTCAAGATAGCCATTTTGTAGAAGGGATCCCAAAAAGTCCCAAAACCAACTTTTTTTCCTTAACTTTTCCCATTTCCCATGAATTTTCTCCATTTTGTGGCGATTCGACACCGCTTCATTAAATTGGCTATAACTTTGATGTTTCTAAACCGATTTTAATGAATCATATCTTATTCGATAGAGAATTGAATTCTCTACAAAGGGGTCTTATTAACATTTTCGATAAATGTCCCGTTTAGCCTTATCAGCCTTCGAAGTTGAAACTTTTTAGGAAATCTGTTTATATGACATGCCTTCACATTTTAATTTTTTACTCAAGAACTCCTTGAGGCACGAATATGAAATTTTTGGGGGTCCCAAGGGAGAGAACTGGAATTTTCAGCGATTTTTATTCCAGTAGAGGACTACAATCCCTGAAAATTTCAGGTCATTTGGACTTATAGTTCCAGAAATGAAATCGTGTTAAGCAATTTTGGAGGATTTATCAATTTTACAATTTTTCCTAGTGGCTTTTTTCATGCATTTCGGCTCCAAATCTCAGAATAATATAGTGTTTGGAGTTTGGGGGATTCCAAAGGACCATGAGGACACAAAATCTCGACAAATTTTTTTTGGAAATTGCCTCGTTTTAGTACTGAGGTTATGATTTAGATTTTAGAAAACTTTGGAAGATCATAACTTTTTTTCTGTTAGAGATAGAAAGCTGAAATTTTCCGCCATTCTTATTCCAGTAGAGGACTACAATCCCTGATATTTGGGAGGATTTATCAATTTTTCAATTTTTCTGAGTGCGTTTTTTTTATAGAATCCGGCTCCAAATCTCATAATAACCTAGTGTATGGAGCTCGGGAGATTCCAAAGGAACATTAGGACATAAAACCTGAACAAAAAAAATTTGAAATTTTATCGTTTCAGTACTGAGGTGATTTAGATATTGGAAAACTTTGAAAGGTCATAACTTTTTTTCTATTACAGATAGAAAGCTGAAATTTTTAGCGATTCTTATTCCAGTAGAGGACTACAATCCCTGATAATTTCAGTTCAGCTTATTCGGACGTATATTTCCAGAAATAAAATCGTGTTAAGCAATTTGGGGCGAATTATCAATTTTTCAATTTTTCTGAGTGCCATAGAATCCGGCTCCAAATTTCATAATAACTTAGTGTATGGAGTTCGGGAGATTCCTAAGGACCATTAAGATACAAAATTTCAACAAAAAAAAATGAAATTTCATTGTTTTAGTACTGAGGTAGCTACATGTTATGATTTAAATTTTGGAAAACTTTCAAAAATCATAACTTTTTTTCTATTAGAGATTAGAAATGGAGAGTTGAAATTTTCAGCGATCCTTATCCCAGTAGAGGACTACAATCCCTAAAAATTTCAGCTCATTTAGACTTATAGTTTTCCCTTCACTGGTTTTTCAGAAAAATATTGAAATGTTAGAGGATGCATTTTTTCAAATTAAGACTATGAAAGTTGATTTTCAAGAATTTCTCATGTTATGATTTTCCAGTGGGAAAAACTGAAATTTTAGTATGATGAATTCCTAATAATCTTCTTTCGATCCTGACAATTTCAAAATTTTTCCTTCACTAGTTTTTTAGAAAGATATTTAAAAGCAGGAGGTTTAAATTCAAACTACGAAAGTTGGCATTCAGGAATTCTTCATGTTATGATTTTTCATTGGGAAAATATGAAATTTCAGTATGATGAACTCTCAATTATCTTCTTGAAATTGAAATTTTTTTCAGGTTTTGGAATTTTGAGTTTTGAGAAACCTAATAAAAATTAACAAATCACATTTGTGGATTTCTGGGTCGTTCTGTTATGAAAGGGATGAAGAAATTCAACTTGAATGTGTCCCTTTTGCAAATTTCTTCACTCAGCCTTTGTCCAGTAGTTTATAAACAATAACTTAGATAGGGCAAGCTCTATCATATTACAAAATAAAAATCTTCTAGCATAAAATAAACTTTATTTCAAAAAAAAATTCACAAAGCTTAAATTTCATCGTGCTCGAAGGGGTGATATTTGTGCCCGTAACCACTATAAAAAAAAAACAGAAATAATAATTTTGTATATTTTCCAATGAAAAAAATTACTTACGCTGCTAAAGGGCACAATCTTCCATTAACATCGAATCCATCCAAATAAGCAATATCCTCTGGGGCCAACTTAAAATCGAATATGTCAAAGTTTTGCTGAATCCTGGATTTGGTCACGGACTTGGGAATCGTAATCACTTCTCTGTCTAGCTGATACCTAAGCAAAATTTGCGCGGGAGTTTTATTGTATTTTTTAGCCAAATCGACCAGTTTTGGATCTTCCATCAGTTGCGGATCGCCGGGCTGAGCCCAAGGCCTATCCGGAGAACCCAAAGGACTGTAAGCGGTGATTGCAAGGCCCTTAGATTTGGCAAACTGGATAAGTCTGCTTTGGTTCAAGTAGGGATGGCATTCAATTTGCAGCACGGCGGGTTGAATTGTACAGTTTTCCAAAATCCTAGTGATTTGTGCTTTATTGAAGTTGGAAAAACCAATAGATTTGGTCAGGTCTTTTCTGACCAATTCTTCCATGGCTTTCCAGGTGTCCAAATAATCGACGTCGCTGAAAATGATGTTGCCTGCTTCGTCTTTGGGCATATTTTCACCACCTTCCTAAATTAATAGATTACAATAAGAATAATTTTTAATATAATTACTAATAAACAAACCTTGTATCCAGTTGGCCAATGGATAAGGTAAAGGTCCAAATAATCTAGACCCAAACCGCTCAAAGACTTTTTAATGTTTACCTCAACGAGGTCTGGTCTGTGATAAGTGTTCCATAATTTACTAGAAAATGTTAGTTGAAATAAAAATATCTTCAAGAGGTATAAAGGTATACCTGGTAATCCAAAGATCTTCCCTTTTGACAGTACCATCGGCAAATTTGGCCCGCAAAGCGGCACCTACTTCGTTTTCGTTGCCGTAGGCGAAAGCACAGTCAATGTGACGGTAGCCGATGTCAATGGCATCTTTTACAGCTTGTTCAACTTCACCCGGTTTGGACTGGAACAAAAAAATACTTATTTAAGTTTGACTTTATTTTTATCAAGTTGAGTGAAGAAGTAGAAAATTGGATATTCAAATTAAAACATCAAAGTCAGAATCTGCAAGCTTTTCTTCCTTTTGCTATTTCATTGATTCACGTTTCCGAGAGAATGATCAAGGTTTGTTGGTTTGATGATTCTTTTACATCGATATCAGTAATATCAGAATTTTCTGATTGATAACAGGCCTCAATACAATCGTCACTCCCACTATCTAAGTCAAAATTATGATTACAAAGGTCTCAATTATTGTCCATTCTCAAGACAATATCCAAATAATGACACGCATCAATAAGTTTAGTTTTATTCAAGAACTTTCTATATCTTCAAATTATAGAACTTTTTAAATTTTTGATATCTTCCATTACCAATATCAGATTCTATGAATTATTCTATTAAAAAATTTGAATCAAATTAGCCAACGTTTCGATTCTGATCTGCATCAACTTCAAGACCAGATTTTTATGGTTTGAAATTCATCAAAAAACACCACTGCTCAAGCTAGCAGAGTTATTTGCTATAGTTAATTTTCATTTCAAGATACCCATAAGTACAAATCACAAATTGAAATCAGTGTATATTAGATTCAAGCAATATTTATTTATTTGTTCAAATAATCAACATAAAATTTGAAACGTCATCATCAGTCTATGAGGTCGATCGGCTTTAGATGGGTTGCCGTCCAGTGATGTTTTTGAAGTTGGTTGTTTAGGCAGCTGAAATATAAAAAAGTAAAAAATTAGTTTAATTCTTAAATTCAAAATCAGTTTGAAAACTTACCAGTAGCAAAAGTCTGCTCATAGGTACCGTAAAATGGGAACTTTCCATATTGGTAAGGAGTGTAGCTGGCGAGTTTGTCAGTTTGGTAGAAGTTCTCAGTTGGCATGTATTCATAAGAAGGTTTGTAGCTTTGGTATCCCAGTTGTGTGTATCCAGAAACTTGGTTGTAAGATTGGCTGTATGGTCCATATTGGTATCCATGGGTGTATGGTCCGTATTGGTATCCATGGGTGTATGGTCCGTATTGGTATCCATGGCTGTATGGTCCGTATTCGAATCCTTGGCTGTATGGTCCGTATTCGTATCCTTGGCTGTATGGTCCATATTGGTATTGGTTGGTGAATCCTTGGTATTGGATTCTTTGGATCATTGGCAATACATATTGCAATTGTTCAACGATGTAGTAGAAACCTTCTCTTTGGGCGTACAAGTAAGCGTTGTTCAAGTATTGGTAAGCTTGTTGGAGTTGTTTTTCGGCGTATTGAGCCATTGGTTGAGCCATGTAGCCCTTTTGCCAGAATTGGTAAGCGGTTTGGAAGTATCTGTAGGCGAAGTTCAATTGCTGGGAAATGTAGTAGTAGTCGGCTTGAGGATGGGCTTGAATGTATTGTTGGATATTTTCGATGTATTCGATGATTTGTTTGTAGTATTGTTGTTGGCTGGATCCATAGTATTGGAATTGGTTGCCTCCCAAATATTGGTATTGGTAAGCCTTTTGGAAGCTCATGTAAGCGTATTGCAATTGTTGAACAAAATATTGGGGAAGGGTTTGTTGATGTCCAATGAATTGGTAAACAGTTTGGAAGTATTGGTAAGCTTGTTTCATTTGCATTACATAGTATTGAGCTACGTAGTAAGGAATTTGGTATTGTTCAACATTTTCGAAGGTCCTGTAGACTACCATAGCTTTTTCGATGTAAGCCAACACTTGTTGCAATTGTTCGTAAATCTGGGTTTCAAAGCTCATGTTTTCTTGTTTGTAGTATTGCAGAGCACGTTGGATGTACTGTTGAGCTTCCAACAATTGCTGGTAGATGAATCTAGCTTGAACATAGCTGAAGTTCATTTTGCCTTGTTCCAGGAAGTATTGGTGGAACGGTTGAGACACACGAGATTCAACTTGTTGCAAAATGTATTGTTTGACTTCTTGAGGCATGTCGGTTAGTTTGTAATAGTATTGGTAAATTTCATAGGGAGATTGGAAGTAGGTCTGGTTCAAACCTAGTCCGTATTGTTGAGAAAGGTATTCGGCAACAAACCTAGGGAAACCATGTTCCAAAAGGTAATTCTGTACTTGAATTGGAGTGTAACCAAGTTGTTGGGCTTGATGGAATTGGTAGGCAATAAATTGGGGTACATGGTAGCTGTAGGCATTACCTTGCTGGTAGAATCTAGCTTCCGGAAGGTACTGGTACGTAGATACTTCGTGGGTTTCCCTCATAGGTACCGCCGCGGCGAAGGCGACAAGGGCCAATAAGATAACTGACTTCATTGTTGGTTCTTCTACTTGCTGCTACTGCTGCGAGAACTAAGAACTTGAACTGATGCTGTTCGAAGCCGCTCGGTGCGTATTTATATTCGAATTTTATCGTTATTACTGCGTTTATCGGGAAAAAATATTTCGTAAACTGCAGAGAAAAAAAAAACAAAATAATTATTAATTATGTTGTTTGTTAATTTGAACTGCAAAAATGACATCACGGATTTTTATCAATAGAGTTTTAAAATGGTGATAAAAAATTGTTTTGAGTTTCTATGCGGATTTATAGTTGTATTGATGCATTGCGATTTCGTGTTAGGTACTAAATAAACGCATTAGCTTGATTAAAAAACTATTGAAATATTTAAGTAACATTTCACACAAATAATAGACTTGTGAAGGCAATTTAAACATCACTTAGTTGATAATACATATACATTATCATTATTTATTTAGTATTTCTATTTGTTATTACTCATATTTTAAAAAATTTGAGGCATATTTACCTGAATATAGTTTATTTTATTTCTTATTTAATTTCTTCTTACAGATTTCCTTATTTTTTGTTTTTCTCTCTACTAGATGATCCAAGTGTAGCCAATATTTCAAATTCACCAAAATATATCTTTGAATATCTAAAGAACTCAATTAGTTCTTGAATAGTTGCAGTCAAAAATACAATTAAAAATAGTCGATTTCCATAAATAACTATATCTCTAACAATATCTTCTACTTTCCTTCTTTCCCATAATCAAAGTTTCCATGATTTACCTTTCTATAAGTGGATTCTTACCTTCTAAAATAGGGATTTATTTGAAGAATTTTTCAATGGGAATAGCAACCGATCTAGTTATCGTTTAAAAAGTTATATTTTGTACAAATTACTGAAAATTATTGTGCTTTTCATTCAGAATTTGTTCTGAACCACTAAGGCCTCTTAAAAAAATGAAAGTTAGCTCAAAATATGGCTGTTAAATTTTGAAATAATAAGATGCATTAGAATTTTCAAAATTGATTATTATTATTGATTATACCCGTATTCTCACTCAAGAAAAAATAAAGATTGGATAGTCAAGAGCTCGTGTATTTAATCATATTGGGATTCTACAATGCTACAAATGCATGGGTTATAATCACTATGCAAAAGATTGTAATGCGGAAGTAGTAACTTGCTCACAATGTGAAGGAAATCACTCCTATAGACAGTGTAATGTAATACACTGACAGTCAAATGTTGTAACTGTGATAGAAAAAATAAAAATAGTAGTTTGGACACAGGACATTCAGCTTTGGATAGGACATGCTCCTGCAGAGCTTGATTGATTGATTGAATCATGGTTATGAATAATACTACAAAATCTACTATCTTTAATATTGCTCGTCTAAATCTAAGGTCAATTATTTTGACCGGGTTCTGTTAATTTCAAAATTTAGTGCAAGGGGGCAAGTTTGATGTCGTTGGTGTCACGGAAATGATGAGTATAGTATCGGATGTGGTTGCGTTGCCAGGCTGTAAATTCTATAGGAGAAACCGAGGCTTGAGAAGAGGAGGTGGCATAGGGATTTATGTTAGATCTGACTTACAGTGTGTATCTATAGATTTCATGAATGTTCCAGTTGTACTGGGATTCAAGCCTATGTGGCTTAGGGTAAGGTTAGACAAAGGTACGGGAAATAATGTTATGGAAAGTGTGCGTCTATTGGATGCCCTGTTACCTGAGATTTTACCTCATGATAAGTATATTGTAGTTTTTGGAGATATGGGTATCAATATGATGAATGTTTTAAATCCAGTTAGTGAATTTTTTGATGTACCTATATGGTTTTTCTCAGGTGATAGATGAGCCTACAAGAATCACTGATAATTGTGCATTGTGCATTGGATCCAATTTTTGTAAATAATAAAAACTTTTCTAACCGGTGCCGGAACAATGGATGCTAGTGAAATTAGCGATCACTTGTTAACTTTCTGTAACATAGTCAACATAGAAATCCCGTTAATCTTTTTATCTGATTTAAAGAATATCTCATGTGATGATTTGTTTTATATTTGTAACATAGAGGATAAGGTGTTACTTCTGACTGAGTATGTTAACCTGTTATTTGATATGCATGCCCCCATAGTAAGTAAGTAATAGTAAGCAAACTTCCCGCTCCATGGCTGACTGATGTGATTGAAGAGTTAATGAGGCTGAGAGATAGGGCTAGACTTAAGGCTATACTTAGAAACATTGCGGGTAATCAAGAATCGTATAAAACTTTAAGAAATTTGACGAAGTCTTTTATACGTCGCAAAAAGGCAGCTTATCTTCAACACGTAACAAATCAAAAAAAATGAGAGAAAAATATGGAAAACCTTAAGGGACTGGTTCTGCCAGTTTTACTGGGTGTGTTCTGCCAGTTCTGCTAATAACAATGAACTCCCTTCGTCGTTTAACGATGCCGAGGTTATTGATAAATACTTTTGCAGTGTTTTTCGGAAGTCAGCCAATTGTGATGACAGAGTGCACTATGATAATTATGATATGACCAATAAGTTTTCTTTTAGATTAGTAGACCCAAACCACATTTGTAAATATATAAATAGTATCAAGTCAAACGCTTCTGGACACAATGATATAACGTTGGTAATGGTTAAGTTGTGTTTGCCGACTATTTCTAGCCATATTACACACATCATAAATTGCTGCCTCGAAAGTGGTTACTTTCCTCCCACATAACAAAATTGCATCCTTAGAATGTAATGGGAATGTTCTTTTTTTAGGAGGAATGTGCCTAGAATGTTCGCCAAAACCATTGCGAATGTCCTGAGAATGTTCTGAGACAAGATTGTAGAAATACTGTTTGCAATACCCAAGAACTTTATTATTATTTATTATTATTATTATTTTACAATAGAAGGCGGCAAAGCCGATGAGTCTATTGATTGGTTTTTATATCAGTTCACAATTTTAAGTCCATAAATAATTGTCACATCCATTGTATATCAGATATGGTATTATTTTGTCAATAGTTTACTAGGAATAGTGGACAAACTGGTTATTGTTTTCACTTATATCTCTGTCTACACGATTTTTGAAGGAGTTAACACTAGTGGCATTTACCGTATCTTGACTTAGGTTATTCCACGAATACACGACCCTGTTTGTTAAGAAATTGCGTCTTAACAATTTAACATTTTTCCTTGTTTAATTTCTTATTATGCCCTCTCAGATGCACATTATCGGTAGAAATAAAGATGTTAATGATATTGCACTTGTAATGACCACTAGTTATTTTATAAGTCTCAATCAAATCTCCACGCTGTCTTCTTTGGTAGAGGGTTGTAAAATTAAGGCGCTGTAAACGTTCTTGATAAGAAAGATCGTTGAGCTCTGAAGGGATCTTAGTAACCATTCGCTGAACTTTCTATAGAAGATCTATATCTTTGACATAATAAGGACTCCATATACTTTGCATATATTCTAGTTTTGGTAAGTCTTGTAAAATTCAAGTATCATATCACTAGATAGGTTTTTGAACGACTTTCTTATAAGGTAAATCAAGGTGTTCACTTTTTTGATAGTTGTTGAGATGTGACACTCCCATTTGAGGTTTTTTGTGACTATTAAGCCTAGATCTTTCTGCTTTTCGACTGGAGTCACCTCAGTGTTTCCTACAGTGTACCTATGATTGGGATTAGTTCTTCCTACAGAACAGTATGCACTTAGATTTGTTCAATGGCATCTGCCATGTTATAGTCCATTGTTTAATTTTATCAAGATCGCTCTGCATTTGTAGGTATTGGTCACTTGCTCTGCACGTAGAATTTATTCGTCTGCAAAGGTTGAGGTGTCACACGCGAGGTCTGCAGGAAGGTCACTTATGTATAATATAAACAGCACGCAGTTGCAATTACCAAGCCCTATACTACTCCGCTATGCACCTCGCGACTACTGGAAAGAACATTGCCTATTTTTACTTGAAAGGTCCTTCCTTGGATAAGTTCGCTGATAACTCTATGCACATTGCCCCGTATTCCATTATGCTCCGATTTTAGCAGGAGTCTCCTGAAAGGTTCCTTATCAAAAGCTTTTTCAAAATCTATGTAGACAATATCAAATGATGTATTACTGTCATCTATTTGAGTCCATTTGTTGAATCTTTCCAGCAGGTTAGTGAATGTTGATCTTCCTGGTAAGAACCCATGCTGAGAATCAGGTATTACTTGCTGTTCTAGTAAAAAAGATGTTAGCTCATTCACTAGGATTTTCTCCATGCATTTCCAGAGTACGCTGTTGAGACTTATTGGTCTGAGATTTGATGGTTCCAGTTTGTCCCCCTTTTCAAAGATTGGTGCAACTATTGATGATTTCCATATTTCTGGAATGGGAGCTCCTTTCATTATAGAGTTTAGAATAGTGGCTATAGGACTGGAGAGCGATTTGGAGCAGTTTTTCAGAAAGAGGGATGGAATTTCATCAGGACCAGGACTAGACTCCGCCTTTAGAGAAGAAATGGCCATTTGTACTTTTTCTGGCGTGAATTCTATATTACTTATCTCTGAGCGATGCGTAGTTCAGGTGAAAGAGTTGGTAGTTTTTTATCTTCTTGAGTGAAGACTCTCTGGAACTGGTCTGCAAAGCAATTGCCAATTTCAGTCTCATCGTAAGTAGTCTGATTCGTGTTAGTGTTTCTGAACGCAAAATTTTGGAGACGGGAGTTTAGGGAATGTTTTATATAGGAGTGAAATTTCTTAACAGGAGCTTGCAATAAATTCTGTTCATATTCTTGCCTAGCCTGGTTTAAGATCTGCTTCGTTATATTATTTTGTTGTTTGTGATGATCATAATCTGTGTTTGTTTTTGTCCTTTTATACTTATCCTAAAGTTTGATGTTGATTTGTTTAAAAACTTCCCAGTTAAGCCAAGGTTTCTTTGAATTGACATGCATTGCATCAATTTGGCATGTGCAGGCATCTACCTGTTCAGTTATGTACTTGTCAATTTCATCATGATTTGCTTTCCAGAAATTTCTTTAATAGATCTTTTTAGTTGGCTTAGAAGCCAATTGAATCTGTGTTTTAGCTGTTATCACTACATGATCACTACGCCCTATTGGTGGGTGTTGCTGTATACTGAATATTGAGCTTTTGTCATTAACCAGCAATAGATCTAGTAATGAGATTCCATTATTTCTGTATCTTGTAGGAAACGTTATTACCTGATGCGCGTTAGCGATTTGATAGCTGTTAAAGAAATCTTCTGAGCATTGATTGTGAGGGTAGACTGTAAGTTTATCCCAGTTGATCTCTGTGTAATTGAAGTCTCCAAAAAGAAATGTTGGAATTTTTGACTCTAAGGCCTTTACTACTGTGGCGGTAAATTCTTTGTTTTGCTCTGGTGTTGACGATTTGAGACGATATATGCAAGCCGTTACAAAGGTAAAGGTGCTGATTGTAATTTCTAACCAAACTGCTTCTAATGGGTGCTTTGTTTTGTACAAGGTACTTAATTTTCCTTACGTTTGGTGACCTGCTACTGTATTTTTGACAAAAATGCAGATATCTCCTCCTGTTTGGTTATGCCTGTCTAAGCGAAACAATATGTAATCAGGAAGATGAACAAAACTATCAGGAAGATCTGTGCGTAGCCATGACTCAGTTATTAATACAATGGTTGGATTTATTTTGTTAATGCTAGCTTTAAATTAATCGACTTTTGGTACAATTGAACAGAGGTTGCTGTACCAGAAGGAGACTTCAAATACAGTTTGAGAATTTAGTTTTTTGGAGCTGCCCTAGTAGAAGCTTTCACAATTTTTGGAATATTGTTTTGGTATTTTATAGTTAATCTATCTCACCTTCAGCTTTTCTGGTTTCTAACTCTGAGATTACTGTTTTTAGATAGGTACGTTGACTAGGAGTGAGGTCGTACTTGATATATGTGTCACTTTGCTCTAGTTTACTTTTCAGTCTAAGCACCATTTCTGTTCTGGCTCAGGTGAGTTTGACTCTTCCACTCCAAACATAAGAATGTTCTGAGCTCTGCGTTCACGTTCTTGCATTTCTTGGATTGGATTGCTGGCTCGAATTCAAGCTTGGTTGGAGAGGCAGTTTGCTGCTGAAATTTGTCTTCCAGTTTCTGTACCTGATTTTTGAGGTGATTTGTCTCTGAAACCACTTGGGCGATGTTGGAGTTGATGGGGAAGTGGGGGGGTGTGTTCACTCATTCATCTTCTCCGTAAGACTCTTTAACTCTAATATCACCTCCTTTAGTTGTGAATAGCAGACACATCATGAAGGGCATTTTTCACTGTAGCCCTGCATTCCTCACAGTAGTGTATGACGATTCGCTTTTTGTTTATGAGAGCTTTTATTTCAGAGGAAGATATGCCTGAGCATTCTTCACAAAAAAATTCCTGGCAGTAACCGCAAGGCGCTCCGAAGACCTCTTTGCAATCATTGGATCAATTTGTATCTTTGAAATAACACTCGTTTTTACATTTATAACACTCGAGGGTACCCAACTTTTTGCTTGAACCAACTTTCACTTGCACTTTACGAGTTCTGGATAGATCTTTCAATCCTACAATGCCTAAACCACTTTGGGAATAATTTATTTTGATTTCTTTGTGAAAAAGTGGAAATTAAAAATTGAACTGTGCACTGTAAACTGTAAACATAACCTTATTGAACTTCCTGGGAAATCCATTAGGATATTCCTAAAATATACCTATAAGATTCTCAGTACATCCTGAAAAGAATATTTCTGTTTGATTCTAAAAATATGCTTGAAATGTATATTCTCACATCCAAGGAATGTTTCTATGACATTGTAGTTATGTTCTCAGAAGAATATTACACCAATATGCTTGAAATATTTTTAGAATATATCTACAGATATCATCCTCAATATGCATCCTAGAGACAGAACATTCTTGTTTGATTCTAGGAATATACTTGGAATGTTAATTTTCGAATCTAAATAATGCTTCTTTCAGTCCTTTTATATTAAAGGCAGTGAAAGAGTTGTTAGAAAATTTCTCTGGAAAACACAAAAACACACCTACATAAATTTCTCAGCACAACTTGGTAGGTAGGTATATTCTTAATACTTGATAGAGATATTAGCCGAAAGAACATTTTTTAGAGTACATTATAATAATGTTCGTATGACAATATTCAAATAATGTTATATAAAGTAGGTTTTTAGCACAATATTTCAGGTAGGTGTATAGAAGCAACATTCCTAGTATCTAAATAGAACGTCCAAAAATTAATAATTCATTCGAAACAATCCTAGAATATTCATTAAACATTCCTAAAAGAATATTCCAAAAAGCACTTTGAGGGAATATTCTGAGAATATGAATGTTCTTTCACTGTTATGTGGTGACATTTGATTTAACTTATCAAGTACTTTTATGTGCTAAGTTGTCATTTTATGGGTTTGATGAGTTTTCGATTTCATTTTTTAAATCTTATCTGTCTAACAGAAGTCAGGTGGTTCGAAATGGGAAAAACATGTCACAACCTGAACCAGTAATCTCAGGAGGGCCTCAAGGATAACAAGGGTTGGTATTGGGCCCTCCTCTGTATGTGTTATATACATCAGATATGTTTTCTATTCCATTGCATTCACATATCCAAGCCTATGCTGACGATACTCAGTTAGTTATTGGAATTCGATCCTTCAGATCCTCAACAGGCTGAACGCCTACTGAACCAGGATTTGAAGTCTATATTTCAGTTTTCTAATTAGCATAATCTGAAAGTTAATTGCGAAAAGACTGAAGCTTTGCTGTTCTCTTCAGAAAAACAGCGAAACAATCTCCTGAATTTCCTAAATGTGCATATTGGCACTCATGAAATATGAAATACAGTTCTCTAATTATGCTAAAAACTTAGGCTCATTATAGATATTAACTTGAAATTTCACAAACATGTACAAACACTGTTACAAAAAAGCAATGTTAAAATGAAATTACTGAATTCAAATAGATTCATTTTGAACTTTAAAACCAGAAAAAAATTGTGTGAATCCTTTATCATGTCTGTGTATAGCTATTGTTATATTGTGTATTATGCATTTTTTTTAGATGTAGTTACTAAAAATAGAATACAGTATGTCATGTTGTAGACTCATTTTTAACTTTGAGAGAAAATTTGACTCTGTGTCAAGTAATATTAGACAAATTGGCTGGTTGAGATGTAGGTAATGATATTGTATTTATAAGAAACCTGCTCCAATTCCAATATAGAACTAATGCTCACACTGTGAGCTTGTGAGACCAAAAACTACCCACTGTACCACGACACTGTACCATCAAAAAGCTTCGAGCTAATTATAAGATATTCCTGCTTGGTACTTGATTACTAGTTAAGTACTTTAATTTAATGCTACAAATCTAGTGCGTATACATTTATATCATGTACGTACCTATTCATGTATGTATGCTGTATGTGCAATAAAGACGTTTATTTACGACTAATGTATAATGTGCGTATTATATTTGTGATTTTGGCAGTATAATGACATATGTTATTCCTCCAGGGATTAATGACGAGTAGCGGAATGTTACTCCCTCGCCGCTAACGTGGCTCAGTTCGTAATAATCCTCGGGAATAATAGCTATCATTATTGACTCGTATAATCTACTATTATTATTATTATTATCATTATTAACTTTGCTATTGGAAAGAAAGAATCCCTTCACTAACTCTGGCAGATCTTTAGCTTTTCTATCAAAAATTACCTTTTAGGTTTGTTGTTCACTTTTTAATTTATGCTGAATGATGATAATTGGATCCAAAACCACAGGTTTTAGACTTTTAGTAAAAGTGGGAGTTTTAGTCATTATTATTCTGTCAGCCTTAATGGGCAGAAGAATAGGTCATATTTAGCACACGTAGATAGTAGATTCTTTTTAGAAAAAAAAAATTATAAAGTTTAAATTTTATGTGGATCTGTTCACATAGAGGAGTAGGAACAAAACCCCGGAAAGTTCGCTTCCGAATGTTGTCCGCAACATCAATTATTTTTCTAAAAACCGCCCCAAAATCGTACTCTGTGACGTTTTTTTCTCAATTTTCTAGTAACACGTTGTTTGAACGTAAAAAATCATAGCGAAGGATATTGTTGGCAATGAAATTTTACAGATAATCTTTTCTATAAAGATTTAACCTATATCCTACTGTTTTTTCGAAAATATTGCTCAAAATTACGTTACAAACGAAGGGGTTTCAAGAAAATTGAGAAAAACCGGCACAACCTACGATTTGGGAGGCAGCGAAATAAGTGGACAATATTTGGAAGGGAACTTTTCGGGATTTTGTTCCTACTCCTATATCTGAACAGATCCACGAAAAATGAAAACTTTACATTTTTTTTCTTTTATTCAATGTTTTTGTGTATTAGTTTGGTTAGTTGTAGTAAGTTTTTCCAGGTGAAGGCAAGGCCATATAGTAGCCCTTGTTTGGGAGTTGGCCGACTAAAGCGGAGGGCCAAAATTCCCAGTCAACGCGTTTTGTCCTCAATTGGACTCATCAGAAAGACAGAGTTTAATATACCGAATAAGTAATATTATTTTCTAGATATACCCATTAGTACAAATTACAAATTAAAACCAGTGCATATTAGATTCGAGCAATATTTATTTAGTTTTTCAAATAATCAACATAAAATTTAAAACATCATCATCAGTCTATGAGGTCGATCGGCAATGGATGGGGTATCGTCCAGTTATTTTTTTGGGGTTTGTTTAGGCAGCTGAAATTTAAATAAAAACAATTAGTTTAATCCTAAATCCAAAATCAGCTTGAAAACTTACCAGTAGCAAAAGCCTGCTCATAGGTACCGTAAAATGGGAACTTTCCATATTGGTAAGGAGTGTAGCTGGCGAGTTTGTCAGTTTGGTAGAAGTTCTCAGTTGGCATGTATTCATAAGAAGGTTTGTAGCTTTGGTATCCCAGTTGTGTGTATCCAGAAACTTGGTTGTAAGATTGGCTGTATGGTCCATATTGGTATCCATGGGTGTATGGTCCGTATTGGTATCCATGGGTGTATGGTCCGTATTGGTATCCATGGCTGTATGGTCCGTATTCGAATCCTTGGCTGTATGGTCCGTATTCGTATCCTTGGCTGTATGGTCCATATTGGTATTGGTTGGTGAATCCTTGGTATTGGATTCTTTGGATCATTGGCAATACATATTGCAATTGTTCAACGATGTAGTAGAAACCTTCTCTTTGGGCGTACAAGTAAGCGTTGTTCAAGTATTGGTAAGCTTGTTGGAGTTGTCTTTCGGCGTATTGAGCCATTGGTTGAGCCATGTAGCCCTTTTGCCAGAATTGGTAAGCGGTTTGGAAGTATCTGTAGGCGAAGTTCAATTGCTGGGAAATGTAGTAGTAGTCGGCTTGAGGATGGGCTTGAATGTATCGTTGAATGTTTTCGATGTATTCGATGATTTGTTTGTAGTATTGTTGTTGGCTGGATCCATAGTATTGGAATTGGCTGCCTCCAAAGTATTGGTATTGGTATTGGTAAGCCTTTTGGAAGCTCATGTAAGCGTATTGCAATTGTTGAACAAAGTATTGGGGAAGGTTTTGTTGATGCCCGATGAATTGGTAAACAGTTTGGAAGTATTGGTAAGCTTGTTTCATTTGTACTACGTAATATTGAGCTACGTAGTAAGGAATATGGTATTGTTCAACATTTTCGAAGGTCCTGTAGACTACCATAGCTTTTTCGATGTAAGCCAACACTTGTTGCAATTGTTCGTAAATCTGGGTTTCAAAGCTCATGTTTTCTTGTTTGTAGTATTGCAGAGCACGTTGGATGTACTGTTGAGCTTCCAACAATTGCTGGTAGATGAATCTAGCTTGAACATAGCTGAAGTTCATTTTACCTTGTTCTAGGAAGTATTGGTGGAAGGGCTGAGAGACACGTGATTGAACTTGTTGCAAAATATATTGTCTGACTTCTTGAGGCATGTCGGTTTGTTTGTAATAGTATTGGTAAATTTCATAGGGAGATTGGAAGTAGGTCTGGTTCAAACCTAATCCGTATTGTTGGGAAAGGTATTCGGCAACAAACCGAGGGAAACCATGTTCCAAAAGGTAGTCTTGTACTTGAATTGGAGTGTAACCAAGTTGTTGGGCTTGATGGAATTGGTAGGCAATAAATTGGGGTACATGGTAGCTGTAGGTATTACCTTGCTGGTAGAATCTAGCTTCCGGAAGGTACTGCTGGTACTGAGATACTTCGTGGGTTTCCCTCATAGGTACCGCCGCGGCGAAGGCGACAAGGGCAAATAAGATAACTGACTTCATCGTTGGTTCTTCTACTTGCTGCTACTGCTGCGAGAACTAAGAACTTGAACTGATGCTTTTCGTTGCCGCTCGGTGCGTATTTATATGCGAATTTTATCGTTAATGCTGCGTTTATCGGAAAAAAATATTCCGTAAACTGCAGAGTGAAGGAAAAAAAAAAACAAAATAATTAGTTTGTTGTTTGTAAATTGATAAATTTTGAAATGAAAAAATAACTCAATAATTAAAATTGTCTTTAGTATCTATGCGGATTTATTTCAAGAGATGGTGATTTTGTGTATTAGGTAAATTCGTAAGAACTTTGAAAATTATTTTGGTAAAATTAATAAGAATACTTATAGAGACTTTAACTATATTTCACTTTAAAAAAATTTCTCACAGCTTTCAAATTTTCTGTTTTAAGCTTATTATAGTCTTATAAAGGTTTACTCCCTACATGAAAAAAAAAAGAAATTGATTTTCTTAGGATTGGTTGGTATTACATGGGAAAAAATGGGAAAGGAGAATTTCATTTTGATCGCGGAAAATTGGTTTTCCTAGCTAAGAGTGTTCGAGTTGGTGATGCCGCCGAGACGAGAGATTCTCGGTCTCTCGTCTCGTCTCGTCTCGAAGAAACGAGAATACATTTTTTGCATTTTCTTGATCTCAGAGACGAAATTGACTTACTTTACAGGGTGTTTCACGAACATCGAAACAGAGGCGTTTTAGGGTATTTTAAGGTCGATTAAAAAAAAAAGCTCGGACACCTCATTTTTTAAGGGGGAAACTTTTTGAGCCCATCGGTATTTCGTTAGGGTGCACCTCCTGCGTGGGGTGACTTTCACCACTGTTTTTTAGATAGGGAAGATGGGTCGAGTGGTACCTTGTTTTAAAGGTATTTTGATTCTCGTCACAACAGCGTATTTTTTTTTGAAAAAATTACTTGTCCGACGGTTTTTTTAAATCAACTCTAAAATACCCTAAAACACCTATGTTTTGATGTTCGTGAAACGCACTGTTCAGGGTATTCACTTTAAAACTTAGGTACCACCCCTATTATCTTGTCATTGGAAAATTTTCGAAAAAATTCCTGAAGACGTCAATTTGAGAGGGATGAGTTTTTATGCAAAATTCAACCTCCTAGCCCCCAGAGCCTCCTCCTTAAATGGGAAGGGGGGTCAAGTGATACATCATTTTGGAGGGTTTTAAGCAATGACTTTAAGTTCCATACATTTTGGTACTACACTTTAATCCCTAAGCTCAACTGTTTTGGAAATATTGACAGTTGAAAATTGACTTTTTTACCACTTTGACAGGCTGTAAAACCTAAACGGTTAATTTTCGAGGAAAACCGATCCTACATTCTTATCATAGATTTTCATAAACTATCATTTGACATCAACTTTGCATTTATCCGGAGATTAAATTTTTAACCGGAATTTGATCATGGATTAAATTCAAAGTTGCTGTCAAATGATGGTTCATAAAAATCTAAGACCAGAAAGTAAGATCGGTTTTTCCCTAAAATTAACCGTTCAGGTTTTACAGCCTGTCAAAGTAGCAAAAAAGTCAATATTTCCGAAACACTTGAACTCAGGGATTAAAATTTAATACCAGAATGTATGGAACTAAAAACCCTTCAAAATGATGTATCACTTGACCTCCCTTCCTATTTAAGATTTTCTAGGGCGTGGCTCTGGGGGTTGGAGGGTTGAAAGGGAAGAGATGAATTTTGCATAAAAAATCATCCCCTTTCAAATTATAGTTGACGTGTTTCAGAGATTTTTCCGATTATTCCACTCATGTGTTAGAAATCCCATAAGACAAGTGACAATTTTCAGAATTACAGCAAAAATTCTCTTCTCCATTTGTTTAACTAGAGAGAATTACAGCGATAATTCTCCCATGTTATTGTATACATGGTTGTCATGCTCATTTTTGATACAAACAAACAGTTCCTGATAGCAACCATTTATTTGTATTGATTGTTAAGATGTTCAAATCGTTTAATACATATTTTTTTCCATATTTTTTGCATTCTCATACGTGAAATAATCCTCTAAATACCGCTTTAAAATGAACCAGATAATTTTGAAGCTCTCATGGTATTATCCCCGAAAATTTTTAACTCCGTGATAATAAGGGTGGTAAGTTTTAAAATGGAATCAAAACTCACGAGAGACGAGAGAAATCGTGACCAGATGAGAAAAGAGAATCTCTCGTCTCGTATCGAGGGAGACGAAATACTCATTTTCTCTCGAACCTTCGGGACAAGACGAGAGAACGTTTTCTCGTCTCGTCTCGCAGCATCACAAGTCGATAAATTTCAATTTGATTTTTTCTGAGTAACCAAAAAATCGATTCGGAAATTCGAATCAATATTTGTAACTAGGCACAACTTCAAAATTAGGTAAAATATAGAGAGTGGATGAGAATTTCGAGAAAAAACATTCTTCTCGCCTTAATTTTTCGACTTTGAAGCTTTCCAGCTACAAAATTATTGAAGCTGTAGGCTGAAATTGGAAATTATAGATTTTTGGACAAAAATTTATGACGGCAGGTAGTGATTAAAGTAAGGTGTAATATTCATATTATAATACTTGGGAATAAACAGGGCAATGTCTTGCAACTTAAGTTTTTATTAATCAGCTTTAGATAAATTGATGCATTAGCATTATAATTCCGCCTGAAGAGGATTTCTTCAAAACAATACATTTCTCAGATCTTTCTCAAAATCTGAATATTCATTATTTTGAAGTTGTATAGATAGATCAGGAAGAAGTTTTAGAAAATGACAATTTTGAAAAAGAAATGGTAATGTTTTGGAAAAATTCTATGAAAATTTGTATACTCAGTTCGAGGCGTAGATTAAGAATAAACATATAAATATTTTAAAATCTACTTTTTCTTTATTCGCGAAAATATAAAATGCAGTCCGCCCTCACCAAAAAAAAATCTAACCAAAAAAGTATGAAAGATTCTGACTTGCGGTTTTCACGATTATAAAGGATATTCCAAAGCATATACTTCTTGAGAGTTTAGATCTTGATATACCTATTTCTGAAAAAGTTTTACAGACCACCAATTTTCCCTTCAGATTCTTCAAACTTCTCAGTCTTTACAGTCGAGTATTCATCAACTTTAGTCAAATTTGTGGTTTTTCCAACGACGTCAAAATTAGAATTATCCAGAGGATGTCTTAAATCAGCTTTTTCATAGATTCCGGGTCCAAATCTCAGAATAATTTAGTGTATGGAGTTTGTCGAAAATCATCCTGAATGCCAACTTTCATAGTTTGAATTTAAACCTCCTGCATTTTAACATCTTTCTGAAAAACTAGTGAAGGAAAAATTTGGGCCATAAGTGCCATGAAACCGTACCGATTTTGAAAAAAGGACGCAATGTTCATAGAGAGGGTATTAAACACCTGTCAAAAGATGAATGTAGAACCCTATCGGAAATCATCAGAAAAAAAAAATAAAAACTCAATTGGAAGCTAATTTTTTCATATCCATATACCCATAAGGACCATAAGGTGCCTTAAAACCGTACCGATTTTGAAAAAAAATAATGAACACAATGCTGATAGAGAAAGTACGAGTCACCCGTCAAAAGATGAATGTGAAACCCTTTCGAAAATCTTCAGAAAAAAAATAAAAACTCAATTTGAGTGTCTTTTTTCATAGAATCCTGCTCCAAATCTCTGAATAATTTAGTGCATGGAGTTTGGGGGATCCCAAAGGACCATTAAGACACAAAATCTGAATAAAAAAAAGCTGAAATTTCATCGTTCTAGTACTGAGGTAGCTCTAGGTACCCTATGATTTAGATTTTGGAGAATTTTGAATGGTCATAGTGTTTTTTTTTTTCATAGATAGGAAGCTGAAATTTCCAACGATTCTTATTCCAGTAGAGGACAACAATGCCTAAAAATTTCCGGTCATTTGGACCTATAGTTCCAGAAATGAAATCGTGTTAAGCAATTTGGGGTGATTTCTCAATTTTTCAATTTTTCTGAGTGCATTTTTTTCATATAATCCGGCTCCAAATTTCAAAACAATTTAGCGTATGGAGTTTGGGGGATCCCAAAGTACCATTAAGACACAAAATCTCAACAAAAAAAAATTGAAATTTCCATCTTTTTAGTACTGAGGTAACTACCTTATGATTTAGATTTTGGGATTTTTTTTTCTATTATAGAAAGGAAGCTGAAATATTCAGCGATTCTGACTCCAGTAGAATACTGCAATACCTGAAAATTTCAGCTTATTTGGACTTCTAGTTCCAGAAATCAATTTTTCAATTTATCTGAGTGCATTTTTTCAATCAGCAGAAGCTTTATCGAAAAATATGGGTTATTTACCAGAAACTCAAAAAAAAATCTGTTTTTCGTTCACATGGCATTTCCAATCTGAGAATTTGATCAGTTTATCACATCTGTTGTCCTGCCAATGGCCCATTATTTTAAGAAAAACACAAAAATATATTCAAACAATTTTTTTTTTAATTAAATCAATAAATAACAACATTAACAATGAAATTTTTTTTATGTCCGTAGTTGTTTTTGACAGTCATTGTGATCATTGAACAGTCCATCTACTTAGTAAGCTGAAAAAATACTAAATTATTTCAAGTTCTAGACAAAAAATGGCTAAACTTACCAACAGTAGAATGCTGGAAAGGCATGTATTGGTGTTGGTAAGCTAATGGAAGCATTCCTTGGGAAGGAGTGTACCATTGCTGTTGTTGAGCTTGGTTGAATCCCCATTGGTGTTGGTAAGGTGTTTGAACTCCGTTGTATTGGTAAGGAGTGTTCAATTGTCCTTGTTCAACTACGTTGAATTGGCGAGGGATGTTCAATTGTCCTTGTTGAACTCCGTTGTTGAATTGTCTTTGTTGAACAGCGCTGTATTGTTGAGGTCCGTTGAAGTATCTTTGAACCAAAGTTTGCACGTAGTTTTGCCCTTGGAATTGTCCAGTAGTCATACTTTGCAAAACCAATTGGATTTGTTGGCTGATGTGTTGTACAACAACTGGTGAAATATCTATTTGTTGTTGGACGTATTGGTGAACGTTTTGCAAGTATTGTTGTACTTGAGCTTGGCTGACGGCGTATTGGATTTGTTGCAATTGTTGCAAAATGTAGCTGGCATGTACTTGGCTCAAGACACCTTGGGCTACTTGTTGTTCGACGTAATGTACTAATTCTACGCCGTATTGATGAGCTTGGGAAACACCAACTTGAGATTGGCTAATACCATTGTATTGGGAGGATCCGTTCAATTGAAGCCTTTGAGCTACAGCCAAAGCGTTTTGCAATTGTCCAACGATTGGTAATCCGTTTTGTTGGGCAAGCAAGTAAGCAGTGTTCAAGCTTTGGTAAGCTTTGTTAAGTTGACGTACAACAATCAAATTAAGTGGTTGCATGAAGTGAGCTTTTTGGGACATTAATTGAGCGTTGAAGTAAATTTGGTAAGCTTGGTTCAATTGTAAGCTAATGAAGCCAAGTTGAGGAGTAACGGTTTGAGCATGGAGGTATTGTTGGATGCTTCTGATTTGTTGAAGCAATTGCTGGTAGTACAAAGAGCTGACAACTTGGGATTCTTGGTGGTTGAAGATTTGGTAAGCTTGTTGGGCAGCAAGATAAGCTGATTCAATTTGTTGCACAAAGAGTTGGGGCAATTGTTCACCTTGTTGCATAACAAACTGGTGCAAGTTGTTCAAGATTTGGTAAACTACTGCAACTTGAGATTCAGTCAAGCTTTGTACTGATTGGATTTGTTGGATGTGTTGAACCACTTGTTGCAATTGTTGGAAAACGTACTGGTTTGAAACTTGTTGGTTTACGAAGAATTTCAATGCAGTTTGAACGTATTGTAGTACTCTTTGAAGTTGTACGTGAGAGTATTGAACATTGAAGTAACTTACTCCTTGCCCTTGTTGTTGAACTCCTTGTTGTTGGAACAAATGTTCGGATGATTGAAGGAAAGGTTGATCCAAACCGGCTTCATATTGTTGCACCAAATAGTTGACAACAGTTCTGGGGTAGCCTTGTTTCAACAAGAAATTGGCTACCTGAGCTCCATTGTAGCCCAATTGTTGAGCGTGGTGGAATTGGTCTTGAACATGTTGAGTTACTTGGAATAAGTTACCAGCTTGAACTTCTGTTGTTGGTACGGTTCTGGAGGCCGATGCAACTGCCACAAGGACTAGGAGAGCTACTGCAGACTTCATGATGGCAACTGATGATCTTTTCGAGAATCCGACCGGTATTTATATTGGACATTATCTTTGATGTCGTTATTTTGGATGTCACTTATCACTGCTTATTTTTAATTAATCGGTAACATGTTTTTTCGTTATAATTAGTTTTTTAATCGGCGAATTGTTATTTTTTTAAATTATGTAAATTAAGAGTTATTTAACAATCGAAGGGTCAAATCTTGATTATTGTTTCATTTAAGTGGCGAAATTGTTTAAAAAAAATATCTGTCGGTCGAGCTTTTTTTCTCTAATTTTGACTTAATATGTCTTCTACGCGTTTAAGACTAGGTTGGATAGATTTTGATTGTTTGTGTACACCAATCCAGAACAGTTTCTCGTCAAATTTCAATGGAAAATGCCAAAAGGAATCTCATTTGGAACAACTTTAGATCATTTTCTGGTTTTAAATACAAATTTGAACCAAAAATACGTGTATTGTCCGTCGTTCGAGGGGGTGAAGTATATGACAAAAACAGATGTGTCGTCAGGTAACCATTGGCGTTCTAATGCAGGGTGCCACCAGCTCACATTCCTTTCGAGTTTCAGATTAAAATCAATGGACTTTACGAATAGATAGTTATGAACTTTGGTATGATTGTCTGCTCCAAATCTCTTATATTGTGTAGATAGTGCAAGCTAATTAAACAGTCTAAACTGGAGCAAATAAATAGTCATACAGATCAGGATCCATTCGGAGCCGTATTTTTGGTTCAAATTTGCATTTAAAACTAAAAAATGTTCTAAACTTGCTCAAATTTGATTCTGTCCGCTAAATGGGTGTAGAACTGAATTTCATCAGCTTTTTTGTAATTTCTTATTTCTTTTCAATCAAAATCTATTCAACGTAGTCTGAATGCATTGAAGCTTGAATTCAACATTAAAACAACCTAGATTGGAGCTAAATGATCCTCCATTCGGAGACGTATTATTGGTTCAAATGGTTTCCGTGATTTTCGACTTCTTGTCCTCAAACCTATCCACCATAATAAATGTGTTGAAGGTTTTGGAGCCTTCAAAGGCTTTCAATTAAGAGCCTTGAACTGTTCAAAGTATTAACATTTTTTTTGGTGTCTTTAGAATCTCCAAACTCTTAAGTGTTACTTTTAAGTCATGAGCCTTGAGAATCTTCGAAGTTATTAAGATTTTGAGAATATTCGAATGCCTACTTAGATATAGACATCAGCACACAGGGCAAAACCGATTGGCAATTGTACAAAGATATGCATGTCTTGGAATAAAGGGTGCCATGAACACCTGTCCAACCGCTGCTATAGAGGTCATGTTAGATATCATCCCTCTGCACATTGCAGTTAGGAGGGATGATTACATGGGGGCCTCAAGGGTTATACGGTCTCTAAGCCTAAAGGAAGGGGACCTTGTTCGACATATGAGCATCATTAAAGAATACCATGGTACACCAACAAAACCGGTGGACATCATGCCACCCAGATTTAATCACCTTTTTAGTGTGACCGCAAAAGTGACAAAATCGTACATAAATTCCCAAACGGTTCATCCATCTGGTACACAGATGGATCGAAAACAGAAGAAGGGGTCGGAGTGGGCGTATATGCCCCAAACTGCAGGCTATCGGTAGCCTTAGAAAAAAAACCCACCATATTCTAAGCGGAAATGTACGCAGAGTCAGGCAGCACTTAAGGCTTTTAACAGCTTTGTCACTAAATCCAGACTAGTCTGGAACTGTCAGCAACTTCTAAAGCAACTGGCGAACTGCAATAGAGTCACTCTAGCATGGGTACCAGGGCACCAAAACATAGAAGGAAATGAAATAGCGGACCGGCTTTCAAGAGAAGGCGCCGCGTCACCATTCTTCGGTTCAGAACCCTTCTAGGGCCTGACAAAAAGCCATGTAAGAACCGAACTCAAAAAATGGGTAGAGGACAACAGGCCTCCCATTGGAACAATACCCCAGGACTTAAACAGGCGAAGCAATTCATCTCGCCAAAGTCAACAAAGGAACTACTCGAACTCAGCAGACCAGACTTGAGGCTCATAACGGGTCTCCTCACCGGCCACTGGCCTCTTGGCTACCACCCGAAAAAGATGGGTAAAGCTGAATCAGACCTTTGCCGCTTCTGCAAAGAAGCATCCGAATCTGCCGAACATATACTCTGCAAAAGCGAAGCATTATGTCACAGAAGGCTTATTCATCTGGAGCAGACACATTTGACTGCTGCGGATGTTAAAAGAACTAATCCCGGAAAAATCGTGAGATTCGCGAAAAGTCTCAACCTGGGAACCTACTAGAAAAAGGGGAAGCACAATAGATCTATTCAGGTCGCAGTGCAGAGAGGTCTATCACCTAAACGGCTCTAACACAATCTAATCTAGCTAGATATAGACCTTAGATCTATTCGAATATGTATAGTACATTAAAATACAAGATGCAGAAAGCCACATATTCCCGCACGAATTCGAAAAGTGGACGAAAGAATGAGTGCGAGAATAGCTTTCTGCAACCAGAGCTGTCAGAAAAAGTACCTCAGTTACTTTAGAGTATCTTAGTTACTTTATAGTATCTAAGATACTGTATCTTAAATACTTTTTATTTTTTTGGCAAAAGTATCTAGTATCTTTATTACTTTTTAAAATAAGCTGTAACTTGTATCTTAAAAAAGTATCTTAGATACCGAAAAGTATCTTAGATACCAAAAAGTATCTCAGATATTTAAGTAAGAGCATCTTGGATACTCAAAAGAATCTGAGATATTGAAAAAGTGTCTTGGATACTGAAAACCGTATCTAAGTTAATGAGAAGTATTAAAATTGCCGCGAAGAAAGTGCCTTGAGACGTTTACCCAAACCCGCCCAACAAGATAAAACTGGTTCAAATAGTAGTAAGTAGGTAGTAGGTCTGTTCTGACAAGAATCTCTGACATTTTGCAAACTGTCAGTAAGCATCGCACATACATGTTTTCCAATGCCGTCATTGCCGTCGTTTCTGACAGGTTGCAAACTGTGTTCCAACCGACATGAGAACCGTTCTAGAATGGTAATTTCCAGTCGATTGTTAAGTAGATTAAACGTTCAACCTATTGAAAAATGGGTGGGCAACTAGAAATTACTGGTTCTGGAACGGTTCTCATGTCGGTTGGAACAGAGCTTATTAAGATATGTTTGGCTAGTAAAGCTGAAGTACTGTACAAGAAAAGTCATGATAATATCCCGATTCCTGTTAATAAAAAAAATATTGTCGACAATGGTTTTTTAGAATTTGAAGAAAACAGTGTTCATGTGGAGCAATCCACCGATATGAGAAGCTGTATTGATTTGGAGATTCTACAATATACTCAAGAAGAATTGAACCTTCTCGAAAATTACCTGTGAACCATATAAACTGCAATAGCTTAATCTGTTTATCTGCCTGCTAATCGGAAATAATAATAAAGTATCTTATTAAGTATCTTGAAAAGTAACTTAAGATACGTATTTAAGATCCTTTTTTTAATGAGTAACTAATGGCCGTTTCCACCAACTATTTTATGGAAGCCTTAACGATAAGTATTCCCTAAACTGACATTTCTCCATGGAAAACTGTCAGTTTAGGAAATACTTATCGTTGAGGCTTCCCTAAAATAGTTGGCGGAAATGGCCATAAATACCCAAAGTAACTTCAGATACTTTTTGAAAAGTAACTTATCTTGTAACTAGATACTTTTTGAAAGTATCTTTGATAGCTCTGTCTGCAACATGAGTTTTATACTATTTTCTCGATTTTGGAATTTATTTATAGTTTTTTCTTTTTCTTATTTTTTTGTGGTCGCTGTTAGTTGGAGATTTTTGTTTTGAAAAATATTTCAGTTGGTAATACTTATTTACCAACGAACTGACAGGTGGATTTCATTAGGCCTGTTTCTGCAGAAATCACAAACCATAGAGTGAATTTCATTGGTTGAAACTAGTTTTTTGACTGTTTTCAACCAATGTAATTCGCTCCGACTGGTTTGAGATTTCTGCAGAAGCAGACCTATAATTTTTAGAAGAACCGAATTTTCGCGATGAATTGCTTTCATGATTTCATGAGCACAACCGCTTTCGCGAGAAACTCATGATGTCATATTGTACATAGTTCGACGGAAGCATGGACGCAGCTTCTAGCCAGCGTTCAAACTCATGACGTCAAAGACGAACTATGGTTCGTCCTTGGATGAACTACATTCGTCGCGAAAATTCAGTTAAGGTTTGACAATTTTAAAGGTACCAATATGATACTTCAAAACTAAATTTCACAAAAAAAGAGAATATGACATTCTGAAAGAATATCATTAGCTTTTGTAAGAAATAACTATCAAAAGTCAAATATTTTAAAACGAAAGTTTCCTGCTCTGACAGTAGATGTCAGTCATGTTATGTTTGTATTGTCTCATTGCGTGTATTCTGAAAAAACAGAGAATTTGGTTGGTCGACAGGCCGCGTGGATTCCGGTTCAGAATGCACGGGGTGTGTAGAATTCCTATAATTAATCAGTTTAATATTGAACAAGAATGAATGTATTATTTGTTAAGTATCCTATTGTTAGATGGCGCTAACTTGTTTTGACAGAATACAGAAGTTTTGCTGTAGCAACAGTTGGAGTTAAAAAAGTTAGGTTAGAATAATGGAATTATCATTGAGCCATGTTTAGTTGTTATAGACAGAATATTCTCAATTTATTAATAATAAATTAAGTTCAGTAAAACAGTGTTGTGCTAATTAGTTTACCAGAGTCCCAACCCAATCAATCCTTAACAGGTTATGGGCCCAGTCTTGATATGAAAAGAAATAAGTTGAAAACAGCTTAAGTGCGTGTTGTAAAGTTCAGCAGACTGTCCTTGCAGCGTGCCAGTTAAAAGATTCAGAAATGGCGGAAATTAGTAGTGTTTCTGTACCTGTGTTAGAAGCGAACAATTATAACAACTGGGAGTTCCGAATTGAAACTGTAATTAAACAACAATAGACATAAAGAACAA